TCCTGTCTATCCAATCGACAAGGTAACGCATCTTGAATCCGATGGAACGTGTCTCTCGGTACATTGAGTCTCTACAAATAGCCCTCGATACAGGACTCGGCAAATCCAGTCTCCGGGGGGTAAGAGAATAATAATAATAATCCTTGAATTTGATATTGCACCTGATTACATCTCCAAGATGTCTCAAAGTGCTTCACAGGATATACTGTAAAATGTAGTGACTGTATATTTTGTGAGCAAAACACAGCAGCGAATTGCGCAGAGCAGCGTCCCACAAAGAGTTGTGGGTTAAGTGACCACATTATTATTATGTTTCGAGGGATTATTACCCCTGGGAAAGCGATCCACCAATCGACTATCAAGCAGGTTCCGCTTGTTAGTCAATTGTTAGAAAGTGAAAAGTGTAAGTGAAGAATAGAATTCTTCAATTAAAATTTATTGAAAGTGGCTTTAGTCTGTTCACAAGCCAGAGTTTACTGAACAGGCGGGAGGATTCAACCCTGTGTAAGCCTTATGGTAGGAACATACAAGACTCAGCAAATTCTTTTACATAATATGAAAGTTTTTGACCATAACATTTTCCTAAAAACTTGCACAAACTCAGCAACATAAGCACGAAGTTTAGAAGTATCACAACCCAAATTCTCCAGTGTGCGTGTTTAAGACATAATTTGTGTGTAGTCTGATGTGTGATATGGGTGCAGTGTTTACTGTGTGCAGTGTAATGTACGTGTGTAGTTTATGTAGCACCTTCACATCAGGAGGACGTCTCAGAGCGAGTGACACTGCATTTCCATGCTCTGCTGTGGAATCCTCACACAGAATGGTCTGTGACTTTGTAATGGAATGTGTGAAACTCTAATGTAAAGCTATTTGCAGCACATCTTACAGTAAATATTGAAACGACCAGTTCCTCGTGTAATTTCCTCTTGTACCTACATTTCACACAACGGGTGCAGGTTTCTGGGGTGGGGGGGGAGCAGTGAGACTTTAAACCCAGGTCCCAATCAGCCAACATCCACTTGTCTCCAGGTGTGACTGCAGATCACAGAATGTGTAGCGCTGAATATTGAACATCTTAAACCAGAGAATATTCCCCAAACCCAGCCAGGATTGTACTGTATGCTCCATCTCTGTACTCCTCATGTTCCAGGACGTGTCTGTTACGCACTGTGAGTCCTGCAAACTCATCATCAACAGCTGAAGCATTGCTGGCAGAGAATTAATGCAGGAGGCTGTACTGGGAGGTTAAGGACTGTACAGAGATCACAGCACAGAGGGCCGTGTGTGTGTGTGCGTGCAGAAATCACGGCACACAGGGCCGTGTGTGTGTGTGTGTGTCCAGAGAGATAACAATACAGAGGGCTGTGTGTGTTCGCGCAGAGATCATAGCACAGAGAATTCTGTACCAAATCCCCAAACAATCCTCAAGAACTGTTCTCACAATTCCCGAAGATGTGATTGAGGGGCTTAACGCTGTTTTCACTTTGTGTCTATTCTTCCCAACGATTGATCAAATCCAACCGTGTCGTCCATCCAATCACTTCCGGACACAGCGCACGGCCACACACCACAGACTGGGTGGGTAGGGTGGGGGGCGGAAGGAGCATCAAGGAGAAGAAAGGAGAGGAGAGGAGATCGACATATCCAGATTGAGAAATGTCAGATGCTTTGATTGCTTCAGGTTTAATTAACAAAAATGTCTTATTTTACGGAAGCAACAAGGTGAAAACGGATCTGGAAATAATTAAAAATAAACACATTTATAGAGTGCTTTTTATGTATATATATATATACAGGGCTCTATATTACAGCTCTGCTCCAGTCAGCGGAGGACTCACAATGCTGATGGCTGGGGTGGGGCTGTGTGTGTCCATGGAGCAGAGGACGGGGAGAGCAGGAGAGCAGGAGACAATTCAATAAGTAAGGTGCTGGTACCTCTCCCAGCTTCCCAGCACTCGTCAGAGACACACAAACTGTCCACTGAGCACATCCATCAGTCTGACGCACTAACTCAGTACATTGTTATGTAGCCCTCGGTGGTGGAGTGAGCCCAGAGGCTGTCCTCGCTGTGTGTGTGGGAGCACAGCTATCTCCTCCCCCAGGTCCCAGCGTTAAAAGTAGCTGTTGCTGTTCTGTTGTGGTTGTGAATCTGCAGAAGGAAGAGACAGGTTAAACAGAATTCTGTAGCTTGGGGTGCTATGCTGTGTAGCGCCGTGCTGTGCCGTGTTGTGCCGTGTAGCGCCGTGCTGTGTTGTGCCGGGCCATGTTGTGCTGTGTTGTGCCGGGCCATGTTGTTGTTGCCATGTTGTGTTGTGCTGTCCTAGTAATTGGCATTACATCCAGAACCAATAGTAACACAGCTCAGTGACTCCATCTTCACATACACACAGAGACACATACACGCACCCACAGGCACACAGACTTACTGGAGAGCTGTTGCTGTAGCTGGCGCACCAATGCTGCTGTCTGCTGTTGCTGCTGTGTTTGTTGCATTCCTTGTCGCTGGAACTGAAACGTGGAACCAATGGTTTTCATTCTGTTGCCAACTGCTGGCTAACCCTCCCCGGCTAATGCTTCCCGTCGCTAACCCCTCCCCGGCTAATGCTTCCCGTCACTACCCCTCCCCTAACGCCCCCTCCCCCCACCCCATTAACCCGTTTTGGGTTTGGAAATAAAGCACAGATGGGACCTTTGGGTGCCCAATGGGGTTTGGAGACCCACTGGGTCTGGCCTCCTCCTTGTTCCCGAGTTTCTTTTTTCGACTGTGCCTTTGGTCACCTTCCCCCCCCATGGCTCCTCCCTCCCCTGGCTTGGCCCCGGGATCCGTTACTGTAAAGCGCTCTGAGACGCCGTCCGGCGTGGAGGGCACTATATAAATCCAAGTTGTTGTTGTTGTAGTGACTGCCAACCATCACACACACCTCCCTGTGCAAGGTGATGGGGAGCCCAGTATGGGGCAGTATAGCTTACCATGGCCTGCTGAGGGGGGATGGCCTGCATCCCCAGAGCCTGTGGTTGGGGCTGAGCCTGTTGTTGCTGCTGCTGTTGTTGTTGCTGCTGCTGCTGTTGTTGTTGCTGTTGTTGCTGCTGTTGTTGTTGCTGTTGTTGCTGCTGCTGTTGTTGTTGTTGCTGCTGCTGCTGTTGTTGCTGCTGCTGTTGCTGCTGTTGCTGTTGTTGTTGCTGCTGTTGTTGCTGCTGGAATGAGAAATTGACCATTGACAACTCACAATAGTCTTGCCAGCCCAGGTAGAGGCTTTGCTCTCGAGCCCACTGCAGGCAGCTCCAGCTGTGATCGAGCAGCATCACCTGGGCCTGTGCTCCTGGTCAGGAACCTGGCTATGACGTCACCCACTCCCTCACTGCTGTCCTCTGCACAGCCTCTAGGACCCGGGACCCCTGGATCTCAGGGACCAGAACTGTGTGCCATATCCAGGTGTGGCCTGACCAGATCACTGTACACCTGAAGTAGTCCTTTGGTGATCTCAACTTGACCTGATTGGACCTGAATTTAGCCCAGGATATCTTTTGCCTTGTTTATTGTTCGCCCACAAAATATAGTCAACTCATTTTACAGTATATTCTGTGAAGCGGTTTGAGACGTCTTGAAGGACGTAATAAGGAGCTGTGTCAAATGTGAGGATTATTATTATTACTGCTTCACACTTTGTGACATAGTGAGAATGAGTCAACTGCCCCCAAAATCTGTCTCGACAAGTTCTATCCCATCTATTACATGGTCTCCTTCTCGCTCCTCGAGACATGGCTCAGGGCAGCCTGACGGAGACACTCCTCATGCAGCGACTTACTCTGAGCAACTGCTGCTGCTGTCGCAGATACTGGTGTTCCTGTGTCAGTTGGCTTGGCCTCATGGCCTGGTGCACATTCTGGGGGTTCATGTGACTAATGCCCGGCATCATGGGGCCCTGTTGCATAGGCTGGTGGGACAGTCTGCAAGAGAGAGGAGACACCGTCACAGCAATAGCCGTGGCTCAGGTTAGCTCAATGTCATGTTTAACTCAAAACATATCCAAGTGCAGCAGAACCTCACTAATCCGATCACTCAAGTGACTGGGCAAAAGTGACCTACTTAGTGAGGTGACTTGATCACTGAAACAGGTCGGATGATTCAAGGTCACCTATGTAATGTTAAGGGCATTGGTAATGGGTGAGGGTGGGGGGGGGGTGATGAACATTTAACAACCATACTTTGCAATCTCATTAAAATAAAAGCTTTTGTCACATTTAAAACAAAAGCTTCCATGTATTCCTTTTATGTATCCAACTGATGTTCTGCCAGTGCCATAGATCACAGTTGACTGTTGCTATGACTGTTTTTGATTGAGTCCAATCTCTCACGTAAGGACAACGCCTTCCGTTGTGACATGTTTACAGCACTTACCAAGCATTGTGGCAGGAGCTCAGGTTAGGCTGCAGGCACCGGGCAAAGTCGATTTCCTCCCGCACCGCGCATGTGCGACCGGAGCCCACTCTGCCCACAGTAGCAACGTCAACGAAACAGCACAAGTAGCCCGTGTCCTAGCGCACTGCGTACAGATTAGTAGCAGCGGGGATAGGGGGGTGGGTTGTAACTGCGTTTGAAGCAGAGGAGGGCCCTGTAGCGGGCCAACGACCATTGTCCTGAATAGTGAGGTGCCTGGTTTACTGAAGCAGACAGACAGCCTGTCGTTCAACATCGACAATGAAAGAGACTGTGAAAATGTGCCCACAATTGTGAGGTGGATGGAATACTGAGGTGACTGAAAACCGTGTTTCTACTGTACTCCACAGTAATCCCCGTCACAATGACTGTCTGTGTGCTCAGGCAAACATGTATCGCAGCACAGCCCACAACCAGCCACACGTGTGCTGTGTGCTCAGTCTGGTGTATGTGTGTTCTCCATGGCGTGTGTGTAGCTAGTACATGTGTGACTCACCTCTGTGTGTTCTGCATGGCGTGTGTGTAGGCTGGCGCATGCTGGTGCACGTATCCACTGGGTCTCTGCTGGAGCTGCCGGACCTGATCGATCACCACGGGGTTGTTGGCGGGGAGGCTGCCCTGGTACGGCTGGTTGGAATAAGCAGGAGGAACCATGCTGTTGGCCTGAGGGGGTGTGGCTGCATCCCCCCCATGTGAGAGCCATAGGTAGTATATCCTGGGAAAGATTCTAAAAAGACAAAAGTATCAGATCATTAAACGCGTGTCAGTGGAGTCCTGTAGCACAGGGGTTAGAGCACTCACCTCGCAAGAGAGAGGGCTTCGGTTTGATTCCCGGACAGGACAAAACATTGGTCAAGTTTCCTTACTCCACAGGTCTCTGTTTTCCAGGAGTCAGTAGGAACCCAGTTGCTAAAGTTGATTGGCGGATCGCTTTCCGGGGGTAATAATCCCTCAAAAAAAAATGTGGTCCCTCAATCCAAAGCTGTTTGTGGGGACATAGCTGTGGGCAATTGGCTGCTGCATTTCGCCCACAAAACATAGTCACTACACTTTACAGTGTATTCTGTGAAGCGCCTTTGAGACGTCTCGAAGACGTGATAAGGCTCTATATCAAAGGCAAGGGTTATCATTATTATAGATATAACTGTGCAGCCTGATGCTGGTATAGACGGTTATGGTCTTTCAGTGTAACACGTCAGCAATGAGAATCCCCAGCAGACAGGAGTCTGTGAGGAGGGAGCAGGGCTGGACCTGACTGACCTGAGATTGGGCCATGGAGCTGTACTGCTGGGCTGGGTTTGCCTGTCGCACCTGCTGTGCGTACATCCCACTGGCATTCTAGGAGAGACAAGGAGAGATGTTCAGGCAACACCAACTGCCTGAGCAGCGAAACACAAAACTGGATCCACAAACAACTTACCTCTACACAGTGTGTTCTCTGGGAAACTGTGCCATGGTCCCCGCACTCCATGTACACTCAGCCCACCCACACGCTCCCATCCTCCACTGCCACTCCCCCTCACCCACCCTGTGACTCAGGCCCGACCCCTCACTGGCTCTATCCTTTATTCTCGGCCCCGCCGTCCCCAGCCTGGCACAGCGGCATTCCCTCCCCAGTCTGGCACAGCGGGCATTCCTCTCCAGTCTGGCACAGCGGGCACCCACTCCCCAGTCTGGCACAGCGGGCATTCCCTCCCCAGTCTGGCACAGCGGGCACCCACTCCCCAGTCTGGCACAGCGGGCACCCACTCCCCAGCCTGGCACAGCGGGCACCCACTCCCCAGTCTGGCACAGCGGGCACCCACTCCCCAGTCTGGCACAGCGGGTACCCACTCCCCAGTCTGGCACAGCAGGCACCCACTCCCCAGCCTGGCACAGCGCAGAACAATGCGGGCACTCATTTACCAGCCTGGCACAGTGCAGTGCAGGCACTCACTCAATAGCCTGGCCCAGCACAGCATGGCCCAGCACAGCATGGAGAAGGGCACTCCCCAGCCTAGCACAGCGCAGCGCGGGCACTCACCGGCCTGGCGTGTAGTTGGTGTCGGAGGGCTTGTTGCCCCTGGGGGATGGATGGCTGGGGCTTGTACTGGGGCAGCTTGTAGTGCGAGGGGTCAGCATCGGGGCGTGGCTGTGTAGGGTGGGCGTGTCTGGATGATTTTGAAGGGAGGGTCTGACTGTGCGATAGGGATGGTGTCTAACCGGGGCCCGCCTACAGCAAACACAACAGTTACTACACTCCTGCAGTCAGCCACGACAACTATATGGGCTCCCATCAAACTGGGGGCAGCTCCAAATACCGACATTGGGGTGGCGCCTGACCGCCCCCACCCCATCCTGCCATGCCCACACTTCACCCCTCCCCTCCACAGCCACTCAGCAGGCAGCAATGCACAGTGCTGTGTGGGCTTACACACCCAAGCCTGGCCACAGCAGATACAGGGCAATGTCGAACATGCGGAGGGAGTCACACTGAGAGCACAGGCTGGAGACAGAGAGTGCCAGTGCGTGTGTATGTGGTGTGTAGTGTGCGCGTGCGTGACAGTGAAGTGTGACAGTGCCCAGGGCGGGAGGCTGGGGGCTTACCTGCGGGCAGAGGCTGGTTCTGTGCGTAGATGCCACACTGCCTTGGTAAGGCAGACGGCCGTATAGGTTGCTGGGCGGGTGTGATAGGAGATCAGCTGGTACCCCCCCACCATAGGGCGGCATCCTGTGCCCCCCAGCCCCAAGATCCAGCTGTGAGGAGAGAGAAAGCAGGCTTAGTGCCTGATCAGTACAAGGGGTGGGGGGAAAGTGGTACAGGGGTGTGTGTATGTGGGGGGAGGGGGTACGTCTAGTGCGTGCGCGCAGGGGGTGTCGCAGGAGGTGTGTGTGTGTGTGTGTTGTGTGGGGGGGGGGGCCTACAGAGGGGGGGGGGCGGGGTAAGGGGGGTGTGTGTAGGGGGGGGAGGCCAGGTTGTGTGTAAGGGGGGCAGTGGGTGTGTGTGGGGGGGGCAGTGCGCGTGTGTGTAAGGGGGAGTGCGCGTGTGTAAGGGGGGCAGTGGCGTGTGTGTAAGGGGCAGTGCGCGTGTGTGTAAGGGGGGCAGTGCGCGTGTGTGTAAGGGGGGGCAGTGCGCGTGTGTGTAAGGGGGGGCAGTGCGCGTGTGTGTAAGGGGGGCAGTGCGCGTGTGTGTAAGGGGGGCAGTGCGCGTGTGTGTAAGGGGGGGCAGTGGCGTGTGTGTAAGGGGGGGCAGTGCGCGTGTGTGTAAGGGGGGGCAGTGCGCGTGTGTGTAAGGGGGCAGTGCGCGTTGTGTAAGGGGGGCAGTGCGCGTGGTGTAAGGGGGGCATGCGCGGTGTGTAAGGGGGGCAGTGCGCGTGTGTAAGGGGGGCAGTGCGCGGTGAGGGGGGCAGCGCGCGCGTGAGGGGGCAGCGCGCGCGTGAGGGGCGGCAGCGCGCGCGTGAGGGGGAGCGGCGTGGGGGCGCGCGCGTGAGGGGCGGCAGCGCGCGCGTGAGGGGCGGCAGCGCGCGCGTGAGGGGGGCAGCGCGCGCGTGGGGGGGGCAGCGCGCGCGTGAGGGGGGCAGCGCGCGCGTGAGGGGGCAGCGCGCGCGTGAGGGGGGGCAGCGCGCGCGTGAGGGGGGCAGCGCGCGCGTGAGGGGGGCAGCGCGCGCGTGAGGGGGGGCAGCGCGCGCGTGAGGGGGGGGCCAGCGCGCGCGTGAGGGGGGGCAGCGCGCGCGTGAGGGGGGCAGCGCGCGCGTGAGGGGGGCAGCGCGCGCGTGAGGGGGGGCAGCGCGCGCGTGAGGGGGGCAGCGCGCGCGTGAGGGGGGCAGCGCGCGCGTGAGGGGGGCAGCGCGCGTGTGAGGGGGCAGCGCGCGTGTGAGGGGGGGCAGCGCGCGTGTGAGGGGGGCAGCGCGCGTGTCAGGGGGGGCAGCGCGCGTGTCAGGGGGGGCAGCGCGCGTGTAAGGGGGGGCAGCGCGCGTGTAAGGGGGGTAGGGTCTCACCTCGGCTTTACTGGACGCTGGCCGTTTTTTCCTAGTTGTGTTTTTTTTCTTCTTCTCCTCGGTGGGGTTGGGTTTCTCTGGTTTGGGGGGCTCCACGGCAGTTTTCTCGGGCTCGGGGGAGCCGGGGCTGGGGCTCCTCCTCCTCGGGGGGCAGGGGCAAGGGTTCCAGATAGTAGCTGCGAGGTTTGGGCTTGAGGTGCGTGTGGTACAGCAGCAGCCGGTGCTGATCCTCAAATTTGGTGACCTTGCGGTCGACACGGACCGTCCCAAACCAGCCCCAGGACAGGGGGGCCGAGTGCTTCATCCCCTCAAACACGTCCCACGGGGAGATCTTCTGCTTCGTGGACACCTGCAGCCCCTAAACCAGCGAGAACACAGCCAGCGTCAATGGCAATAGTGACACCAGCAGCAGCTGCCCATAGTGCCAACCCCTGCCTAACATCTGGGCACAGAGTGGCGTCTGCCGCGCTCTCCTCCCCATCCAACTTGCTTCCACGTAACCCACTCCCCTGATGATGACACTGGCATGTTTAAAACCACCCCACCTGGCACCAGCAGCCTGGCACCACCAACAGCTTGGCACCGACACCAACAGAACTTGCCTCCTTTTTGAAGATGGAATCGAAGCCGGCGATCTTGTTGCCTTTGGTGTCGATGAGGGAACCCTGGGGCTCACAGGTGATGACGTCCCGGGTCTGCTTGGGCAACGGCAACAACTGACGCACTTTCTCCAGACTCTCGGACTGACGGTCCCCAAGCTCCTTCTGTGGCCGCAGGGCACAATCATCAATTTGCGGCAGAGAAGACACGGGCAAGAGAGGAGCCATTCCATCCGCCATACTCACACATTGCCCACCCACCCCCCCAACACACACACACGCTGCCCCCCCCACACACACACGCTGCCCACCCCCACACACACTCCCCGCCACACACACGCACTCCCCCCACACACACACACCACCCCCCACCCACACAACACAGCCCCACCCACCCACAGCCTCCCCACCCCGCCCCCCACCTGCACACCGCTCCCATACACACTGTGCCTGTGTGGGGAGGGGACAAACACAGGAGACAGCACAACCCCCTTGCCCGCACCCATTATAAACTAGCCGCCCACAGGCCGGGCTCTGGTGAGCAGTAAATCTCCTCAGTACGAGGCACACTTTACCCTCAGCTTTTTCACCAGGTTCATGTAGGCTCGTTTGTTCTCCTCCATGCTGCCCTGCGAGATGCTGGACATGTCCGCAGCCAGGGTCCCGTTCACTAGCACACTCAGCATGTCCAGCACCGTGGTGAACAGCTCGCTGTGAGAGTAACAACCAGTGAGCAGCTCTCAGTCATCAGCACAGCACCCACAGCATCCCACCTCATCCCAGCCCACCTCTGCCATCCCACACCACCCCAGCCCCCATCACAGCCCAGCCCCCACCTCCCCCTACCCTGGCCTCCCTGTCCCACATACACCTGTCTCACCACCCGTCCCTCGACATTCTGTACCTCAGAGTAAGATCAGTAATGGCGGCTGCGTACTTGTTGGAATGCATGTCCACTGTCCCGCTGCTGATAATGTCCAGGAGGAGCACGGCCCACTCGGTGGTCCCCTGTGTGCTGCGCTGCACCGTGTCAAACATCCCCCCCACCTGAGGAGGCAGAGCACAGCAGGTTAATGACAGTCACTGGAGGTTAGAGTAGAAAGCTCCAGCAGGGGAGCCAGCACCAGCACAGACACCATGACCTAGCAGCCACTTGCTCGCTCTTCAGCCAGTCAAGTAGCTGTTGCTGGGACTCTAAGCTATGAATGTGCTGCAGGGACCTGGAACCCTGGGCAGAAGTGATTGTCCTTCTCTTCCAACTCACAAAGTTTGCGAAAATCCTGGGCTGGAAGCAAGCAGTGAACTGTAAACGAGAGCCAGTGTAGCATCTGGAATTCATTAGCAATAGAAAAGTTGGAAGGATTTAAAGGATCAGCCCTCACTCCCTCGCTTGGCTTTGAACTGGAACATGTTTTGTGCTCTGCTTGGTACCAATGTGCTGGACACGTGCGGAAAGGGAAATCACATCAGGCCCTGTCCGGCCTCCTCCAGGGTCACAGCCAGACTCTGCACAGCCGCCTTCCTGATAAATCACACGCAGGAGGCAAGGGGAAGCTGCACGAGAATAAGGGCAAAACCAGCCACTTACTGGCCGCCGATCACTGACTGTGCTTTCTGTGCTTCTCTCCTCTCTTTCTGCCTGGAGCTGAACCTGGGGAGGCCCCGAGCTTAGTCTCCAGCAATAGATACAAAAATTATGCCAAAAACAAAGTGGACAAATCAAACAGCGAGAAATCGCAGGGACCCCCACGATAGACTATATCTCACACCCCCCCCACCAGCAGCCCCCCCACCCCCGGCAGGACATTTCTCCCCCCGTGTGTGGGGCAGCTCCATACCGTTTCCCCGCTTACCAGATTCAAGCGCAGCTTCAGGGCTTCGTGCATCATCTGCTTGGCCTTACAGTCGTCCTGGTACTGATCTTCCCGCCAGTTGGTTACAATCTGAGTTGAAGGGGACACCGAGATTAAAGAGGGTTTGGGACCCCCACCCCCGCTCAGCCTTGCTGTGGACCAGAGTGACATCAGGACATACACCGCCCCCCCGCCCCTCGGTATCACACGCTGTATGTTACCTGCTGAACCTGGCTGTACAACGATGTCAGGAGTCCCTCTCGCTGCTCGTCCTGCCCTTCAGACACGTCAGCACCAGGGAGAGGAAGGGCTGCTGGCTCAGCAGGGACATGCTGTCAGGGACAGGCGAGAAAATGAGTTGCAACCCTCCAATGTGTGCTACGTAAAAGCTTTTCTGTATTAAACAGAACAGACGTGATTGCCTAGTCTCTGCGGGCTTCCTGCTGCAGGTCGTCCTCCCACCCCCGGCCTGCACTGGGGGCAGCGTCAGGGACTGAGCCTGAGCCAGTGACTGAACGACTGCAAGCAGCGGATGCTGGGAGGAGCTGACCGTTACTCACCTCTTCTGTTTCTGACGGTCTCGCTCCTTCCGCGAGGATGAGCCCAGGTGTTGCCCCTTCTCCAGCTCCTCTCCGGCGGCTTTCAGCACGTGGCCCTGCACTGAGGTGGGCAGCTTAGCGATCAGTGGGGCCACCAGCCACACACCGGACCTCTCCGACGAGCTGCCGAGAGACAAGCAGTGATTGCCGTACGGCAGTGAAGTAGGTCACTGCACACTGTGTGTGTGTGCACATGGGTGTGTGTGTGTGCACGTGTGCGTGCACCTAAACCAAATCCCAACATGTGAGGATGTATATTTTACAGAGCGACCAATGTGCCAGACCTGAGGTCAAATCCTGTGGCTGCTGGAAGTTATACTTGCTGTGGCTATGGCTGTCTATTTGTGTGTCTGTCTGGCCACACCCGCCTTGTGAGGTTTCTGGTGCTGGATATTTTCCAAGAGAGCGCTTGTGGCTGATCACCTCGCCAGCCCACACCTCCCTCGGCTTGATCTGACGTCAGCCTGGAACCCGGAAGCAGCATCGATGGCCATTTAACCTCAGGGACCATTAACAACGGGGTTGACAGCGGGATGTAATGATATGGAGCACATTATTGGGGTCGTCCTGTTTGATCACGTCTCCGCAGTCACACGCACAGGGAGAGAGAGGGTCAGTGTTGGTGATTACCTGAGCAGGGGTTTCAGTTTGCTCGTGCTGCTGCTGGCTGTGGTGCTGGAGATGGTTACGGTGTTGCCCACAGGGACGGCTACTCCGGGGTGTGCCCCATTCCCGCTGGGATTGGCAGAGTTCATCTCCGCTGATTTCTGGAAGACCTCAATGGTGGCTTTGGCAATGTTTTCCAGCAGCGAGTTCATCTCCTGAAACATGGTCACACAAGGTGAGGGACACACAAAAGGTGAGACTCACATACACAGACATATGCAAACAAGGTGAGGTGAGGGAAACACACACACACGGTGAGGGACACCCAGACACACACACGGTGAATGCTACTCACACTGATGACGCTCTGTTTAATCATGAGCTGAAGTTCCAGCGAGGACTGACGCATCGTCCACTGGTCAAGATTCTAAACAAAATGGAAACATTAAAGAGAATCATCCATTGGAAAGGGAATTAGACACACACACACAGCGGGCAGACGCACACACACAGCGGGCAGACGCACACACACAGCGGGCAGATACGCTTGTGATAGAGCACGAGACCACAATGGAGAATACAGTGGGGGAGCGAGCACCAGCACAGATACGATGGGGAGAGAGATAGCGGGGAATGGGTTTAGAGTAGAGAGTTCCAGTGGGGTAGTGAGCACTAACAATGTAAAGACACCTTGAGCTGAATTCTCCTGCTAATTTCTAGGATTCAATTAATTTACATGAGTGAGCGAGAGCTGACCCCACCCAAGCACTGAACCCACCAACTTCAGCCTTAGGCTGGACTATGGGAACTCTCTCCTCGCCGGCCTTCCCGGCACCTCCCTCCACAAGCTGCAGGTCATTCAGAACTCTGCAGCTCGTGTACTGTCCCGCACCAGGCTTCGCGATCACATCACACCCACCCTCGCTCGCCTCCACTGGCTCCCCATCCCCCAGAGGATCGAATTCAAGATCCTCATCCTCACCTACAAGGCCATTCACGGCCTCGCTCCCTCCTACCTCTCCGACCTACTATCCCCCTACTACCTGCCCGTACCATCCGTTCCTCTGGCTCCGGTCTGCTCCACATCCCCCGCCCCAACCGCTCTACCATCGGTGGCCGGGCCTTCAGCCTCTCAGCCCCCAGGCTCTGGAACTCTATCCCCCAGTGCCTTCGCCGCTTCCTCCCTTTCCTCCTTCAAGGCCGGTCTCAAGACCTTTCTCTTTGACCGTACCTTCAGCTCCCCTCTCAACTCTCTACCCCCTCCTCGCTGCCTCCCTTCCCTCCCCTCACCCTAACCATTTCCCCCTTCCTCGCCCCCTCCCTTCCCTCCCCTCACCCTGACCATTTCCCCACTGCTCAGGTCCTGACCCAACTGTACAGCGCCTTGGGATATCCTCCCGACGTGAAAGGCGCTCTATAAATGGAATCTTGTTGTTGTTGTGAGTGTCAGTGAGTCAGTAAGATAACCACCCATTTGACCCAAACAGCCCTGGGCTGTCTGTCAGTGTGTCCGTATTCGTGTCTGTTTGTAGTGTGCGTCTGCTCGCTGGGTGTGTGTCTCTGTGTGTGTGTGTGTCTGCTCGCTGTGTGAGGTGTAGTGTTAGCCGCGAGGTCACTCACCTGTAGGATGCGTTTGATGCGCTGCCGCTGCTGGTTGTCACCCTCCTCGCTGTCGAGCTGCCGGTGTGGGTAGCAGATCAGCTGCAGCAGGCGCTGGGCCTGCTTATTAGTGAGCACAGGGTCCTGCAGAGCACTGCTGTCCTCACAAAGGCTCTTCAGACACCGCTCCCCCACCCACTCCTGTAACACACACCACACACACGTCACAACATATCATGCCATGTGTGTGCCAGCCTCCAACAAGTCACCGATGTGCTGACATGCACAGCGCCCTTACCTGCTGACAGATGTTCTTCAGCACGTACTTGGCATAAACGTCTAAACTGGCTGTCTCAATGGACACACTGCGACTGCCAGACTTCTTCACGGCCCCCTCGTCCTCAGCCACTTCCTCCAGCCCCCCAGCATGTGTGAACCCAGAGCCCTTCAGCTCCGCGTCACCTGGAACAAGAGAAGACGTCACTCCTCCCAACCCCATACTGAGAGATCATCACCTGACCTGGTGTGGAGACGCAGCTCAGTCCCCCTACAACCCAGCCCGGTCCCCCCGCCAAGCCAACCCAGCCCTCCGATTCAAGCCCAGCTCCCCCCCCCCAACCCAGCCACAACTGAGCCCAGTCCTCCCCAAACAAGATCCCCTAACCCAACCCAGCCCCCACCAACCCAGCCCACCACCAACCCAGCCCCCCCAACTGAGCCCAGTCTCCCCAACCCAACCACTCCAACCCAGTCCTCCCCCAACCCAGCCCAGGGCACCCCCAACCCAGCCCAGGGCCCCCAACCCAGCCCAGGGCACCCCCAACCCAGCCCAGGGCACCCCCAACCCAGCCCAGGGCCCCCCAACCCAGCCCAGGGCCCCCCAACCCACCCCAGACATCCCCAACCCAGCCCAGACTCCCCCAACCCAGCCTCGCCCCCCAAACTAGCCCAGACCTAGCCTAACCCAGCCTGGCCCGGAGACCCCCACAGCCACTAACCCAGCATAAAGATTGCTTTGAGGACGGCAAAGACAGCTCCCACCACGATGCTGTTTTGTGAGGCGGCCAGCAAGTGGCGGTCACACGAGGAGCGAATGCCCACAGTAGGTTTATCTGTGAAGAGAATAAAGTGAGCACCAGTGAGCGGAGCGAGCGCTAAGCACTCAGATCCACCCCGGGGGCCGCAGGGGTGGAGGGGAAGGGGACACAGCCTAGTCTTCACAGCTGTTGTCTCCAGCAACAGCAAACCTGCTGCTTCTAACCACAGTGACATCAGGGGCAGCAATATTACAGACCTGCCTGGGACACATACAATCAATGATAATAACCCTTGCATTTGAGACAGCCTCTTCACATTGGGAGGTACGTTTTAAAGTGCTTCACAGGACGTAGTGTATTGTAGTGCAGGTCCTGTGTATTTTGGAGATGAGCACAGCAGCCAATTTGAGCTCAGTGACGTCCCAACCATCTGTGAAACGGATTATTTACATAGATCTGCCCGCTGACAGGCATCACTCCGCCCTGTCCCAACCCCGCACTGTCCATCCCCTCCTCACCCTACCCAGCTCCTTCCCACCCAGTCCTTCCCCACCAGGTCCACTTACTGCTGTCCTGGTGACATGGATTCAGCTGTGGAGTCCTGAACAGGTGCAGGAGGATTCTGCAGGTCAGCCTCGCCCCAGGCTCCGAATCCTGCTCACTGCACGCTGCAAGAGGCAAACAAAATAATCACTGACAATGATCTGCCCACTGCCGCTCACCTCCCACCCTCCTCCCAGCATACACACTCTCCACCCCCCTACTCCCCCACTCCCTCTGGCTCACACACTCCCATCGCCTGCCTCTGGCTCGCCGCATGGCAGTGTGTGGCTCCCAGCACCTCGGCGGCTGGAGCGGTGTGAGCGGTGAGCAGGCGATTAGGTCACTCAGCCCAGGACATTAGGTCAGAATTCAGACATCAACAACCAGTATGTCCAATTACACCCAGTACAGAGTCCATACCCACCCACCCTCCCTCCCACACCGACTCCATCCTCCCTGACTGATAGAGGCCAGAGGCTGTGTGAAGCCGAGACATTACCTGCATTGAGAAGCGATGGGATGGCCACACAGCGAATCAGATCTTCCAGTAACAGGCACTGCCGGGCTATCAGGATAGCAATGAAAGTCGCCAGGGAGTCGTGGAAGGACAGATCACTCACCTGCCCAGGGTGTGGGGGGGTGTGGGGGGTTAAGAGAGAGATTATTGGTGAACAGTTTCCAACCACAAAAGCTTCCTTAGATAGAATCATTGAAATTTATAACGCAGGAGGAGGCTATTTGGCCCAGCAAGTTTATACTGACTCTCCGAGCAAGGTGTTCATTCAATCGATGGCTCTGCACTCTCCCAGATCCTTGCAAACATGACTACCTCCCCCACCCTTGAAACCCACCGCCTCCACCCTTTACACCTTGCAGACCACATCCCTGAGGTCCAGCTTTCACTGTGAGATAATGACACCCTCTCTTCCCCCTCCGCCCCAGTATGGAAATCTGACCATGAGCTATTTTTACAAATAAGATGAACATGACGACTATGAGCAGGAATATCATTGGGCCCTGGATTGGGACCTGGTTGACTGAGCTGCCCTGGCTTCCCTCACAGCCTCAGCTCCCTCTGCAGGCCTCCTGCCTACCCAGTACCAGACAGATCACACTGACTGTGTATTTAGCAGCTTGTGTTGTTGTGGGTGATGGAGCCAGTACTCACGTCCACGTTACACAGCAGGTCGTTGAAGCCACAGGTGCCGTTGTTGGAGGAGCAGCACAGGGCCTTGAGCACCCCGAGCCACTCAGCACTCAGAGCCTTGCAATAGGCGGTCAGCTCAGCACACAGGATAGCGATGTCATTCACACTGCGAGAGACACCGGCTAGTGAGGTGAGGTGAGCCCCACAACAGGAACATTTATACAATACAACCCCAGCCTGTCACAGCCACTAAACATGGCCGGGAGGGGGGAGCGAATGGGGGGGGTCGGAACAATTGGGGGGAGAAGAGATGCAGATGAGCAAAGGGGGAAGGGATCACGGGATGGGGTGGGGGGGAAATCGAGTTCTCTGCTTACCGGTCAGGGTCATGGTGTCCCACACACACATGCATCAGAGCATTGCATACGAAGCTGTAGCGGTTGGCAGGGTTGTCGTTCAGGATCTTGCCCAACATGGAGTAGCTGAAGTTGTGAGCGGAGGGATTCTCAATGGCGTCGATCATGAACTCGGGCTCCCACAGCATGTTCGAGTCCGACGGGTCGATATTGCTGTAGATCGTGTTCTTCACCTTGGAACAGGCATCGCTGCGGGAAATGGGCAGGTAAATACCTGAGGCCACACCCACCCCAGCCAGGTTCTCCCCCCCCCCACCCCCCGCCTGCCACGTCTCAGGAGTCATACTCTTTTCGCGTCCCCAGAGTAAACGTCCCACATAAAGCATTCGCCTCCCTTCAAATCTTACCCAAAGAGCTCCCCGAACTTGCTCTTGAGGTGGCTGCAGGAGGTGTAGAGGTCGTAGAGGTAGGCGAGGATGCAGCGCTCAGCGGAGGAGCAGTCGGCAGGATTAACCCCATGTTTCACCACCCCACACAGACTGAAACATAAGGACACAGAGCTGAGTGTACGCAGCAATCGCCTCTAACCCGAGTAAGCACAGCACACACCCAGGCCAGGGTGTGAGTGAGCCCAGCGCACAGCCAGGCCAGGGTGTGAGTGAGCCCAGCGCACAGCCAGGCCAGGGTGTGAGTGAGTCCAGCGCACAGCCAGGCCAGGGTGTGAGTGAGTCCAGCACACAGCCAGGCCAGGGTGTGAGTGTGAATGAGCACAGCACACAGTCAGGGCATGAATGCAAGTGAGCACAGCACACAACCACCCACCGTCCACCACACACACGGTTAGAGCAGCTGCCCACGAGCAAATCTCACCCCTCAAACACCTGGGCGGTCTGGTCAGGGTTGAGGATGAGGCAGGAGTGGTATCGCCGGAGCACGGCCACGATGCACAGACACAGGCCTGTGGTGTAGCTGCCAACCAGGCTGGAGGATTTCAGCAGCAGCTCGGCCTCCACCACACTCAGCTCATTCAGCAGCTGCGGGGAGAGGGAGAGAGAGAGAGAGAGAGAGACGTCAACAGCCTGCTCACAGAGTGCTCTCTGTCACACACAGACCTGCTCCCCCGGCCCCCCAACAGAGGTGCTGTACTCCAGATAACAAGGATGGACACACACACAGACAGGTGCAGACACCCTCCCGCACAGACACAGACAAACACAGAGCGAGGAGCATCAGAGGCAACATTTCCGATACAGTCAGCAGGAAGGACACGGCTAATTCCTGTTTGATGCCACTGATTAGCACATTGATTTACACTGAATCAGCAAGGCTGGGGGTCTGAGTTGCAGGCCCCACCTCCCCTAGAGGGGAGCAGTGAGTGAGTACCTGGATAGCGAAGTCGATCAGACCACTGATGTTCAGCGAGTACTCCATCAGGTCGAAGATGAACTGGATGTGCTGGACCAGCGGCAGGTGGAAGGACATTCCTAAGGCAAAGCTGGTGATCTGCTCCAGCACATTGCGCGAGACCTGGCCCAAACAGCAAATAACAATAAGCCTTGAATTTGATAAAGCGCCTTCTCACGTCGATCAGACATCTCAAAGTGCTTATATACTGTATATTCTGACAGGGATTCAAACCCTTGTCCTCTTGTTTGCAAGGAGAGTGCTCTAACCAATACGCTACAGAACTCTACCTTTACCTCAAAACCATACATCCCGCTTCTGGCTCAGTCCATTAACAGCAAAACCATTACGTTAAACCTGTGCAACTTCTTCCCCTCCCTCCCTCTCTGTCTCCAATAATGTGCAGGAACCTTAAAGCCATCCCTGACCTCAGCTAACCACAGAGTGTTCTCTCACTCGGTCTCAGGATTGCACGTGGAGGGAGATTCTCTCAGTGCAATCACTTTGTTACTGATCAGCTTCTCACTGTTGTTAACTGTAGAAAAAGCCCAGCTGTGTCTCACTGACACAATCCTGACAACATGACCTGGTGAGGTGCCCCCACTGAGGCTCTAGCCCAGCAGCCAGACTTGGTTAGTGTGAGTTCTGGTGTTCAGGGTAAACAGAGGGCCGGGTTTTACCTGAGAGGTAACTTGATGCTGGTCGAAGTGTGAAAGATGCTGGAATTTGGCAAATATGTCCTCAGCTGTAGGGAACGCTTCTGGCTTATTTCTTTTCCGCTTCTGTCCTTCCTCCCCGCCTGCAGATAACATCAGCACAATTACACCAGCTCGCACAGCCATGCCCTCCACCCCAACCCACCCCCCACAGCCCAGCTCTTCAGGCACAATCTGAAGATGGGGAAGGGTGGAGCAAGGCACAGGAATAGAGGAACACAGTGACAGTGTTTCAGGGGGTAGGAGCCAGGAATGGACAGAGACTCACCAGTCTCCGCGGTGCCCTTCTTGTTCAGCACTTTCAGTGTATCTTTGGTTATTTTTTTGATGAGGTGCCGTGCTTCGTCCCGCTGCTTGCCCACACCGTACAGTACCACCAGCCGCTGGTTACACTCGTGGCTGGCCGATTCCTCCTGCTCCCGCGCAGGGGGTGGAGGGAGAGAGGGGGGGGGGGGGGGAGAGAGAGGGGGGTGGGAGAGAGAGAGGGGGGTGGGAGAGAGAGAGGGGGGGTGGGAGAGAGAGGGGGAGGTGGGGGGATACGGGGAGAGAGGGGATACAGGTCAGAGAGTGGTTCACCCCTGTCGCAGGCACAGCTTCCCTCCCCACATTATATCAGGCACTGACCTTCCTTCGCTGTCGGTTAGTGTGAGGCAGCGGGGGGTTAATGTAATGTTATGGGTGTTAGTGTAACGTTAAGGGGTGGGGGGGAGGGAGGCAGTCTATAGCTGAGACACTGTGAGCTGCTGACCTGGGGGATGGGGAAGTGGGAGGCGTACTGGATGTGTCTGGGCTGCTCGTACGGGGAGGGGAAGGGGGCCTCGCTCAGCCTCTCTCCACTCAGCCTCTCTCGCTGCAGCAGCCTCAGTTCTCTCTCCGAGCCCGCCTTCTCTGGTGACGGGCTGGCCTTCGACTCACAGTGCATCGGGGGCGAGAACATCTGGGGAGAAAAACAACAAGCATTTCATTCTTCCTCCCTCCCTCATCCTCTCACAACATAGTACAACACCATAGTGCCTTCCATGTGGGAGAATTTATACTAAACTGAAGCCAAACATACAATACACCCACACATACACACTCCGGTCAGTCACTGCCCAACACAGGATGCGGACTTGCTGTAGGTGTTTTTGGACAGGTTTATTTGAAGGAGAAACGTTCCTGAAACACCTGATGCCTCCACTCCCACTGCCTGCAGCTCACATACGCAGTTAAGAGACCCCACCACCCGCCCAATCGCTCCCAGCCTCAATTCCAGGCCAAGTAAAGAAAGAAAAGGGCAAAATAACATCAAAACTGTGAACTTACAGAGAAATCAGAACTAAATTCACTCTTGAAATCGCTCTTTTCCACATCTTCAAAAATCGCGCTGGAATTTTGGTCTATATCCATTCCCTCTGACAAGCCGGTGTCCTGTGGGGAGAGGAGAGCGAGACGCAGATTAAAACTGCTCAGGGCCAGTGCAGAGCCTGGCAGCCAGGACAGGAGCAATCCCAGGGCACCGGCACCTGTTCCCTCACCTCCAGTTTCACACTGTTGTTAGCTTCCTGCTCCTTGTGTTCCTGCTCCTCTGCTGTGTCCTCGGTGGGGGAGCGAGCTCGGGCCCCCTGGCTCTCAGAGGCCAGATCTCCGCGAGAGATGAGTGTGCACATGTATACGTTGTGGGAGAAGACATCATGCCGGATCAGCTCACAGAACAGCAGCACCAGGTTAGCAAACTCAGCCTTCTCACTCTCACTGCTGGGGTCAGCTGTAAGGCAAGGGAGCCAGGGCAGAGAGTCACTGATTAACCAGCTCCCAAACAGCTCAAGCCCCCTCGCCACATACCCCCACCCTCCTACACACTAAGCAACCCCCCGCCCCCACTCCCCCACCCCCAGGCTGTGCCTGCCCCACCTCCAGCTTAACACAGGTAATGCATGAGAAAAGCAGCTTAGAGTTTCAGAGGAGCCCAGAGCACACAAAGGATAAACCAATGGCTGTTTGTTCTCCATCCCATAAACCTTTTAATGAGAGTGTCTAATGTGCATTATAAAACTCAGGCTGTGAACCTTCCAACGCACTACAATGTCAGCTCAGCAACAGCTATAAAAGCCGCTACAAATCCCACCGATATTTCAGCCCAGCACAGAGAGAAGCTGTCTCTAACAAGGCAGCTGGGGTGCAATGTAATGAGAGGCCTTCTCCAGCCAGGTTTTACATTCCGAGCGGAGGCTGGTGGTGATTCAGTAACTAGGATAAGAGATTCAGTAACGAGTCTGTGCACACGTCACAGAGATCTCAGCACACGAGGAGGCCATTTGGCCCTATCCAGACTAGGCTTGTGCCACCATATCTCTGTTCTAACCCCAATCCCCGGCTCTGTCTCTGTGCCCTTATATTTCACAGTTGAGATGGGATTTTCTGGCAGAAAGTGGCACTATCAGTGAGCAGCAATCACGTGGAGCACCATCGCCCTCTAGACACTAACCAAGGTCTGCAAGATCCCAACTGAACACCAGACACCCTGACAACAGCCTGACTCAGGGAGTCAGACAACTCCCACCCCCTCTCGTACTTACTCAGCATTGGAGCCTGAGTGTCCAGGAACTGCACCAGCACATCCTGGAAGACGGGTACGCTGGCGGTGGTCAGGGAACCTGACGACACGGAGCCTTTCTCATCAACCACCTCCGACTCACCGCATCTCTACAGAGGTTACAAGAGGCAAAGTGAGTCTGTCATCAGGAAGCATGGTGGCTTCTACAGCAAAATCACCTTCAACTCGGTGATCAGACACCCTTCCCCCACCTCAACCCACCCAACCCTCCCCAGACACCCCCACTCCCTCCCATTCCCCAGACAACCCCACTCACCCCCAAGGAATTCCCATTCCCGAGGCCCCAGGCTTCCTCGGGATGGTGAGAGTGGAGTTTGGAAGCACGGCTTACCTCGGCCTCGATCTCGGCCTGCCTCTTCTCCAGCAGCTTAGCCACCACCATGGCCTGGTGCCGGCCCGAGCGCTTACAGCTCACAGCCCACTCACACAGCAACGTCATCACAGCATCGTCATCAGGCAGCATCTGCAGCAGCACACAATGTCACACAGTGTCACTCACCCCACGTCATCTTCATCATCAGAGAGAGCGTACCCTCCCACCATCATCAGAGAGAGCGTACCTTACCATCATTATCATCAGACAGCGTACCCCCCATCATTATCAACAGACAGCGTACCCCCCATCATCAGACAGCGTACCCCCATCATCATCATCAGACAGCGTACCCCCATCATCATCATCATCAGACAGCGTACCCCTATCATCATCATCAGACAGTGTACCCCCCATCATCATCGACATCATCAGACACAGCGTACCTTACCACCATCATCATGAGCGCGTATCCCCATCATCATCATCATGAGAGAGTATTTCCCCATCATCATCATCATGAGAGAGTATTTCCCCATCATCATCATCGAGTATACCCCCCATCATCATCATCATGAGAGAGCATAAACTCCATCATCATCAAGAGCAGAGCCCCCCATCAACATCAGAGAGCGTACCCCCAACATCATCATCATCGAGAGCGTATCCCCCCATCTTCTTCTTCAAGAGCGTACCTCCATCATCATCAAAGAGAGAGCGTAGCCCCATCATCATCTTCACCATCAGAGAGAGCGTACCCCCCATCATCATCATCATCATCATCATAAACGGTGTGCGTATGTAACCCACTCCATCATCACCACAGAGAGACTGTGTGTGAGTGTAACCTCCAGCATTAGAGAGAGAGAAAGACTGATCTACTGGAGACCTTGGACAATCTATACAGTCGGTGAATCTCAGAGCGAAGTGAATGCTGTACCCACCTCGTGCCCATCCTTGTTCTGTCCCGACCCAAAGATCCTGTTGTACAGCGAGTCCAGTGAGTTGTTGAAGTCGGACTTCTCAAAGCTATGGCTGTCCAACACCTCCAACGTGTGGAGCACTCGGCCTATGGTGAAACCTGCAAAAGAGCCCGCGGTCAGTAATAGTCAGACAGTCAGACAGTGCGAGATACCTGTCCATACTGACCGAGGAACCCTGCACTGCTAAAAGTGAACCCAGAAAACACTTTATACACAGGAACTGATATCCCCTCTGATGGCAAACCAGCCACTGGATTATTAGCAGTTATACAATGGACAGACAGTGGTGTAGGGGAGAGCTGCATGTTGACCCAGCGAGAGCTTGTTACGCATCATTGAGGCAAAAGTAAAAGTGTGAGAGTGTGTGAGTTCCCAGGCTGTGTGTTGGCAGCAGTCTGTGTCTGGGGCCATGGGTAATGCCCAATGTTACCTGCAGTGGTTTCCTGGCATTTATCAAACGACCACCTGACCTCCACCGCTTGCCCACGCTCCTTAATCTGCTCTTCTATCTCCCGCACCTTGGCCCGGACCTGCATAAGGGAAATAAGGCATAGTTATATGAGTCTGTCATCCATCACAGGCGTTCCTCAATCACCTGAGAGAGAGAGGAGAGAGAGAGAGAGAGAGAGAGACTTCACACACCTGCTGGGTGAAGTTGGAATTCCCGCCTGGCATGGGTAGGCTGGATGGTGCGATGGGTAAAAGATCCAGGGGCGATCCCGTCTTGTTCCTGCAATCAGTCAGCGAATAGTGCCAGACCAGGGCGCTCGGGCAACACAGAACAATACTCTGCCAACAAACAGTTGCTGGTCAGTCAACATGCCTGGTTATCACTGTATCTGTGATCTTCCCACCTCCACACACAGCCCAGTCAGCCTTGCTTAGAGACTTGTCTAAACAGGCAGCCTGACACCCCCCCACCCCAACTCCTGCTCTCCACACTCCAAGTCCAGAGACAGCAAAAACAGGCAGCCTGGATCCCAGCTTCTTGGTAAATATTAATAATAATAATCCTTGTATTTGATGTGGCGCCTTATCATGTCTTCGAGACGTCTCAAAGCGCTTCACAGGTTACACAGTAAAGTGAAATGCTGTATGTTTTGTGATATACAAATGCAATAATAAAGTAATATTCAATAATATATTTGATTAGTACTAAAGACCACAGCAGGGAACGTTGCAGCTGCCCCCACTCCCCCCACCCAGTTACAGCCTGGAGTAATTGGCCAATACAGCTTTACCTGAAGCATACAGCTGAGCCCGAAGACCACCGGCCGATGCTGAGGGCAGATGTAAAAGTCCATGAAGGGAGACTGAGGTTGGGTCCCACCGCTGGGTGGGGGGGTTGGAGTTGAGGGCAAGGTGTTGGTGCTGGGTGTTGGCATCACATGGGACTGGTGCCCTCCTGTCACAGCCGGGCCACTGGCATCACCCAGCAGCATAGAGAGGCGGCGGGTACAGAAGTAAGCCAGACGCCTGGAGAGGTAGGCAGACTGCACAAACTCCCCCGAGTACTGCAGAGAGACAGAGAACTGGTGAACAGGCGTCTACAATACACAACAACAACCAGCATCTATAATAATAATCCTTGCATTTGATATGAAGTGAATTGACTGTATATTTGTGGGTGAAACGCGGCAGCCAATTGCACACAGCAGCGTCCCACAAACAGTCGTGGAATGAAATGACCAATTTATTATTGTTTTGTTTTGGAGGGATTATTATCAGACGTGTGGAGTAAGGAAACTTGCCCAAGGTTTCGCCCTGCCGGGAATTGAACTCAGGTGTCTCACTTGCAAGGTGTGTGCTCTAACCACTGAGCTACAGGACTATACAGCACCTTCACACGGGGCAGCGTCTCACAGATATTACTTTTAAAGCACTTTTGAGACATTGTGAACAGCACATGCGGCTTGAGCTGAACACTGTGTGTGTGTGTGTGTGTGTGGTGGGGTGTTGAGCTGAGCACTGTGTGCGTGTGTGTGCCCACGTGTTGAGCTGCTCTCAGTCCTGCAGTCACTGATGGCAGAGCTGCTGGCGTAAGACGTGACGGACGGAATTCTCTCACCTGTAACATCAATGGCAGCAGCAACTTGAGGAGCTCGTCCTCCCCGGGCGGATCTTCTCAAAACACTCGAGCACCCAGGTCAGGAACTCGTGTCTATCCAGCATCCCGTCCTGCCGCAGAGAGACAGACAGACAGAGAACAGAGGGAGAGACAGACAGACAGAGAGGGGGAGACAGACAGACAGGGGAGACAGACAGAGAGGGGGAGACAGACAGACAGAGAACGGAGACAGAAAGACAGACACAGAGACAGACAGACACAAAGACAGTGTTAGACTAAATTGCATACTGAAGAGCCAGACTATGTACAAACAGAACTGTTGCCACAATTCTTTCCCACCAAAGGAACATGAGAAACCATTTCCCACCGGGTGAGTAAACATCCTGATTAAAGCGCAGTCAACAACATAGTAAGATTTCACTGATTCCCGATTACTATATAAAGAAACCATCGTACCTGAAACATGTAAAGTGCCAACTTTTCATTATATTCCCACTGCTTCATGGTCAGCTCCACCTCGGGGGCGGGGGGCTGTGCGGGGGTCCCGCTGCCCTGCGAGCATGGCAGACGGTAAGACTCTGCGATCTTCTGTAGCTGCTCCCAAAGGTATTTAGTGATGATCTGGGTCCACTCTGAGGGAACAGTGAGGGAGGGAGAGGAGGGGTTTTAATAATGTATACAATTGTCTCACTGATTTGGGGTCATTTCATTTCATACCTGTAAACCTCTTACAGCTGTGGCAGTCACTGTATCACTGACACCAAGAGGAGGAATCGGATCGTGCTGGTACCGAGCCCTGTCTCAGGCTGATCTGCAGGAAACCCGCTCGCACACCAGTAGACAGGATCACAGCCAACGGTGTCCGCGGGGATATCACACAGCCAACAGGAGACACACCTGTGTACCCACAGGATCCACCTGTACAAAACATCACTCTCCCAATGCCCAGTCCTAAACCAGCCATCACACACTGCCCAAGCTCTCTACAGAGCTACGTCTCTCAGGCTTCCTGTCACTTGTAGTGCTGTCTCCACCTGTGCTCTCGCGCTCAGGAACGGTCACTGCAGTTGCTGCTCTGCTCATTTGACCAGGACTAACACTCCCAGCAGCACTAACAGTTCTTTCATTTCTTGTTGTTTGTGACCCATGTATGACAAGGGAGGCTCCAGCAGCCCACCAGCCAGCTCTCCCACAGTCAGACCAGCAACTGCAAACCCACAGCACTGAGACCCTGACTGAGCACGGCAGGAAGATTTGTGCTCAAAAGGAAAGATACCATTGCGTCAGGGAAAAGGAACAAGCTCAAGCCTGTAAACTGTGACCACATCATTTCAACCACGCTGAAACGCAGGAACCCATCCCTGGCTCTGTCAGAGGCCACCCTTTGACATGTGAGCAAACATACCTATACACGGGTCAATCACGTGCCGTTTCTTCATCTTGGTTTCAGTGATGGCTGCATAGTAAGCACAGGTCATCTTTATCAGCCAGGCCGCCCGCATGACCGGCACCGAGTACTTGGCCAGGTACCCAAATACCTCCTCCTTCTTACTGAATATAGGCACCTGGAGCAGGGGAAAGAACAGCCTCATGAATTACAGCCGGAACTCTGACACGCTGAAATGCACAAACTCTGGCCTCCTCTACATGAGTGTAGGTAAACCACACACAACGGCAATGTGGCACAGCCCTCACTTACAATGGAGCCTGAGGGGAACAGCGCAGTGGGGGAGAAGGGGAATTATTCTTTGTGCTGAGTTGAAGACACCGCCCACAAAACACACAGCGACTCCACTTTACAGCTCATCCTGTGAAGCGCTGTGAGGTGTCCTCCCGATGTGAGTGAAAGACAGCGTATGAAATGTGAGATTACCTTTTTGGCGAGCTGGGTGAGTGGTTTAGTTCCAGCGAGGTCAGTGAACCAGTTGTGGATGGAAGGCTGAGAGCGGGCGGTTACCAGCCAGAAGCTGTCTTTCTGATTAACCTGAGGCTTCCTCTTACCGGTGTCGGGGAATGTGTTACATCGCAGCTTCTCGGCAATGATACTGCTGAAATACGAACTGATCTGCAACAAGCCAGCATAGCGTCAGAGGCAGAAATACAACAACGACTTGCATTTCTACAGAGCTTTTTGCACGAGGCAGCGTCTCGGACCGCTAAACACCGAGCCGGAGGGATTAGAGGAAGGTCGTCAGGTGTAATCTGAAAACAGGAAAGGAGGGGGCAAGGCAGAGGGATTGAGGGAGAGAGTTCCAAAGTTTCGGGACGCAGTGGCTGAAAGCAAGGTTGCTGATGGTGGAGCGGAGAAGACGAGGGACCAGCAGGACGCCGGAGCCAGTCGAGCGGAGGCAGCAGGTGGTGGAGGTACGGGCAGACTTTGACTTTTTGTGACTTTAGACGAGCGCCGTTACTGTGCTGCAGGAAGGGCAGAAACCAGACTGGAGCCTCTCCAGTTGGGAGGGGAGGGAAAAGCGTGAGCAAAATTTATTTGCAACAACGTGTTCCACAATACAGCAAGAACACATGCACAATGTCAGGCCTAACAAAGCACACACATAAACCATGTGAATTAGTTATATTTACACCACAAGCTCTCTCCCAGATCAAGTCAAAGACATATCTGCTTACTTTGCCAGGATTGAAGTTGACGTTTTTGGCGCTGCCGTGTTCGTCCCCGGACACCGCGGGCTGGTTGTTAAAGCCCTGCTTGACATTCAGTGCCGTCAGCTCATCCTGAAACCAAAGAGGCATTCAGGTTAGAGACATCACCACAGCCACTAACCCTAACCCTAGAGTGCATGCAGCCAACCCTCGTCAATCAGCACCATTGAGTGAGAAGGGGAGGACATGATAAACCCTGTTGCTTTACATGATTCACAAGATGAGGAGAATCTGCAGTCACTAATGTGCTGCGGGTTCATGTGCAGGAGCAGTAGAAGCAAGAGAGTGGCTGACTTTAAACAGCTCACTCACAGCCCTCATCCCTTGCAATTGATGAACTGTTCAGATATGGAATTCATTTTCAGATCCTAACCGGATGGTTACATCCCCAGAAGCATGTCAGCCTGGGATTCTTTACAACAGAGAGAGAGAAAGCTGGGAAGAGAAGAGTTTGTTATCTTTTCAGAAAGCTGTGTTTTGCCACAAGTGTGCACTATGCCACTGCTTCAGGTAGTAAGGTCCCAATATTCAATCACACACCTTGAAATGAACAGCCGCTGTCCCTGTGAAACTGGACTTATTGTTGGTACAGAGAAGAGCACACTTGGTGTTTTGTTGAAATCTGGAACGCATCGCCTGAAAGGGCGGTCGAGGCCGATTCAATAACTACTTTTAAAAACGCGGTGGAAGGTATTTGAGGAGGACGGGTTTGCAGGTTATGGGAAAGGGCCGGGGAGTGGGACTGACATTACATTGCTCTTTTCAAAGGGCCAGCACAGACTCGATGGGCCGAATGGCCTCTTTTTGTGCTGTACGATTTTATGATAATAATCCTTGTATTTGATATAGTGCCTCATAACGTCAAAGCCCTTCACTGAGTTTTCTGTAAAGTGTTGTCACTGTGTATTTGTAGGGGAACATGGCAGTCAATTTGTGCACAAAAATGTCCCACAAACAGCCATGAAGCGAATGACCAACTTTTTAATCTGGAGGATTGCTGGCCAGCCTATTGGGAAAGAAACTCCCTTCTCTTCTTGAATCGTGTAATGGGATCTTTAAGGCCCTCCTGAGCAAGAACAACAACAATAACAAGATTCCATTTATAGAGCGCCTTTCACGTTGGGAGGAAGTCCCAAGGCGCTGTACAGTTGGGTCAGGTCCCGGGCATTGGGGGGGAAATGGTCAGGGCGAGGGAAGGGAGGGAGTGAGGAGGGGGAAGAGAGTCGAGAGGGGAGCTGAAGGCTGAAGGTCAAAGAGAAAGGTCTTGAGACCGGCCTTGAAGGAGGAAAGGGAGGAAGCGGCGAAGGCACTGGGGGATGGAGTTCCAGAGCCTCGGGGCTGAGAGGCTGAAGGCCCGGCCACCGATGGTAGGGCGGTTGGGGCGGGGGATGTGGAGCAGACCGGAGCCAGAGGAACGGAGGGTACAGGCAGGTAGGTAGGGGGATAGTAGGTCGGAGAGGTAGTAGGGAGCGAGGCCGTGAATGGCCTTGTAGGTGAATACAGGACCTTGGTTTAACGCCCCATCTAAAAGATGGCACCTCTGAGAATGCTGCATTCTCCCAGCATTGTACGGGAATGTCAGCCTCGTTTAGAAACTCAAAGTGCTGACAAGGGTCTTAGACTAACAACAACACATTGCATTGATATTTACATAGTGCCTTTCACGTTGGGAGGACGTCCCAAGGCGCTGAAACCTTCTGACAGAGAGCGCTACCAATTGTACCAGGCTGACACCTGTAATGTGGATCAAAAAAATTCTGTTGAGCCCATCACATACCCAAACGTCTCAACATCTCCCTCCCAGCATTGCACTGGAGGGTCAGTCTGGTCTGTGAGCCCAAAGTCCCCAATGTGGGCGCTCGAACCCACAGCCCTCTGGCCCACAGAGCGCTACGTACTGAGCCACTGACACCGGGGGACAGGGACTGAACATGGGATTAATAAGGAGGAATTTAATAACAAGAGCACTTTATACTCCAGAAACTTTATGGAAGACAGAATGGGCGAAGATGGATTTCACAGAGAGGTTGTTTGTGGCCGGGGAGAGAGAGGGAGAGGGAGCGGGAGAGCCCGAGGGTGGGAGAGCGGGAGGGAGAGGGGGAGAGGGAGCGGGAGGGGGAGAGGGAGCGGAGGGGGAGAGGGAGGGGGAGAGCCCGAGGGTGGGAGAGCGGGAGGGAGAGGGAGGGGGAGAGGGAGAGAGAGGGGGAGAGGGAGCGGGAGAGGGAGCGGGAGAGCCCAAGGGTGGGAGAGCGGGAGGGAGAGGGGGAGAGGGAGCGGGAGGGGGAGAGGGAGGAGGAGAGGGAGCGGGAGAGCCCGAGGGTGGGAGAGCGGGAGGGAGAGGGAGGGGGAGAGGGAGAGAGAGGGAGGGGGAGAGGGAGAGGGGGAGCGGGAGGGAGAGGGTGGGAGAGGGAGAGCCCGAGGGTGGGAGAGGGAGAGCCCGACGGTGGGAGTGGGAGAGGGAGAGGGAGAGCCCGACGGTGGGAGTGGGAGGGGAGAGGGAGAGCCGAGGGGTGGGAGAGGGAGTGGGAGAGGGAGAGGGAGAGCCCGAGGGTGGGAGTGGGAGTGGGAGAGGGAGAGGGAGAGCCCGACGGTGGGAGTGGGAGAGGGAGAGCCCGACGGTGGGAGTGGGAGTGGGAGAGGGAGACGGTGGGAGTGGGAGAGGGAGAGGGAGACGGTGGGAGTGGGAGTGGGAGACGGTGGGAGCTTCCCATTGTGCGGCGATTCCCAGGACAAGAGGTGAGTCAAACCCGGAGTCTCGGGGCTTTGTCTCAGCTCAGCGGCGGCCCGACCGGACCCCGTCACTGCCTCCACCTCCCGCCGGCTCGGCCTGATCCCGATCCGATCCCGATCCCGGGTCCGAGTCTGATCCCGATCCCGACCCCAATCCTAATCCTAATCCGGGGACGGCTGTGTGTGTGTGTGTGTGTGGGGGGGGGGGGGGGGGGCAGGGCCGCGGCTGCCGGTATTGTCTGAGCCGCCTCGCCAGGCCCCGGCCTCTCGCGCTCGCCCTCCCGCTCGCTCACAGTCTCCTCGGCCTCTCTTACCTCTTTCTGCTTGGGATCCTGCGGGTACACGTCCGGCGGCCCGAGCCGAGGCCTCTTCAGCGGCCTGTGCTCATAACTCAGGATCCCGAACGCCGCCATCTTTGGGGAAACCCGACTTTAGCCGAGCGCCGCCGGAAATAACCGAGTGTCGCCGGAAATAACCGAGTGTCGCCGGAAATAACCGAGCGTCGCCGGAAATAACCGAGCGCCGCCGGAAATAACCGAGTGTCGCCGGAAATAACCGAGTGTCGCCGGAAATAACCGAGTGTCGCCGGAGACTGCCGAACCCGAGCCAAGGAAGGACCTGAGGGTCACGTTGTGCCGATGACACTCAGCTGTTAAGGCTACAAGACTTCCTTCCCTGTAAATGCCGTGACTGGGTTTAGGTTGGGCGACAGTCACCAGTTCACACTGTTTCCACTGGTTGGTGAACAACAACAAATATTCGCCCACAAATATACATTCAATTCACTTTACAGTCTATTCTGTGAAGCGCTTTGAGACATCTAGAAGATGTGAAAAGCGCTACATCAAATGCAAGGATTATTATTAGTAGTAGTATAACAACAAGATTACATTTGTATAGCTCCTTTCACATCGGGAGGATGTCCTAAGGCACTGTACAGTATTTCAGACCAGACCCGAGCTGGAGTCAGCGTGAGAAGGGAGGGGAGAGGAAGGGGGGTGGCCGATGGCATGGTCAAAGAGGAGGGTCTTGAGGCAGGACTTGAAGGAGGCTAAGGAGGTGGCGAGATGGAGTGATTGGGTGATGGAGTTCCAGAGGTTGGGGGCAGAGTGGCTGAAGGTTCTCCTGCCAATGATGGAGTGGGTGGGTCGGGGGACATGGAGCAGGCCGGAGTCGGCTGAGTGGAGGGAGCGGGTGGGTTGGTAGGGGTTTAGGAGGTCACAAAGATAGGGTGGGGCGAGGCCATGGAGGGCTTTGTAGGTGAGGATCAGGATTTTGAATTGGATCCTCTGAAGGATAGGGAGCCAATGGAGTCGGATGAAAATAACAATAAACCTTGCATTTTACACAGTGCATAATCATGTCATCCAATTGCTTGGCCACGTGCAGAAACCCACCACCCACATCAAGAGTCTCCAAACCAAATAGAGTTCTATGCAAAATACAAAACACTGCAGATGCTGGAAATCTGAAACTAAACCAGAAGTTGCTGAGAACACTCAGCAGGTCAGGTGGCAACTATGGAGAAAGGAAACTGAATCAACATTTTGGGTGCGCGTTCTGATGAAGGGTCGTGGACTTGAAACGTTGACTCACTTTCCTTTCTTCATAGATGCTGCCTGACCTGCTGAGTGTACCCAGCGACTTCTGCTTTTGTTTCAGAGTTCCATGCATCCCACTTATCAGTGGAAATTCCAGAGATATTTATTAGAATGGAATGTGCACTCTCTCACTGGAGGGATGCATCCTGCTCACCGAACTCGGGAGAGTATCAGGCGTAGAATGGTAAGTTTTCCCGCTGCTTATCTAGCTAGGACCACCCTTCCCGTTTGGGCTTTGGCTTGGCTTGCAGGATTAACAGGAGCTGAGTGGGATGAGGATTCCCCTGCTCCCAGTGACTGCTCCCAGTGACTGTCTGCCCTGCCAGGTCCTGCCGATGAGTCAGGCTGGACTGTGCTGCTGTGAGCAGCGAGTGCCCTGGGATACTGCGGAGCTGCCGGGCTCAGGAACCGGCCAAGAGACGGTCACATGGGGGGGGGGGGGGCTCGATTCTGACATTCGGTAAAGTGTAGTGACTGGGTATTGTGGGCGAGCCATTGCCATTGCCCACAGCAGTGATGCTGTGCGCACAGTGCCAGTGATGTGTGACACCTGACAGGTGTGTGGGCGGGACGATGTGCTGAGTGACGTTCCAGTGGACCAATCAGCAGCCGACGCACCTGCGGGACATCCGGCGTTGTCAGGTGCCGGCGACCGGAAGCGAGGGAGCGGGAGGCAGACGGAGGCCGGAGATGGCGGCGCCGCAGCGGCGGGAGGAGGCGGTGCAGATCCCCGATGACCAGGCTTTCGCTTCGTTCCGGCGGCGCTGTGAGGTGGAGCAGGGATGGCAGCAGCGGTACAGCAAGGCCGGCCTCGCGGTGTGGGTGCAGGCCGCCGCCGAGGGGAGGGACGTGCATCAGATCAAGGTGAGCCGCCCCCCCCCCCCCGAGAGAGCCCCCCCCCGAGAGAGCCCCCCCCCCCGAGAGAGCCCCCCCCGAGAGAGCCCCCCCGAGAGAGAGACGGCCCCCGAGAGAGCCCCCCCCGAGAGAGAGCCCCCCCCCGAGAGAGAGTCTCCCAAGAGAGAGCCCCCCCGAGAGAGACCCCCCCGAGAAAGAGCCCCCCCCGACCCCCTGAGAGAGAATACCCCCCGAGAGAGGTCCCCCCGAGAGAGGTACCCCCCGAGAGCCCCCCCCGCCCCGAGAGAGACCCCCGGCCCCCCGAGAGCGCCCCCCCGAGAGCGCCCCCCCCGAGAGCGCCCCCCGAGAGCGCCCCCCCGAGAGCGCCCCCCCGAGAGCGCCCCCCCGAGAGCGCCCCCCCGACAGCGCCCCCCCCGACAGCGCCCCCCCCGACAGCGCCCCCCCCGAAGCGCCCCCCCGAGAGCGCCCCCCCGAGAGCGCCCCCCCGAGAGCGCCCCCCCGAGAGCGCCCCCCCGAGAGCGCCCCCCCGAGAGCGCCCCCCCGAGAGCGCCCCCCGAGAGCGCCGCCCCGAGAGCGCCGCCCCGAGAGAGAGTCTCCCGAGAGAGAGCCCCCCCCGAGAGAGAGCCCCCCCCCGAGAGAGACGGCCCCGAGAGAGAGACCCCCAGAGAGAGACCCCCCCCGAGAGAGAGACTCCCACCCCCCTCAGGAGACGGACGCCCCCGAGAGAGACGTCCCCCATCCCGAGAGAGACGTCCCCCACCGAGAGAGCGACGTCCCCCCGAGAGAGAGACCCTCCCCCGAGAGAGGGACCCTCCCCCCGAGATGGAGAGCCCCCCCCCCTCAGAGAGAGCCAGATTCCCCACCCACCTCGGGTGAGCCTGACCCTCCCCCTGAGGAGAGCCTGGGGGTGGGGAGATGAAGTAACGTTGAAGCAAAGGACGTCACAGGGAACTGCGGTCAGGTGTAGTGACTGTGCGCCTGCGACCAGGCCGAGCGCGGCCGGGCCTCACAAACACAAATTGCGGGAAACAAAATGGTTTCCGATTGATCGGTGGCAGCGGGAGAGGCCTTGGGGTCAGTTGGCATGTGGCCTGGCACATCGTGCCGAGCAGTGAGCGCCCGTCCCCCAAAACTATTGCTTTTCCCTTTTGTATACAAAATACACCCTTTAAAGTAATATCCTGTGAAGAGCTTTCAGACGTGAAAAGGCACAATATCAATGTAAGGATTATTACTGCACCGGCTCCTGTGTCCCCGGCCTTCCCTGCCGCAGCCGGCTTTATTGCTTCCCACCCCAATTAACAACAAGAACACGCCACCTCGGGTTGGGAGAGTTCCCGCTGGTGCACAGAGGAGGGTTCCTGTCTGTACCATTGGGAATCCTGTTTGCTTGATGGAGAGGAGAGGGTGAAGTTGCATTCAGTGTTATGCCCCGTCAGCCATCACATGACTGTGTGTCAGATAACATGGCCTTTACTGTTTCTAGTGATATCTGTCAAAATGCAAAAGGATTGTTCCATACCGTTTACTGACGGTTCTGCATTTGTATAAAACAGTTTTGAAATCACCGCACAATCGACATATTGTGTAGAGTGGGACCACGATAAGGATTTAAATAATAATATTCCCGCAGTTAGACAGTCAGTAACATCGTTAGCAACGTGCAAGAGAAGTGATCTTGTAGTTACCCTGCGGTCAGTGGCTTCCTGGTTGGTGGGGAAGTATTAATGTGAGAGTTTATTAGCTGATCTCAGTGTGGTTCCTCAGGCTCCTGTGGGAGGTGGGTTGGTTATGTCATCCTGTGGTTAGCTGTTGACTGGAGCTGGGTCAGTGCGTGTCAATGCATTTTGTGACCATCTCTTGTGCAACAGGCATTGGGAATGCCGGGATAGCGTCTGAAATCCATCATGTGGCTTGGGATCAGGTTTTCCTTTTGGGGGGCTGTGCTGGTGCAATAAGGACAGAAGGATCTATTTGTAACCTGCCCATTGCTCTCTGCACTTCAGCTTTGAAACAATAAATAAAAATGCCCTCAATCCACCCCCACCACACACACACACACACACACTAGCTTCGCTTGTACCACAGTGAATGTGGCCACTTGTCACAGTTACTGAACTCCAGTTACTGCCTGCCTGTAACCGCACTGCTCTCTCTCTCGCTCTTTCAGTGTAGAATTGATATCAAGGATGTGTCGGCTGAAACCATGTACGACGTACTGCATGACATCGAGTACCGGCGCAAGTGGGACACCAACATGATGCAGACCTTCGACATCGCTCGGCTCACTGTCAATGCTGACGTCGGCTACTACTCCTGTGAGTCACGCACGTTTACTGAACTCATCTCCAGCCACCCCCCACCTGCTACCCTGACTTGTCTCCCCCACTCTCCACCCACCCTCTTCTGAGATGAGGAAATGCCTGCCCCTTATCCTCGTTCCTTTTCACTTTCTTTCGTGTAGGGAGATGTTTGAAACCTTTGCAGAATCGGGATGTTGTTACACTACGCTCATGGCTGGTCCTGGATACGGATTATATGATCATCAATCACTCTGTCAAACACCCAGTGAGTAATAAGCGCGAGCATTTACCCTTCCCCGCACCCCCAACTCATCGAGAAGAGATACCTGAGGTTCTGGTGTGAGGCTGTATCTATATGGAGCGCAGTGACCATACCAGGGGACTGCCCCCCAACACACCCCACTCCTGGCCTGATTGGTGATAATCAGAAAGGTGCTCTGTGGCAGTCGGGGTAGTTCTGAGGTCACTGTTGACTCTGCAGACATGCAGTGCCGTGTGGTCTAAGTAATGATGATAATTTTTGCATTTGATCCTAGAATGTTGAACAACATATCAAAGCCTTTCTCAGGGAATTAATGTCGCATGTACTGACTATATTTGTTTGCAAATACAGCAGCCAATGTGCGACCAGCAAGGGCCCACATGAAGTGAAGCTCAGGTTTATTGGGGATGCATTGTTGGCCTGGACGCTGGAAGAAGCTCTTCTATTTTTCGATAAATTTGTGGCATCTTTAAAGTCCTTCTGTGAGCAGAGATGGGACCCTGGTTTAATGCCTGGCTTGAAGGACGGCACCTCTGAACAACGATGTACATTTTAATGTGCAACATTTCAATGTGGCATTTCTTCCTTTCTGTAGAATTACCCTCCTCAGAAGGGGCTGGTGCGAGCGGTGTCTATCCTCACCGGGTACCTCATACACTCTACCGGCATCAATAGCTGCACCTTAACCTACTTGGCACAGGCCGACCCCAAAGGTAAGAGTGGGGTGAGGGGAGGGGAGGGAAGAGATAGGTAACAGTGTGTTTGGGGCTGAGAAATGGAGATTTGGGGTGCGGGTGAGATTAGGGCTGAGCTGAGATTCTGACTGGGTGTCCATTTTACAGGATCGCTGCCAAAATGGGTTGTCAACAAAGCTTCGCACTACCTGGCTCCCAAAGTAAGTATCCTGCGCTTGCTGTAGGTTGTGTTTTGAAGCCTTATTGTGGTTGGCCATGTGTGTGGCAGGGATTGGTGTCCGAGCAGGGTGCTGGAGCTCAGTGCACCTGGCTGCAGCCATCACTGGTTATAATTATCTTGTGATCTTGCACATTACACCGCAGTGTGTGTGTCACATTCGGCTTGACAGAGTGTGTGTGTGTTTTACATGTGGCCTGGCTGTGTGTGTATGTTTGTGTGGCGTGTGTGTTTTACTTGTGGCCTGACGGGGTGTGTGTTTCAGGTGCTGAAGAAGCTGTGCAAGGCGTGCATGAAGTACCCCGAGTGGAAGCAGAAGAATAAGCCGAGCTACAAGCCGTGGCTGAACCCGGAGCAGAGCCAGCTCCCAACCATGAGTCTGTCGGAGCTGTCCATCCAGCATGCAGACTCTTTGGAGAACATCGACGAGAGCGGCCTGAGCGAGGTGAAGGATGGCAGTGATGAGGAAGAGACCAGCAGTAAGACAGGGAAAGCCTAAACCTGCTGCTGGGGCCAGGAGCTGCTGCAGCCTGAGTGGCCGTGTGGGATCTGATTGGGGGGAATGTGATATGTGGGAACGCTGCTCTGAATGAAGCCAGATTGTGTAGATGTAGGTGTGGCGGCATCCACAGTACCAGGCCATGGGGTCGTGCCGTGTGGTGTTAATAGGGTAAATCACTGTTCACCCACTGCAGCCCAACTGGGGGGGTGGGGGGAAGGTGTCAGCTGTGAGGAGTTACACATTCAGCTGATGCAGCCATGACGTGAAAAGGCCAGCACAGCACATAGCTAGTCCGGTCTCGATGCTGAGGGTCAGAGTACAGAGCGAGAAACTCTTGCAGTGACATCTACAGCAAGGCCGCACGGTGATTGTTTAAATCAGTTACACAGATATCATATCAGGCATTGGGGTTCATGATTTAATTTACGAACTGCCACGGTTCCCAAGTCACCTTGTAGCAAGAGGTCGTACATCATTCTCTTCTAGCAATTTCTCTCTCTCTCTGTGTGGACAGCAACCTGCTGCCTCTCTCTATCTGTCTCTCTGTACGCAGAGACCTGTTGCCCCTATCTCTCTATATAGTAACCTGTTGCTTCTCTGTACGGCCCCCAATGTTGTGGAGATTGTAGTCACATGAACTGCTTGGTTTGCAATCTGTTAAAGCCAGACATTCTATGTGAATGTAGAATCCACCTGTCCAGGAACGAAGCCCAGCAATGTATACCTGCAGGTTCTAAACACTTATGTGTTGGTGGTGGGGGGATGGGGTGAGATTCCCACATGCCCCAAACCTCTGACTTTTCCAGGTGAATAACCTCAGTTGCCGACAATAATGCTCTTGAGAACAGTGAGGTGCCAACTGGGCAATGTGTCCAAACAGGAGATGTGTGCACATCCTTCCTCCCAAGTGCCATAGTAACCGTCGCTGTGCCTTTCTGTGGGAGAATTGCTGCTGCCATTTCCAGGCCAGCGGGAGCAGGGCAGGTGCTGTGCAAAGCCTCTGAGCGTGGCCATTGCTGCAAGACCTGAAACTGCAGTGTTCAGAGATATACTGCTGGCTGTTTTACGTTTGTTTCTGTTTGTTTCTCTTCCCCTTCCCACAACAGTCCTGGGCCAGTGTTATATCAGATCACTGTGTTCTGGGCCAGTATCTGTTATATCAGATCACTGTTTGCTGGGCCAGTGTCCTGTAAAAAACACATGATGTAACTATGTGATCTGATGTTTCGGGAGTTTGTTGGTTCAGGTATGTTGATCAGCAGGCTGTTAGAAGAGTGAGTGCCTTGTGTAATCCAGACCCTGAACCTGGCACAATTGCTGCAATTTGCCAAAACGCAGCTGTGGATGAATATGGGTTGTGTGTGTAATTGTACCAACCATGTTTGCTAGCACTGTACTGTCCTGTTGTGCTCTGTGGGAACATGCCATTCCTCCACATGTGGACCCTGGGAGATGTCCAGTCAGTTAATAGTTCAGTCATAGTTAACGTGCTATCTGTGTGTTTGTGTGTCTTTTGGCACTCAGCAGCCATGGTACGTACTACTGTTGGCAACCAAATTGTTTGCTTTGGCGGCAGATCCTAACTGACTGTGGATTTCTTACTTTCCCTCTTTCCTTTCCTCCACCACCACACATAACAAATTCCCAATTCAACCCCAACAAAGAGCTCATTTGCTCTAAAACATGTTGATAGTGCGACCACCTGCTGCTGCTCCAATTAACACCCAGGGTCTCGAGGCTGAACTCCAGCCCCTGGCTACCACACAGTAACACAAGGTGGTGTTTTTACTGTCATTCTCAATTCTTCCCCTTTGCATTGAGGTGAACTGAAGAATTTAAAGAAATACATTTGGCAATAAGTGTGAAGTTCCTCCCCACCCCCCCACACACACTACACTACTCCTGGTTTAAGCCTGCTGCTCTGATCTGATTGTCCGACTAACATATGGGCTTCTCTTGCAGCGGATGTGCTCTGCAGCCTGCACACATCCCTTTACAATAAGGACACTAACTTCCCAGCTGTTAAATTATTAATTCTTGGTTCTGTGTGATTTTGGACGCCTGGGTCCTCTCAGTCTTTCCCTTTGGAAATCCATCATTGCACCCACTGTCACACAGGAAAGCAGAAGTGCCACTAACTGCACTAAGTATGAAACGGTCATTCAGTAGTGCCGACGTTTGGTTGGAGAGATTGCCTGTGCTGCTTTTTCAGTTGTCCCCAAGTTGGAAGCTCTAGCTTTGGTCTGCCTCATGTGTAACAAGTGCACGTTGTAATGAAGTGTTCACCCTGCTTAGCCTCACACACTACTCCACTAACCTCCACTGTCCCTCCTAATGGAACCAGCCCACATGCTTAAATTGATCTACGATGTTAATTCTTACAAGGGTGATTTATCAAAATAATTGGAACTCTGCTTCTGGCTAGAATGCTGTTACTCCTATGATGTGTTGTGCTCTGATCTTGCACTCCAGTGCAACATCAGGCTGTTGACTAGCACGGTGATGTGGACACAGTGGGAGTTGAGAATTTAGCAATTGGTATTGTATCTGGCATGTTTGGTGGGGGAGGGGGGAGGCGCTCAGCTTCCAAGCTCCTTTCAACCTCCCAAAGATTTGCGGCTTTTCCAAAACCCTAGGTTTTTTGGACCAATTTGTGTCTCAGAATGCTATAGAATTGCCAATCAACATTAGTTCTGAGGTTTACATTGAGTGCCTGATTGTCTTTAATCCTAAATGGCAGAGTATATTTTAAAGCGAGGAATCTGATTTAGTTTCTGTATTTATATCGTACAAATTTATTGGTGTACAGTTTACAAATGAGTGAAATTCGGATTTAAATTTTCTCTTTACTAAACTGCTGTGATTTGTAAGAACATGCTAATTTTTAATAAATAAAATATATTCCACTGGATATTGGATGTTTGTAAATAATATCTGTGACCCACGAGTTGCTCAAACCGCAAGGTTCAGACACAGAGTGCATTTGATCTCAACCGTCCAGCATGTCAATGCAGTCTTCCCATCAATGTAATTCCTGTTTGTTGGATTTGAGGCATGGTGTTTGCCTAACAAATCACCTGTACTAACTGGATGGAGCAGTCTAGAGGGAGCTTTACTTAATATACCTTTTGCATTCCTGAAAATACTGGGATTAAATTTGTAGCTCAGATTTGGAGACAACAATTTGCAGTTATATAGTGTCCTTCATGTCCCAGAGCACTTGACAGTGGTGGAGTCTGACATCGAGCCAGGCGGAGAGGGAGGGGGGAGGTGACCATAAGCACGATCAAAAAGGAAGGTCTTTAGGCGGGATTTGAATGTGAGGGGGGGGGGGCAAGGCGGAGGGATTGAGGGAGAGTTGCAGAGTGTTGTGGTGTAGTGGCTGAAGGCCACTGATGGCAGAGCGGAAGGGACAACAAGATTCCATTTATAGAGCGCCTTTCACATCGGGAGGACGTCCCAAGGCGCTGTACAGTTGGGTCAGGACCCGAGCAGGGGGGAAATGGTCAGGGTGAGGGGAGGGAAGGGTGGGAGCGAGGAGGGGGTAGAGAGCCGAGAGGGAAGCTGAAGGCACAGTCAAAGAGAAAGATCTTGAGACCGGCCTTGAAGGAGGAAAGGGAGGAAGCGGCGAAGGCACTGGGGGATAGGGTTCCAGAGCCTCGGGGCTGAGAGGCTGAAGGCCATCGATGGTAGGGCAGTTGGGGCGGGGGATGTGGAGCAGACCGGAGCCAGAGGAACAGAGGGTACAGGCAGGTAGGGAGGGGGATAGTAGGTCAGAGAGGTAGGAGGCAGCGAGGCCGTGAATGGCCTTGTAGGTGAGGATGAGGATCTTGAATTCGAGACAACTGCTCACCTCAATCCAAATTGGCACTGCTATTCTACCTCACTTACTGGGCTGTGTCTGCCCCTCCTGCTCAGGTCTGCGTTCACATAAACACTTACACTCGCTTCTGTCTTGCATAGTTGTGGTGTTGCTAACCACAAGACACATTCCTGGTCTCTCACCAGATTTATTAGGTGTCAATGTATAAAAGAGTATCCAGTTAACAAGGTAACCCCAGTACAGAGCCAGGCATTTCTAGACAGTTATGCAGGAGGAAGTTCTTTAAAAAAAAGCCAATAATCACCAATGCAAATAATTTCTTTTGTTTTGAGTTCCTTGTAGGTTACTCCTTCCCCACCTCCATTATTACAATAAACATTAACTGCAAACATGCAGCAGATGGTCTGACACACCTTTCCTGGGACCAGGCTCCACTGTAGGAACAGGAAGAGCTGCGTGTATCCTGGCATTGTATCAGATCATGGCAGATCAATAATCCCTATTCCCCCACGAAGATCTCCTGCAATGTCATTGCTTCCCAAGTAAACATCCATCCCAACCCTGACAAACTGCACGTGAACAGGAATGCTCATTGTGCTGTAAACGTTTATTTTCTGTGGCAGCTTTGTGTAAGTGCCTCACTGCAGTGGATTATATTTTTTACAGAACAGACTAAACTCAGGATTGTTTCACATCTGGACTTTCACATCGTGCCAGGCTGGACTTTGCAACACATCAATTAATTGGCACTGACTGACAAGTCCCCAGCAGTGACGGTCAGCACACAGTGACTATTCATATCCCTTATCAGGCCAGCTCACATTCTCCATCTACTTAACCCGTTTGCCCCTCGGGTTCAGCGGTTACATTTACTGTAAAGTCTGGTGTGAAACTTGATGCCCCAAATAAGGGGGGAAAGATTTATACATGGTGTGTATTCTCCTGGTGTTCAGAGAAATGAGACCTGTAATGGGACGTCCTCCTGACGTGAAAGGTGCTATACAAATGTAATTTTGTATTTTATTATATAAAGTAAGTGCAAGGCAGACAAAGGTGTTCAGAGCACAAGCTTGTATCTTTAAGACTGAGCTCACTGTGCAGAGCTTGTGACCCATTCACTTCTCAATGATATATAAGAATGGAGTTTTTAAACAGTGGTGAGATTCCAAGTCCAACCCCCGCCCTCCCCCCCCCACCCCCACCCCCGGCTGTGAAAGGTGTGCAACAGGTGCCTGCAGATGGTCCAGTCGAGCAGCTATCTTGAAGATTCTCCTGATAAAGTTCCTGAGGCACAGGTGGGTGTCAGCAGAGCAGCTGCTCAGTGAACTGTCCTTTCTTTCTGCCTTTGAAAATCTGTGGAGAAAGTGAGAATCTGATGGATCGGGGTTACCTGGTTGAAAGGATCATCATCTGAGCAGCACCCAGGACACTTTCGTGCTGAATCAGCAGAGAAACCACCCAATCCAGTGAGCTCAACACTGGACAATCGATACACACACACACACACAACCTTCCACTATAATTCCCCTTCGCACTGGGAGACGCAGCAAAAATGATCGATTGGCTTTCAGATTTCGTTTTGATTCTGTCGCCCGTGTGACTCAGATGTGATAAAACCAAACCCAATCCCATTCATCCGGTAGCTGCTTCACAAGGGAGATAGAGGGGAAAACTGGGTTACGTGGCTTTGTTTAACCCCAGTCCTTGTTTAGTTCCTGTTTCTTGCTATAACTCAGTTTCCACACGGATTTATACAATTCATTTTAGGAAAATGCCTTCTCTCTCTTCAAAACCTCAGTCCCCCAATGAAACCGTAAACACTGTACAGTGGGTGGGGGTTGGGGCACAGACCAAACCCATTCAATAGTTTCTGTGCTGTACTTACTGTAAGGGAAGTACCGCACTCTCATTGTAATCTCTCTGGCTGATTTCAGTATCTCAACAGCCTGCGGAACAGCAAACACACACATTAAAGTCTAGCGGCGACAACCGGAATAAGAAACAGGCTCAGCCAGGCGTGTGGAGGCTGTGAGCACCTACCCTGCCGTGCTCAATGTCCTGAAAATCCACCTCGTTCACAGCGAGGACCTGGTCTCCCTCCTGCAGCCCCACACGGCTCGCATCGGAGTCGGGAATCACCTGCGGAGATCAGGCACGGGGGTTAGTTTGTGGACGTGCAGCTCAACTCACGGTCCCCGACCACATCAGGTTATATTAAACTTGGTGCCGGACATGAAGAGAAACGTTGGGAGGGGGTTGGGCAGGGCCGAGCCACGCAGGACACCCACCTTGGAGATGAAGATCCCGAGCTGTGAGGCCTTCCCTCCACGGATGTTGAAGCCGAGCTGCAGGAGGAAGAAACGGGATTGGGTTTGGCTTTAACACACCCGAGTCACAACAACGACAACAAGATTTCATTTATAGAGTGCCTTTCACGTCGGGAGGATGTCCCAAGGCGCTGAACAGTTGGGTCAGGATCCGAGCAGGGGGGAAATGGTCAGGGTGAAGGGAAGGGAGGGAGCAAGGAGTGGGAAAATGGTCAGGGTGAAGGGAGGGAGCGAGGAGGGGGTAGAGAGTTGAGAGGGAAGCTGAAGGCACAGTCGAAAAGAAAGGTCATGAGACCGGCCTTGAAGGAGGAAAGGGAGGAAGCGGCGAAGCCACTGGGGGATAGAGTTCCAGAGCCTCGGGGCTGAGAGGCTGAAGGCCCGGCCACCGATGGTAGGGCAGTTGGGGCGGGGGATGTGGAGGAGACCGGAGCCAGAGGAACGGAGGGTACGGGCAGGTAGGGAGGGGGATAGTAGGTCAGAGAGGTAGGAAGGAGCGAGGCCGTGAATGGCCTTGTAGGTGAGGATGAGGATCTTGAATTCGATCCTCTGGGGGATGGGGAGCCAGTGGAGGCGAGCGAAGGCGAGGGTGAGGGCGAGGGTGAGGGTGGGAGTGATGTGGTCGCGGTGTCTGGTGCGGGACAGTACACGAGCTGCAGAGTTCTGAATGACCTGCAGTGTGGAGGGAGGTGGCGGGAAGGCCGGCGAGAAGAGAGTTCCCGTAGTCCAGCCTTGAGGTGATAAAGGTGTGGACCAGAGTTTCAGCCGCGTGAGGGGTGAGGTAGTGCCGTAGTCTGGCGATGTTTCGGAGGTGATGGAAGGCGGTGCCAGTTGTGGCGCAGATATGAGGAAGAAAGGACAGCTCAGGGTCGAACAGAACCCGAGGTTCCTGAGACTTTGAGAGGTGGAGAGTGCAGCCTTGGAGCTGATGCTGTCAGCGCCTGAGGTGCGGAGGCGCTGACGTGAGCCAATCAGGAGGGCCTCAGTTTTCGCACGTTGAGCTGAAGAAAGTTGTCTCTCGTCCAGGACTCGATGTCGGACAGACAGCTGTCAGGACATCGGTGGTCGTGGAGTTGAGGGTAGAGGAGGAAAGGTAAAGTTGGGTGTCATCCGCATACATGTGGGAGTTAACCCCATGTCTGCGGATGATGTCACCACAGGGGGAGCATATAGAGGGTGAAGAGGAGGGGACCGAGGACAGAGCCCTGAGGGACACTGCACGAGACAGTGCGGGGGGTGGAGGAAAAGCCATTTGTGGAGACAAAGTGAAGACGGTGGGAGAGGTACGACATAAACCATTCAAGGACAGGGCCTTGAAGGTTGAGGTGGGAGGACAAGCGGTGGAGGAGGATAGTGTGGTCGACCGTATCGAATGCTGCCGATAGGTCGAGGAGGACGAGGAGGCAGAGGGAGCCCTGGTCGCAGATGGTCAGGATGTCATTGGTGACCTTGACCAGGGCAGTTTCTGTGCTATGGGCAGCACGGAAACCCGACTGAAGGGGTTTGAATAATGAATGGGTGGAGAGGAAAGAGCGCAGTTGGGAGGCGACAACTCTTTCAAGGACCTTGGACAGGAAGGGGAGGTTGGAGATGGGCCGGAGATTGATAGCTGCGACGCATCAAGGGAGGGTTTTTTCAAAGTGGGAGTGATGATGGCAGTTTTTAGGGGAATGGGAACAGAGCCACAGGAGAGGGACAGGTTGATGATGTCTGTGAGAAGTGGGGCAAGGAGGTGGAGCTGAGAGATAAGGAGTGGAGTGGGGATGGGGTCAAGGAGCAGGTGGTGGGTTTCACGATTAGGGATTGTGGGGGTAACTTCTTCCAGGGGCGACAGAAGATGGTGGTGGGTCTGGTGGAGTTGGGGAGGGGGGCGGAGGTGGTGAAGGATATGAAGTGGTGATCGGAGAAGGCCTCGTCGGTCTGAGACACTGAGGCCCCCGGGTGATCACCAAAGCGAGTGGGTGACTGCGAGTGGCGGAGTTGCCTGTGACCCGGACTGGCTGGCCCCGAATCTGAGGCTCTTTACCTGAGCGCCTGGCGGTTTCTTCAGCACGACAGTCCGCGGCAGGAACTGGGTCAGCTCGTTGTTGTAGTCTGGGTGGTGCAGCCTCTGCTCGGACAGACACAACAACAACAACAACTTATATGTTAAACGCCTGAGCTGTGCTGCTCACTGGGAAGCTGGCAATGGCAAGCGGGAAGCGGGAAGCGGCAGCGTTACCTCACGGAGCGGGATCCAGCCGGGGGGATTCTCGTACAGCGGCAAAACACAACCGGATACTGATAATCGTCGTAAGACATCCTCGGGTCTGCGTACACCCAACTGGACATCGGCCTGCGATAGTCTGTGGCCCTGTCGGAGGACAAGAATAACCCTTACGTGTGACCCGGCGCCTGATCGCGGCGTCGAGACGTCTCAAAGCGCTTCACAGGAGATGCCGTAAGGCTCCCCCCCCGCTCCCCATTCTCCCCCGGGATCACTGTCCCCCCCCCCCGGGGGGCTGGGGGGTGTGGGGCTGTGGGGGGGGTGTGGAGCTGTGGGGGGTGTGGGGCTGTGGGGGGGGTGTGGGGCTGTGGGGGTGTGGGGCTGTGGGGGTGTGGGGGGGGGGTGTGGGGGGGGCGGTTGGGGGTGTGGGGCTGTGGGGGGGTGTGGGGCTGTGGGGGGGTATGGGGGTGTGGGGGGGGGGTGTGGGGCTGTGGGGGTTGTGGGTGTGGGGGCTGTGGGGGTGTGGGGTGGGGGGTGTGGGGCTGTGGGGGGTGTGGGTGTGGGGCTGTGGGGGGGTGTGGGGCTGTGGGGGGGCTATGGGGGGTGTGTGGGGGGTGTGGGGGTGGGGGGCTGTGTGGGGGTGTGGGGGGGTGTGGGGGCTATGGGGGGGTGGGGGGTGTGTGGGGGTGTGGGGGGGTGTGGGGGTGTGGGGGGGCTATGGGGGGTGTGGGGGGGGGTGTGGGGGTGTGGGGGGGGGTGTGGGGGTGTGGGGGGTGTGGGGGCTATGGGGGGTGTGGGGTGGGGGGGTGTGGGGCTGTGGGGGGTGTGGGTGTGGGGGCTGTGGGGTGGGGGTGTGGGCTGTGGGGGGTGTGGGGTGTGGGGCTGTGTGGGGGCTGTGGGGGCTGTGTGGGGGCTGTGTGGGGGCTGTGGGGGGCTATGGGGGGTGTGGGGGGGTGTGGGGGTGGGGGGCTGTGTGGGGCTGTGGGGGGTGTGTGGGGGCTATGGGGGGGTGGGGGGGTGTGGGTGTGGGGGGCTATGGGGGGTGTGTGGGGCTGTGTGGGGCTGTGTGGGGGGGCTATGGGGGCTATGGGGGGTGGGGGTGGGGGTGTGGGGGGGGGGGTGGGGGGTGGTGTGGGGGCTGTGGGGGGTGTGGGTGTGGGGGCTATGGGGGGTGTGGGGTGGGGGGGTGTGGGGCTGTGGGGGTGTGGGTGTGGGGGCTATGGGGGGGTGTGGGGGGGGTGTGGGGCTGTGGGGGGTGTGGGTGTGGGGGCTATGGGGGGTGTGGGGTGGGGGGTGTGGGGCTGTGGGGGGTGTGGGTGTGGGGGGGGGGGTGTGGGGCTGTGGGGGGTGTGGGGTGGGGGGTGTGGGGCTGTGGGGGGTGTGGGTGTGGGGGGGGGGGGGTGTGGGGCTGTGTGGGTGTGGGGGCTATGGGGGGTGTGGGGTGTGGGGGCTATGGGGGTGTGGGGGCTGTGGGGGTGTGGGGGGGTGGGGTGTGGGGCTATGGGGGTGTGGGGGTGTGGGGGGTGTGGGGGGTGTGGGTGTGGGGGCTATGGGGGGTGTGGGGCTATGGGGGTGTGGGGGCTGTGGGGGGTGTGGGGCTATGGGGGTGTGTGTGGGGCTATGGGGGGGCTATGGGGGTGTGGGGGGTGTGGGTGTGGGGCTATGGGGGTGTGGGGTGTGTGGGGGCTATGGGGGGTGTGGGGGCTATGGGGGGCTGTGGGGGGGTGTGGGGCTGTGTGGGGGGGGTGGGGGCTGTGGGGGGGGTGGGGGGTGTGGGGGGGGTGGGGGGTGTGGGGCTGTGGGGGCTATGGGGGGCTGTGGGTGTGGGGGTGTGTGTGGGCTATGGGGTGTGGGGGTGTGGGGGTGAGGCCGAGGCTCCGGGTTTACCTGAAGCAGCGGTCGACGTCACGTGATGGTGGTGTCAGAGACACGTGATTCCTGCCACAGAGGACGGTGGGCGGGGCCGTGAGAGGGGGGCGGGGAGGAGGAGGGGGGGGGCAGTGAGGAGAGGGGGGGCAGTGAGGAGGGAGGGGGGCAGTGAGGAGGGAGGGGGGGCAGTGAGGAGGGAGGGAGGGGCAGTGAGGAGGGAGGGGGGCAGTGAGGAGGGGAGGGGGGCAGTGAGGAGGGAGGGGGGCAGTGAGGAGGGAGGGGGGGCAGTGAGGAGACGGGGGGGCAGTGAGGAGGGAGGGGGGGCAGTGAGGAGAGGGGCAGTGAGGAGGGGGGGGCAGTGAGGAGGGAGGGGGGGCAGTGAGGAGGGGGGGGCAGTGAGGAGGGAGGGGGGGGCAGTGAGGAGGGAGGGGGCAGTGAGGAGAGAGGGGGGCAGTGAGGAGGGAGGGGGCAGTGAGGAGAGAGGGGGGGCAGTGAGGAGGGAGGGGGGCAGTGAGGAGGGGAGGGGGGGCAGTGAGGAGGGAGGGGGGGCAGTGAGGAGGGAGGGGGGGCAGTGAGGAGGGAGGGGGGGCAGTGAGGAGGGAGGGGGGGCAGTGAGGAGGGGGGGACAGTGAGGAGGGAGGGGGGGCAGTGAGGAGGGAGGGGCGGCAGTGAGGAGGGAGGGGGGGCAGTGAGGAGGGAGGGGGCAGTGAGGAGTGGGCAGCGAGGGGGAGCGAGGACATTGAGTGGGGGAGTCAGGGGGAGACTGATTGAGGGAGAGTGAGGCCTTTCCTGTCAAGTGGACACCTCAAAGCGCTTCATAGGATTCACTGCGCAGTCAGACTGTGTGTTTGCAGGTGGACAGTGGCCGCAATGCTCCACACACCGCGGTGAGGTAACTGACCCCGATCTGGATGAGCTTCGCTGGGAACGCCCTAATAAATTAGTGGGACCAGCTCAACGGGTGAATGGCCTCATCCTGTTGCTATCTTCAAGACCAACCTCCGAGAGCGGTGCTCAGACACCAGGACCCTGTCAGGAGCTGCCTTGGGGCCCAATCCATCTTCATGAAAGTTGGCACTGAGCTCAGTGAGAACACCTCCTGAGACCCACCCAGGTATCTGCAGCATCCACAGCACCACCTTCCTCTGAATCACCTGCCCACACCCAACACAGACAACACGCGCACAATAACACACACATACAGTCACTTCAGATTGGGAGCACAATCCTCCCTAAGCCGAGGGTGCAGAGACCAGGGATGGGCCTTGGCTGGTCGGTGCCACACCACAGTCAGTGACCATTGGGTGCTGAGCCAGTTTGTGTTTTGTTAAATATACCAGTCAGTGACTCAGCCTGGCTCAGGCATTAGCGCTCTCTCTCGCCTCTGAGTTGGAAGGTTGTGGGTTCAAACCGCATGTCAGGACTTGGTATCACATAGTCTAAGCTCCAGTGCAGCACTGGGGGGAGGTTCTGCATTGTCAGAGGTGCCGTTCTTGGATGAGACGTTAAACCCAAGTCCTGTCTGCCTGTTCAGGTGGATGTCAACCCACGACCTTCCAACTCAGAGGCGAGAGAGAGCGTGTTGGGCTGCTGGGAGGGTGGGGGGCGCTCGTTACCTGCTCACAGGCCACGGGTGTAATGTAAGGCTGCACGAGCTCCATGCAGCACTGAGAGAGTTAAAGGACAGTTTTGTAGCTGGAAAAGCCAGTCCACCTGGTTGCTCCACACCCTCTACATCAACCATCCAGGAACTAAATCAAATACTCTGTATTTTTAGCATGTTGATCAGAGAGGAACGCTGACACTGGGTCTCGGAGACAGGAGATGGTCTGAAAGGACAGCAGGTGAGTCTTTGATCAGTGTCGGTGTACAACCAGTCAGGCTGACAATCACACTGTTATATAGAATTATACGGTTTGGAAACAGGCCATTTGGTCCAACCAGTTCATGAAACGTTGAGGGCTGGAGGCTTTGAAATGCTTTGTGATTTCTGACACACACTGAGCCGGGCTGACGCACACACTGAGCCGGGCTGACCCGCACACTGAGCCGGGCTGACGCACACACTGAGCCGGGCTGACCCGCACACTGAGCCGGGCTGACATGCACACTGAGCCGGGCTGATACACACTGATACACACTGAGCCGGGCTGACACACACACTGAGCCGGGCTGACCCGCACACTGAGCCGGGCTGATACACACTGATACACACTGAGCCGGGCTGACACACACACTGAGCCGGGCTGACACACACACTGAGCCGGGCTGACACACACACTGAGCCGGGCTGACACACACACTGAGCCGGGCTGACACACACACTGAGCCGGGCTGATACACACACTGAGCCGGGCTGACCCACACACTGAGCCGGTCTGATACACACTGAGCCGGGCTGACACACACACTGAGCCGGGCTGACACACACACTGAGCCGGTCTGATACACACTGAGCCCGGCTGACCCACACACTGAGCCGGGCTGACACACACACTGAGTGAAGCCTCTTGCCCTCATTTCCAGTAAGGAGGTGTGAAGCATAAACAATAAATATCTGTCAGATGTGTCTCACTGTCACACTGGTTACCTTGGGTGACTGCATTCCACTTCCAGCAAGTGATACACTTACAGGAAGGAAGTCAGACTAACCTGGGGGTGAGCGTATATGGAATGTTCTGGGAGCCTGTGGGAGATTGTTATCATTTTATCCACTCCCCCTCTCAACACTCCACAGTCCTGTCCCTGAGTCCTCACAACCCTAAACAGCCATCAATAAATAAGACTTGCATTTGAATCAGCGCCTTATCGTTGTCGTTGAGACACGCCTAAAGCCCTTTTCAGGGTTTACTGTAAAGTGTAGTGATTGTGTATTTTGTAGGCAAAGGTGGAAACCAATTGGACACAGCAACATCCTACAAACAACCATGATTCAGTGTGTGTCAGCCTGGCTCAACCCCTCTCGCCTCTGAGTCAGAAGCCCCACATCAGGACTTGGAATGACACAGTCTAAGTTACATTCCAATGCAGCGCTGTGAGTTCAATAAAGACTTATACTACTACTAATAATAATAATCCTTGCATTTGACACAGCGCTTTTCAAGTCTCAAAGCGCTTCAAAGAATATACTGTAAAGTGAATTGACTGTATATTTGTGGGTGAAAGATTTACGATCCCGCTGACACTATCCATCTAGCACTTCCAGGGTTGAAGAGACGGCCTTGAAGGAGGAAAGGGAGGAGGCAAGGCGAAGGCACTGGGGGATAGAGTTCCTGGGGGATAGAGCCAGACTACGGCACTACCTCACCCCTCACGCGGCTGAAACTCTGGTCCACGCCTTTATCACCTCAAGGCTGGACTATGGGAACTCTCTCCTCGCCGGCCTTCCCGGCCCTCCCTCCACACCGCAGGTCATTCAGAACTCTGCAGCTCGTGTACTGTCCCGCACCAGGCCTCGCGCCCACATCACTCCCACCCTCGCCCTCACCCTCGCCCTCGCTCGCCTCCACTGGCTCCCCATCCCCCAGAGGATCGAATTCAAGATCCTCATCCTCACCTACAAGGCCATTCACGGCCTCGCTCCCTCCTACCTCTCTGACCTACTATCCCCCTACCTACCTGCCCGTACCCTCCGTTCCTCTGGCTCCGGTCTGCTCCACATCCCCCGCCCCAACCGCCCTACCATCGGTGGCCGGGCCTTCAGCCTCTCAGCCCTGAGGCTCTGGAACTCTATTCCCCAGTGCCTTCGCCGCTTCCTCCCTTTCCTCCTCCTCCTTCAAGGCCGGTCTCAAGACCTTTCTCTTTGACCGTGCCTTCAGCTCCCCTCTCGACTCTCTACCCCCTCCTCACCCTCTCCCTTCCCTCCCCTCACCATCTCCCCCCTGCTCGGATCCTGACCCAACTGTACAGCGCCTTGGGACGTCCTCCCGACGTGAAAGGCGCTCTATAAATGGAATCTTGTTGTTGTTGTTGTTGAAGATAGAGTGATTGAGTAATGCTCCCTCTACACTGACTCATTTAGACATTTGATATGAGATATAGTTATATAAAAATGTAAAACATCCGGTGTCCGCTGGGTGATGATCTCTTCTCTGTGCTTGTTCCTGTAGAGATCCGTACCCACATCCGCACAGTAACCTCAGTGTATGAGTGGGGCTGAAGGAGATCTCCACATGTGAGCCTGGTGCTGGTGACAAGCTAAGGATGGATTCTCCAAAGCAGCACAGCTCAGGTATTGGGTTGAAACCTGACCTCAAACCAAGGACAGTCTTTCTAGAAGATGCGAACATCAGGGAGCTGTGTTCCATAGCATACCAGTCACCTTCACCATGGGCAGAGGAAGCGGCCTCTCTAGATGACGTCTTCACTGCTCCTCCACTCGTTGACCGACACAAACCATCTTCAACAACACTGCAAAATGGCAGCCCTGAGTGTTGCTCGTGTGCACACCCGACACACCACAAACACCCAAACAATGCTCCATCAGTATTGGCCACCTCTCCCGAACAGGACTCTTCAGAGAAGACTGAGGCCATGTTAAACCCAACACCCACCTGGGACCTGCCTGAGACACCTGGGTGTGGGCTGACACGGGCCAGGACTATATCTCGGCTGTTGGAGAAGAGCAAAGCGCCCCCACTCCTGAGGACCCGGGTCTCCTCCCCGGCCTTGTTTGCCAGTTTCGACACTGCCCGATCGTCGCTGCCCCAGACCAGGTTAGGACACCCCTCTGCCTCACTGTGACAATCTCACTGGGGGAATTATCTTAATACTGTATAATACCTGCTTCTCCTTTTGAGAACTCCAGAAAAGGCAGAGCTGTGTGTCAGGGCCACAGGCAGAGGCAGCTGACTCTCTGTAAACGTCTCTACTGACTACCCTTTGTCTCTCTTTCTCTGTCTCTCAGGAACATGAACAATGAGGTAACGCAGGAGATTTCAGACCAGAGTGAACAGCAATCCTCACAGAGTGACGGGGACAGCCATGCAGCAGGTTCAGGTACCTGTCACAGAACTGTAAGAGGTCACTTTGATACGTCAGCTACAGTGAGAGATATTAGTGGTCAGTGTGATGGTCCGGTGTCAGTGGGCGAGGGTTGGGGTCAGTAGGTGAGGGTTGGAGTCAGTGCTAGAGTAAGTGGGTGAGGGCTGGGGTCAGTTTTGGGGTCAGTGGGTGAGGGCTGGGGTCAGTGCTGGGGTCAGTGGGTGAGGGCTGGGCTGAGGAAACGGTCAGTTGAGAGACGAATGATCAGTGTGAGGGCTTGTGGAAGTGCTGACATGCTCTCAGAGACAGGCAGTAAAATCCCAAACCCTCTCTGGGCAGACACCACATTACATCGCTGGTCTGATCCTGTGGTGGAGCTCAGGCCACAGCCCCCGGAAGCCCCCGACTCCAAGCAGGTTAGTGGCTGACAACTCAGTGCCAGGGTCTGTGCTGGGTGTGGTGTGGTGCTGTGCTGGGTGTGGTGTGGTGGGGGGCTGTGCTGGGTGTGGTGTGGTGGGAGGCTGTGCTGGATGTGGTGGGGGTCTGTGCTGGGTGTGGTGTGGTGCTGTGCTGGGTGTGGTGTGGTGGGGGGCTGTGCTCGGTGTGGTGTGGTGGGAGGCTGTGCTGGGTGTGGTGGGGTACTGGGCTGTGCTGGGTGTGGTGTGGTGGGAGGCTGTGCTGGGTGTGGTGTGGTGGGAGGCTGTGCTGGGTGTGGTGTGGTACGGGGCTGTGCTGGGTGTGGTGGGGGGCTGTGCTGGGTGTGGTGTGGTGGGGGGCTGTGCTGGGTGTGGTGTGGTGGGGGGCTGTGCTCGGGGGGCTATGCTGGGTGTGGTGTGGGAATGTCTGTGTGCTGGGTGTGATATGGGGGTGGTGTGTGTGATGGGTGTGGTGTGGGGGGGGGTCTGTGTGCTGGGTGTGATAAGGGGGTGTGTGATGGATGTGGTGTTGAGGGGTGTCTGTGCTGTGAGTGGGGGTCCCTCCACTCGGTGCTGTACTTCTGACTCCGTGTCTTCACTCCGCAGTTTGCTGAGTTTAAGAGCAAGTCTTTTGAGGAAGAACCCCAGTGCCCACGGTGAGCCAGGCTTCACACTCTGATCATTACTCTCTGTCTGTCTCTGTGTCTGACTCTATGTCTGTGTCTATGTCTGCCTCTGTGTCTCTGTCTCTGACTAGGCACTCTGAGACGTTACCCTGTATGAGGGGCTATATAAATACAGGTTGTTGTTGTCATCCCTGTGTGTAGGTCACGGCTGCGACGTGGCTTTGCTGTGTACGGGTCCAGGTTTCGCAGGAGGCGTAAAACACTTGGGGCTGAGGCTGAGAATGGTTCAGACGGGTGCCAGCCTCTCCGGGCTTTCGATGTCGATGGGATTAAACCGTCCACAACCTGTAGGCTGGGGACGGAAGCCAGCACCTCCTCCCCCACTGCACTACCCCCTGCCGTCAAGCGCCAGATACCGGGAGGGTAAGAAAGTGTCTGCCTCACCACAGTGCTTTTACAAGTAACATTTGTTGTTGTTTGACAGAGAGTGTGTTTCTTTTCACAGAGTCCAACTGTCTCCAGTCCGAGTGTCGTGTAAGATGAAAGGTGAGGTGGAGTGGGCGAAGGGTGGGGGTGTGGCGGGGACCGAGGCCTTGGGGGAGCAGTCACACAGCAGCCTGGAGTCCGGCAGCACTGAACAAGAGGGCTGGCTGGACCTGCAGCGGCCAACCAGGTAACACTCGGGTACGGGGAACGTCCCAAAGGCAGATCCCCTCTCCCTACCATCACACCCAGACTGACCCCCACATTGACCCCCAGCCTGACCCCCCCACACTGACCAGCACACTGAGCCCCAGCATGACCCCCAGACTCACACCCACACTGACCCCCAGACTCAGCACTGACCCCCAGACTCAAACCCACACTGACCCCCAGACTCACATCCACACTGACCCCCAGACTCACACCCACACTGACCCCCAGACTCAGCACTGACCCCCAGACTCAAACCCACACTGACCCCCAGACTCAGCACTGACCCCCAGACTCAAACCCACACTGACCCCCAGACTCAGCACTGACCCCCAGACTCACACCCACACTGACCTCCAGACTCACACCCACACTGACCCCCAGACTCACACCCAAATTGACCCTCAGACTGTTACCCAGACCGTCAGTCCTATTCACTATCAGCTGCTCCTCCTGCCCCAGGTTCAGTGCTAACCTCTGCTCTCTCTGTCAGGAGCAAATTTTGGGTGCGGTTTGATGGGAAATTCATGTCCTGTTTTAAGAGTGACAAGGTGAGAGCGTCCCGTGTGTGCCTGTAGCTGTGCGCCTGTACCTGTGCGCCTGTACCTGTGTGTGTTAGGGTCCTGCGCTGTGTTAGTAGTAATATTATGAATTGTATTTGATGTGACTATCTCTGTCCGCCTGTGTGTGGCAGGACGCCTACTCTGAGTACGTTATCTCAGTCAGCTCAATGGAACTCGTTCGCTCTCGAAAGGAGAAGAGATTTATCCTCTCCACGTGCTCCACCGAGTTTGTTTTCAAGGCTGAGACCACAGGTAACGCTTCACTGACACACCGACACACACACACTGACACACCGACACACACACACTGACACACCGACACACACACACTGACACACCAACACACACACACACTGACACACCGACACACACACACTGACACACCGACACACACACTGACACACCAACACACACACACACTGACACACCGACACACACCAACACACACACACTGACACACCGACACACACACACTGACATACTGACACACACACACTGACACACACACTGACACCGACACACACTGACACCGACACACACGCAAACTGACACACCGACACACACACACAGTGACACACCGACACACACACTGACACACCGACACACACACACACACTGACACACCGACACACACACTGACACACCGACACACACACTAATAAACCGACACACACACACACACACACCGATACACACATTGACACACCGACACACACTGACACACCGACACACACACAGTGACACACCGACACACACACTAATACACCGACACACACACACACACCGATACACACATTGACACACCGACACACACTGACACACCGACACACACATACTGACACACACACCAACACACTGACACATACACACTGACACACACACCGACGCACCTTGCCAAGTTCCACCCCCCACCCCACCCCCCGCTGTGTGCCAGGAGCATGTCAATGATGAGGACAGTGTGTGAGGCTGAGGCGACTGAGGAGGATGTCCCCTTGTTCCAGGGCTGCGAGCAGAATGGCTGAGGGCCTTAGAGCTGGGAATCAAACAGCATCGAGACCAGCACAGCTCAGTGGCCGCTGCCTCTCCTTCTCCCCCACAGTGGCTGGGAGGGCAGGGCCACAGGGGGAAATTGGCTCTGAGAGGTTTCCTGTCCAAGGTATACACCGTGATCGCTAACGACAAGCTCTGGCTCTTCAGGAACGAGCAGGTAAGAAGAACAATCCCCTGAGCCATAAACCACCCCCCGACCCCGAACACTCCCCCACCATCCCCCTGAGCCATAACACTCCCAACCCCCAACCATCCCCCTGAGCCATAACACTCCCAACCCCCAACCATCCCCTGAGCCATAACACTCCCAACCCCCAACCATCCCCCTGAGCCATAACACTCCCAACCCCCAACCATCCCCCTGAGCCATAACACTCCCAACCCCCAACCATCCCCCTGAGCCATAACACTCCCAACACCGCCCCCCAAGCCTCTCCCCTCCTCCAATTACTCCCCCAGTGACTGCCCTCTCCAAAGTGCTCACTCACTATGGGCCTACGCTGAACACACTCTGTGGGTTGCCCCGGCAGGACTATAGGGACGGGATCGGGATCACCAACATCCACATGAACCTGGCCTCAGTGAAGGACAGCAGCGGCTCCACATTCCATCTAGTGACACCGAGCAGGAGCTTCAGGTGCTGTCGCCGGGGATGGGGAGGAGGAGGGAGTACGGTGCGAGGGGGTCTGCCTGTGTCCCCGTGAGAGGGGAGAGAAGGGGAGGGGAGAGGAAGAGGCTTCTCTCTGTACTGATCCCGTCTCTGGTTGTGTTGCAGCTTCAAAGGAAGTTCGGAACAGGAATGCAGCGCCTGGACAGCTGCACTGGAGCAAAGCATCAGCCACTCGCTCTCCAGCTACGAGGTGGCTGCACGGGTGTGGGAGGTGGTGGGCAATGATCAGTGCGCCGACTGCCAGGCTGAGCGGCCCGAGTGGGCGTCCATTAACCTGCTGGTCGTAATCTGCACTCGCTGCGCAGGTAACTAGCTCAGGGGTTAGAGCATTCTTCTCGTAAGCGAGAGATCTGGGTTTGATTCCCGGCAGGGCGAAACCTTGGGCAAGTTTCCTTACTCCACACGCCTGATAATAATCCCTCAAGAAAAATAAAATAAATAAATTGTTCGTTCAATCCACGACAGTTTGTGGGACACTCACTGCTGGGCGCAATTGGCTGCCGCGTTTCACCCAAAAATATACAATCAATTCACTTTACGGTGTATCCTGTGAAGCGCTTTGAGACGTCTAGAAGACGTAATAAGGCACTGTATCAAATGCCAGTATTATTATTATATATTGTGCAATGTATTCAGTGTGTGGGTAGCATGTTCAGTGTGTGGGTAACATGTTCAGTGTGTGAGTAACGTGTTTAGTGTGGGTAATGTGTGCGGGGCCCGGGGAAGGTGCTGCTTCTCATCCACTTTGTTTCCAATCATCTCCAGGTCAGCATCGAGCCCTCGGCCCCATCATCTCCAAGGTCAGGAGCCTTAAGATGGACAGTAACATCTGGACAGAGCCTGTTATTCAGGTACAGAGGTCACTGTCAGTGTCACTCACTCAGACAGTGTAGAGGAGCTTTACTGTCTCTAACCCTGACCTGGGAGTGTGGACGCACAGTGTAGAGGAAGATTTACTGTGTCTCTAACGCTGGTGTGGTGTGTGCAGTGGGAGTCACTGTGGTATAACTTTTCCAGTTGTTTGAGGTGATCGGGAACAGAGGAGCGAACCAGATTTGGGCGGGGAATGTGCCGCCCGGGGAACAGATTGGTCCCGATTCCTCCTCAGAGCAACGGCAAACATTCATCACCGCCAAGTATCAGCTCGGCAAATACCAGCGGCTCCACCCCCTGACCCACCAGCCACACCAGCTCCACCAGGTCAGTGCCAACTAACACTAGGTTATTGCCGGTTAGCACCTGGGCATCACTAACTAACACTGGGTAACCAATTACCAACCCCCTGTCATTGCTTAGTAATCCCTGGTGATCGCTAATTGCCCCCCCAGCCCCTGCCTCGGCTCCCAGCCCCTGCGCCCCCCCCCCCCCCCCCAGCCCCTGCCGCTGGCTCCCAGCCCCTCCCCTGCCCCCCCCAGCCCCTGCCGCTGGCTCCCAGCCCCTCCCCTGCCCCCCCCAGCCCCTGCCGCTGGCTCCCAGCCCCTCTTGCTGCCTGTTACAGACGCTGTGCCGGGCTGTGCTGACGGCTGACATTGCGGAGATGGTGCTGTTGGTTTTCTCTGGAGCCTGTGTAACTGCTCACTCGGACACCGAGCCCCTCACAGCTCTGCAACTGGCGGAGCGCGTCGGCAACACCACGCAGCTCGAGTTCCTCCGGCAAAACCAGCACCGAGGTAGGAAACCCCGGCCAGCATCCCCACTGCTCTTTATTTCCTCACTTTGTCTGTCTGCACTTCTCTCTCTGTGTTTCTTTCTGTGTCTCTGTCTGTCCCGCTCTCTCTCTGTTTCTGTGTGTGTGTCTCTCTCTCTCTCTGTCTGTCCCTCTCTCTCTGTGTCTCTATCCGTTTCTGTCTCTCTCTGACTCAATGTCTCTCTCTCGGGAGCTGTGATGTTGTATCGGTGTTGTGTGTGATTCCGTTTCCAGTTGCCGCCCCGGTGGGATCACTCGATCGAGGAAAACCCTCAACAGGTACCTTCTCTCCCTTCCGTATTTTCTCTGTGACACACAGATTGTGGGGTGGGGGGGAGATCAGAGACACACACATCGTGAGGGGTGGGGGAGATCAGAGACACACACATTGTGAGGGGTGGGGGGGATCAGAGACACACACATTGTGAGGGGTGGGGGAGATCAGAGACACACAGAGTAAAGGGGGGAGGGACTGAGATCAGAGACACACAGAGCGTGACAGGCGGCCTGGACGAGAGCTGAGTAGCTGAGGGTGGAGGCTGCACAGGTGTGAATCATGACCTCCCTCCCTCCCTCCCTGTCTGTCTGTCCGCAGCTCCTCGCTATTACCTCTGCGCCCTGGAAGCCAATGTGCTGAAGTTCTTCAGCTACGAGAGCAGTGAGACGCCCTGTGACTCCATTTGCCTGGAGCAGCTGCTGTCCCTGACCCGCTGTGACCCCGGGCCACAACCAGGGGAGGACAGGTGGGTCCTTGTGGGCGAGGGGAGGGCCTGGGCAAAGGGCGTGGCTAAGGGGAGGGGGTGGGCAAGGGTGTGGGCACGGCTTAGGCGAGCTATCTCATGACTGCCCCTCCCCCCCACACTGCCCCTCCCACACACTGCCCCTCCCCCCACACTGCCCCTCCCAAACACTGTCCCTCCCCCCACTGCCCCTCCCCCCACACTGCCCCTCCCACACACTGCCCCTCCCCCACACTGCCCCTCCCCCACATACTGCCCCTCCCCCCACTGCCCCTCCCCCACATACTGCCCCGCCCTCTGCTGTCACTCTGTGATTGGCTAACTTGCTGTTGGCTCTCCGCAGGGGGAATGTGAGGCTTGAGCTGCTGACGACGACAGGAGAGAACTACGTGATCGACGGGGCCTCGAGTGACTGTCTGCAGGAGTGGGCCTCGTGCCTGGCCAGGGTTCGTGGTGAGGGGGTGTCTGGAGGAGGTTGTTCACACAATATTACGGTGTAGATGGAGGCCATTCGGTCCATTGTGTCTATGACGGTTCTTACCCCATAACTCTGCACATTTATCCTTTTCAAGTACAGATCCAATTCCCTTTTGAAAGTTGCTATAGACTGAGTGTGAGTGTGAGAGGCGCTGTCAGAGTGTGAGTGAGTGTGAGGCGCTGGCAGAGTGAGTGAGTGTGAGTGAGAGGCGCTGGCAGAGTGTGAGTGAGTGAGAGTGAGTGTGAGGCGCTGGCAGAGTGTGAGTGAGTGTGAGTGAGTGTGAGGTCGGGGTTTGCCTGTGATGTTGCCGCCTGTTGTTACAGAATGTTTTGCCTGAAGCTGTGCCCGAGGGGGAGACGGGAGATTTCCAGCTGTTGGGGCGACTGAAGGTCCGAGAGGCGGCAGTCAGACGCTGGAGCCCAGCCTGGGCCCTGCTCACCCCTCACCACCTCCTCCTCTACCTGGACAACAGCAGCCATGAGCAGCTCAGCCTACACAGCATCACGGAGCTCAGTGAGTGTCACTGTCCCTGGGGGAGGAGGTGGGAGGGGGCCGGCGGGGGGGTGTTATGCTGGGGAGGAAGCAGGAGCAGATGGGTGGCGGAGGGCGGGGAGGGAGCAGTTTATTGCATACAGAAACTGAGGCCAGGAATGAGCTGTGCCCCCGGAGGGTAACAGCACAGATATGGTTCCCTTGTGCGGGGCAGCGTGTCAGAGCAGCAGAGCCGAGGGCTGACCAGGCCAGCGCCCGTACCTGGCAGTGATGAAGATGGCCTCTCAGTAACTGTCAGCTCTGATCTCTGTTCACAGTTCACTTCACCGCTGGGTATGTGATCGCTGCTGCTGGCACCAGGTGAGCTTTGTTATTGTTTGTCTCCAGGCGCCATCCGTGCCTCCAGTGTGACTTAGTAAGAGTGTGGGTGGTTTGGGAACAGGAGAGAGTGTGTCTTTAAGACATCGTTCATTTAAACAGCAGCTTGGATGCTGTGATGTGGGCGGGGGTTCTGGAGGGATGAGATTAGATGGACCAAAGGACTTTCTTCATCCGAACCCATCATGTAATGATAATGCAATGATAATGATGGTGCTGCAGTGCTGCACTTGTTCCACTGGATGGCGCTGTGCTATGTTTAGAGTTTGAGGCGACACCTGGTGGTGAAAATGGGGTACTGCAGTCTGGTGAAGTTTGGGGGAAAGCTCCAGAGTCACAATCCAGAGAATTGACTTTGTTGGATCCCTGCGGTTAGCAATAGAGTAGAGAGCTCCAGTGGGAGAGTGAGCACCAGCACAGACATGATGGGGAGAGAGCACCAGCACAGACATGATGGGGAGAGAGCACCAGCACAGACATGATGGGGAGAGAGCACCAGCACAGACATGATGGGGAGAGAGCACCAGCACAGACCATGATGGGGAGAGAGCACCAGCACAGACATGATGGGGAGAGAGCACCAGCACAGACATGATGGGGAGAGAGCACCAGCACAGACCATGATGGGGAGAGAGCACCAGCACAGACATGATGGGGAGAGAGCACCAGCACAGACCATGATGGGGAGAGAGCACCAGCACAGACATGATGGGGAGAGAGCACCAGCACAGACCATGATGGGCAGAGCACCAGCACAGACATGATGGGGAGAGAGCACCAGCACAGACATGATGGGGAGAGAGCAGGGAATGGGATTAGATTAGAGAGCTCCAGTGGGAATGAAGGGGAGTTGGAAGGGACACATTGGCAGTTGTTGGGCTGACGTTGTGATGCAGCGGCAGGTTCTGCAGGAGCCGCTGGTCAGTGAGGTGTGAGAGTGAGAACACTGACAGTTGCTGCTCTGACCGCAGGCTGTGGTACCTGAAGACTCACCTGCTGAGCAACTTTGAGGGCTGGTGCACGGCGCTCAGTGTGGCTGTGTCCACAGCGCGTGAGCAACACACTGGAGATGCTGAGGCCCCAATGCTGGTCACTCAGTGCATCAGATACATCACTGAGCACGGTAAGACCCCAGCCTCGGCCAAACACCAGCCCCAGGACGGGGGAGGCCACGATGGACATTTTAGTCACAGGAACAGCCTTTGAGTAAATGAAACATTACATATCTCTCTGGTTGAATATTTCTGAATAGAGCAGGAAAGTGCTGAGTCCTATTCCTCCCCTAAATTACAACAGCCATCACACTCCTGCTTACACTCACACACTTGTTCGTATACACACGCACACACACACACCCACATAATTGCTTGTGCATAATACTTGCATTTAATATTGAGCCTTTCATGTCAGGAGGACGCTTCAAAATACTTCCTGGGATTTACGATAATGTGTAGTGACTGTGAGTTTTGTAGGTGAACATGGCAGCCAGTTTGCACTGAGCAATATACATGTGTTCATACCCGTACACCCAAGCTCACACACGCACCCCAACACACTGCAGACTCACACCCATTGTTGCTCCTGGTGCAGGAATGACATCGGAGGGGATTTACCTGGGGAGTGGACACAGGTCAAAGGTGATTGAGGTGTGGGAGCTGTTTCAGGAGCCGCGGGTGAAGGTCAGTGCGGAACTGGGGGCCGGCCCAGAGCTCGGGGTCAGCGAAGTCGCCGGAGCTCTGAAAAAATACTTCCGCGAACTGGAGGAGAACCTGTTCACAGTCAGCAGCTGTGGGGAGTGGCTCAGTGTGTCAGGTAAACCTTACCTCCCAATGCCCCAACCCCATTGCCATAACCACTAAAACCCCTACAACCTGCACCCCATCCTCACACCCCGCACCCCCTCCTCACACCCCGCACCCCCTCCTCACACCCCGCACCCCCTCCTCACACCCCGCACCCCCTCCTCACACCCCGCATCCCCTCCTCACACCCTCCTCACACCCCCTCCTTGCATCCCCTCCTCACAACCCACCCCCCTCCTCACACCCTCCTCACACCCCCTCCTCGCATCCCCTCCTCACACCTTTTACTCCCTCCTCACACTTTGCACTCCCTCCTCACACCCCGCAGCCCCTCCTTATACCCCGACCCCTTCCTCACACCCTGCACCCTCCTCACACCTTGCACTCCCTCTTCACACCCCCTCCTCACACCCCGCACCCACTCCTCACACCTTGTACTCCCTCCTCACACCGCATACCCCTCCTCACACTCCGTCCTCACACCCCGCAGCTCCTCCTCACACCCCGCACCCCCTCCTCACAACCCACACCCCCTTCTCACACCCTGCACCCCCTCCTCACAACTTGCACTCCCTCCTCACACCCCACACCCCCTCTTCACACCCGGCACCCCTTCCTCACGCCCTAGACACCCCCTCCTCACATTCCCTCCACACACCCCACACGCCCTCCTCACAACCCCGCACCCCCCCTCCTTGTCACCATTAAATATTGTCATTAAATATTATAAATTCTAAAGGTAATAAAAATGAAATATAATGTTACCTGGGAGGATTTGGATAGGTCAGAGCTCAAGGGTTAATGAGGACAAACGTGGAGTAAACACAAACCACCAGCTTTGCTCCTTTGTTCAGCCGTTGAAGACGAGGAGGAAAAGCTTGGCCTCTATGGGGAGCTGATCGAGAACCTGCCACAGCGGAACAGAGCCACACTCCGGGCTCTTATTGACCACCTTCACTGGTAGGTGAACCTCAGCTCTGTGTCCTCACTGCACTGCCCAGGGCTCATCCTACTGTATGCAATTGGCAAATTCCAGCCACACGCGCTAGTTTGTCCCTCTCACTATCTCTTCTTCCACCCCCCACCAGTGTGCAGTATTTCTCCAGCTCCAATGGGATGTCTGCAGATGCTCTGTCCAGAGTGTTTGGTCCCATTTTGTTCCAGATGGATGGTACAGCAGGGACATCAGTGAGAGTTGTGCAGGACCTGCTCCACAACTACATCACGATCTTCAAGGTAAGAGATCAGCTTGAGATGCCTTACTGGAGAATTCAGGTGTCTCTCACTAACTACATATTAATTGCACAATTGGCTGCCGCATTTCACCCACAAAATATAGTCAATTCATTTTACAGTATATTCTGTGAAGCGCTTTGAGAAGTCTCGAAGAGGTGAAAAGTGCTATAGCAAAATGCAAGGATTATTATTATTTTATGACATCTTGGTGACCTGGGAGTGTGGACGCACAGTGTAGAGGGAACTTTACTCTGTCTCTAACTTGTGCTGTCACTGACTTGTGAGTGCTGGGTGGGACAATGTCAAAGCAGTTTTACTCTGTATCTAACCTATATCTCAGGCTCAATTGCCCACCCGTGCCATGTTGTAATGTTTGCCGTGTTATTGGTATTTTCTCTGCAGGTGGATGTACAGGAGCTAGAGGAACGACTGGAGCAAATGAGAGAGTCATACCTGGAGGAATGAAAGCCCCTGTCCAATTGTGTACCAGCCATCAACACAATACCCTCTTCTCCTTGCACAGCCCCATCCCCACAAGGCAACACCAATGGGGGAGGTCAGCAAGTCAGTCAGAAATATTGGGCAAAGTCACTGGAGAATTAAAATTTAATGTGAAAAATGTGAGGTTGTATATTTTGTGAGGAAGGCAAACATTGAATGTTTTTTTCTTTCAAAGGGACAAAGAACCAATGTCAATCTTGTGTAGATGTTGAGGTTCTGCAAGAATGATCTGGAATAATCTATGGATTTTATTCAATTTGCATAAACTGTAAATTAACAAAGTTACAATTTTTTTACATTACTGTCTCTTTATTGAAACATGAACAAGGGGACAAGACAATAAAACAAGCATCTTTCTCTTGTGGCTGAATACTGAGAGACTGTGTAGTCCATCGAGTGCCTTGTGGTGGCACAGAGCAGCTGAAGTCATTCAGATCCAGAAGAGAACAAATATAGAAAAGAGTTTTTCAGACATTTTATTAAAACTCCCCCACAGAATGGGCCTGGATAGGTGTGTGCAAAAGGCACAACTCAGACACACACACAATAACTTTCCTATATGCTCAACAATTAAAATTTATTGTACAACTATACACCTAGAATATTTTCATTGGTTAGTTGGGAGACTGACATCTCAAACCTTAGTGAAAGAAGTTTAATCACAATTGCAGAAACACGACTTTCCATCAGCTACAAAAGTGCCCCCCCCCACCCCCCCGGGTAGTTGAGAGAGAAAAAGTCACAGCCCGACTCTTCCTGTTAATCTAAACCTGAAGGCCAGCCCTGTGTGAGGCTGAGGCCGCAGCCAATCACACTTTGTCAAGTGCAGGAGAATTGTCAGAGGAGAATGGTTTGCCAACAGATCACTGGAGAGCGCTGCAGGGAAGGGATCAAGATACAATTTAAAAAGGAATAGATTTTAAGAACAGAAATATTTATGAGCAGTTCCCTGCCGATGGCCCTCATTCACTCCAGCCCCTCTCGAATGGGGGTGCATCCCGAGAAGAAACTGGTGTTGGCGCTCAACAGGGCTTTCTTCTTGCGTTTGGTGAAGGATTCGCTGATGGCTTCGGTCTCCACAGTCAGTGGCTTCCGCGTGAGCTTTAACGCTGTCTCTCCCAGGTCAGTGATGTTGCTCAAACTCTGCGTAACACAGTGACACTAGTGATCAGTTATATACCCCACAGCACACATCACTGTCTGCTTTCCCCCCCCACCTCTACACGCACCGCAGTCCATAGCCCCCATCATACACCCCTGTATTAGCCATACCTTGTCCGACGTGGCATTGAGAGGCAGGAAGAAGCAAGATTCCGATATTGTGGGATCATCCAGTTTAAAGGAGCCGTCAGATCCCTCATCGTTGAAGGCATCGAGAACCTGAGGGGAAATGTAATCAGCTTCACTTACAATTGGATGGAGGCAGAATCCCAGCAATCAAGAGGCGACCACTTGTGCTCACATTTGCCTGATGTACCATCAAGATATGTGCAAGGCCACAAGTTTAAATTTTACCCACGGGGAGCACAGAAAGGAGCCAGGATAAGTCAGTATAGTTCACCCTGAGAGCTGGGTTTCCCATCGTCATACTGTGACTGGGTAGGTGAGAGTTAGGTCATTCCATAATTTAAACAATGTTCCCAATGTCATCATTATTTCTGCTAAAATTCAGTGATGGCTAAATTGTCAGCGAGATAACTAATAATAAAATGGCGGCCTAACCCCCCACCACCACGCAAACTTGATTGCTGACACAGACACTGAAAAATGTTGCTGTTGGGTTGGGACAGGATGGACCCCATTTTTACAGCAGTGAAGATGGCTGTTGAATACAACAGCAAAAGGGAGTGAATTGTAAATGAAAGCCATAGCGCGGACAGCAACAAGGCTCAGGCTTTCAAGTTGAAAAGCCAGTGAATGACATGCCTGTGAAGAATTGCTCCTCAGGCAGGTACTGTAAACGCTATACTGCACACCAGCAGATAAGGTGGAAGCCTGGGATTCTGAAGGATGGAGCATTGCTGTAATGAACCGAGCCACGGACTAACTAACGAGCTTGTAACGTGTCCAGAACAGAGAGAGAGACGCCAGAGGCTCACCGAGGAGATGCGATTGCGGCAATGCTCAGCGTCACATTTACAGTGCTCCCCACAGTCAGCCCTCTGTTTCCTACATTTGCACTGTTTGTTTGCACACCGTCCTTTGCAGGAGCACTGAAGAGAAAACATTAAAATGAGACGAGTGAGGGAAACTCAAACATTGCATGAGAGCCAGGCTGCAGGGGCTCGACAATGAAGGCCAATACAAAAGAAATTTACATTTATACAGCAACGTTCACATCAGGAGGATGTCCCAAGGCACTCATTTGCAATATTCAAACTGTTTCATTGCAATGGTCCATTTATAAAATTCACCCATCCCAAATCCTTGAGCAAACCCCTGCTGTTCCCTGTCACCCGAGTTTGTATTTGAAGGCAAAATGAGCATCAAGCTGGATTAATAATTTTTGCATCTGATGTAGGGTATTATCACATCAGAAATGTCTCAAGGCACTTCACGGATATAGTGTAAAGTGGCTTGACTGTTATGTGGACGAACATGGCAGCCAGTTGGCTGAGACTATGTGATTCCAAGCCCGGATGTGAGACTTGAACCCACAACCTAATGCAAAAGTGCTAACTCTGAGCCAGGCTGACAGCCACAGCTGCACATCACTCCTGTGAAAGCCTTCTGCAGCCGAGTTGGATATTCAGAGCTGCATAGGTAATGGAAGTCTCGCTGAAATTTGAGCAACAGCAGAAAGGAGGAAAGCTCTTCACAGCCAACACACACCATATAAACCACCTGCTTAGATTCCATCCACAAATATTTGTCCAATTCCCTCCAAAAGGCTCTGATGGATTTTATTTCCAACACATTGTGCCCAGCAAAGTCTTCATTAATCCTGCCTTGCCATACATTGCCCAAAGAAAGCATGTGGCTGCAAACTTAAGACAACATAGCTTGGGGCCAAAGTGGCCAAGTGCATGCACTTGTTTGCTAGATAAAGTGGCAGAAATACCCCTCCATTGACTTTCTTTGCTGCTTTTGGCTTGACTGGGTTCCAGTCACAGTCATTATGGGTAGCCTCTGTATCTGACTCCGAGTCAGAGAGCAGCTCCTCTAACGTCATGCGAGGGGTTGGAGCTGAGGGTTTAGCACATGTCTTCCTCCGGTGCTTTGGCTGAAATGATAGAATCAGAGCGAGAGCTGAAGCTTCAAACAAAACATTTGTTCCCTTGAATTAAAAATCAGACTGGTTCTGAGCCCGTTTTCACCCAATTTTAGCCACATGTAGATCTGTCTTATTGTCTCCCCCACACAGTGAGTGTGGAAGAAGCCTCCACATACATGGCAAGTGTGTAAGAACCCCCCCCACATACACAGCGAGTATACAAGAACCTAAGATTGCTTGAATGGGGGTGAGATATGGGGCTCAGGAAATAGTAAGAGGTATAACTTGAGATAGCTGAGAGGACAAGGATCTTACCTTTTGAGGAATGTAGTCAAAGGGAGAATCAGATGCTTCCACAACCAGAGTTTCAGAGAGACGATTGCTGAACTTAGTGGTCGTGCAATCCATCAAGGACAGCTTCTGCACAAGATACCAGAGGTTTTAGTCACATGGCTTTGTCTGCAGACAATTGTACCCCCTTCTGCACGGCTTACAGCAGGTCCTGAATAAGGATGTCAAACCCATCCTCCCCATCAGAGGGAAGAGCGGTTCAAACTAGTCCCAACACTCAGTGATTTTGAAAGCAACCCATTTCATTCTTTTATGCTGGGTGATAAAAGCATTTACTCACTCCTGACATCAGCATCAAGCACTTAGTGCAGCAGCAGGGAGTAAAACTCCTCTTGTCCCACTATCAGACAAGCAATCCCATCATGACACTCCGACAGATACCTTGTGTGCCTGGTTTTGTCTCAGTGTGTACCTCCCCCCTACTGGGCTTGCGTTCACATTAGCAGTATGCAGACCTGTTTATACAGTTCCTTTTCTTCGATTAGCTGTTGATTTTCATCACACAGATACTTCAGTCTCTGGATTTCATTCTCCTGAAGAGACAGATGGACAATATAGAAAGTGGACAAAACACAATCATTCCCAGTTTAATTAGGCTCCAGCTTTTCCCTCCACTTCTTGTTCCTTTCTACTCTTCCCATATCACAGTCCTCTCTACAAGCACTTCTCTCACATTGATACTGACGCTTGGGACACGGACTGTCCTGGTGTGAGGCTGAACCTCACCTCTGACTGTTAGTCAGGACTGGTTCCTCACCCGTCACAAACAGTAAACCCCACCCAACTAGAGCCAGAAAAGTCCGTCCCCCCACATTCTCAAACAGCTCCATGTGAAAGGTAAGTCGAGTGCGTGGGAAGTGCTGACTCACCTTCTCCTGGTGTCTCTGTCCCCACTCTAGAAGCTGCTGTTGCTGCTCAGTCTCCAGCTCCACTCGCAGTCTCTGCTCCTCCAACAAACTCTTTTGAATCTCAGCAATATCCATTTTGGCTTGTTCTATCTCATTCTCCAGTTGGCTGTGAGACACTTTACAAGACACCAGCTTCACAGAACAATAATAACGTTTCACAGAATTGCTGGAGTGAAGCAGCCTCAATATCATAGCAACTTCAGGTATTGTTTTGTTTGTTAAGATAGGAATGCAGATACTAGCACATGCGGATACAGGGTCAGATGCACCCAGCCAACAAATTATATTTATACAGTGCCTTTCATGTGGGGAGTAAAGGATTTGGGTGTTAGCAACCAGAGGAGGGGAGACACTAGCAGCTCAGCCTCGAATGGAAGCCGAGTGACACTGCCTCATCTCTGTCCCAACACTACAGCTTCAGTCAGGGAGTTGTCTTCATTCACTAGTCTGACATGTACCCCTTCTCATACCCCAGCTGGCCTGTGGCCTTTGGTGTAATGCATTAACTAATACGATTGGTGGCACCAATTGACTCACATTCAGTTGCTAAAACCCAAGTCCTTTACTTGAGATTTTCAATGAAACTGCCAGGAGCCAATGCCATCATAGCTACCTCTCCCATTAGCCACTTCACTCCACACTTGACCTCTGACATGGTTGTCATGCTTTCCCAGCAATTCTTCTGTTTCTCCTCATTGGCAGCGTCCATCAGCTTCTGCTGCAGGTCTGCAATCTGAGCGCTCCTGAAACAGACCAGCCGAACAAGTCAGTGAACAAGACAGTAGTGAATGAATCAGCAGCGCAAACCTTCAGCACTACTTCTCAACCTCCCCCCACCCCGGTACAGCCCCCCACGACCTCCATCCCTGCCCAGCACAAGTACGAACCGCAATTCTATTTCAGACTCCAGGCTTTCAATGTGCTTGTCCAGCGAGGGGTTGTCCTCAACAGATTCAATCAGCTCGGTCAGTGTGAAGCTTCTGCGCTGTAGAGGACACACAATGGTTTAGGGTGCAAATCAATGAAACCCCACTGGGTATTGGGAATTGCGCCTCACACTGCTCAAAACATCTGCTAAACAAAGCGATTAAAGCAGCCTTGTCATTAAAAACTAGAGTGAGGGGACACTTTACCCCCATTGCAGCTGTTTCTGCATTGATCAGGAGCTGAAACGCCTCCTTTAACATTTCAGACGGTTAAAACAATTTGCCCAATTATACAACCTAGACCAATGTGATGAATGACCTACCGGGAGTTTAGAAGGAGGGAGTTTGGCCTCTTTTTTCTCCTTAAGGCTGGCCAGTTCTTGTGCCAGGAGCTTTCTGTCGTCCATCAGGGAGTTCAGGGGTCGTCGAGCTGCCTCGATACTCACCTGTACCTCCAGCTCATTGGACAGCCAGGTCTGCAACCATTGAAAGAGAAACCATTGAAGGAGTCAATGCTATAAAGCACATATTTCAGAGGTGAAAAAGTACAGGCTTCACCAAGATTCCATTCAATACAACTTACACTATATGGTGCCTTTCATGTCAGGAGGACATTGCACAATGCTCAACACTCTGTCTGACCAAGGTGTGAGGGGAAGGGATGGATGACCAAAAGCACAATTGGTCAACGAGATATGTCTAAAAACAAGTCATTCAATCCACGATCGTTTGTGGGACCCTCACCCACAAAATACAATCAATTCACTTTACAATAATAATCCTTATATAATCCTTGCATTTGATAAAGCGTCTTTTCACGTCTTCGAGCTGACTTAAAGCGCTTCAGAATATAATGTAAGTGAATTGACTGTATTTTATAGGCAAAACACTGCAGCCAATTGCACATAGCAATTGTTTGTCCAACAAACAGTCATGGATTGAGTGACCAATTTATTATTATTATTTTTTTGAAGGAATTATTACCCCCAGAAAAGCGATCTGCCAATCATCTAATAACCGAGTTCCTAATTACTGCTAGGTAAACAGAGGCGTGTGGAGTAAGGAAACCTACCCAACGTTTTGCCCCGCCAGAAATTGAACCCAGGTCTCTCACTTGTGAGGCGAGTGCTCTAACCACTGAACTACATGAATACATTCTGTGAAGCTCTTGGAGACATCTCAACACGATAAGGTGCTATATCAAATGCAAGGATTATTGTGTCTCAAATGAGCTGAGGGAAGGAGTAAAGTCAGAGAGAAACAAGGATAGAGTTCCAACATGGAAGCTGAATTGATGAAATACCATCCTTCAAATATGGGGTGGATGGGACAGGGGGCATGAAGCTGGCCAGTGCTCGCTGAATGAAGGGACTGGGCACAGAGGTGGATAGGGTTAGGAAGCGAGGAGTGAGCGCAGCCAGGGCAAACACAGCAGGTGTGGGACAAAACACTCTATCCACACCATTACCTTGACTCTGACCGCCATACCCTCCATTCCTCGGTTCTGATCTTTACGCTTGGAAGACGCATCCTTCTGTCTCTGCAAAGCATCTCGCAACCGCTTGTGGGCAGCAGCGGCCTGGGGAAACCAGGAGAACCTCAGTCATACATAGACATACCCCCCGCCATACACAAGCTTCACTTCATCCCCATCTCCACTACCCTCCAACACCCAAACCCAACCTTCATCCCTGGAAGCATCGCTCACCTCCTCGGTCTTGCGTCTCAGGACGTTGCTTTGCTGTTGATATTCTCTTTCTAGCTTCACCAGCTCGTATCGTCTCTTCCGATCCTATAAGGAGTATTAGGCCATCAGTTCTGAACAGAGGAATTCTGAGCAATAATCTGCAGCCCCTTCAGGAAACTGGCAATGCTAAGCCAGGACAGCAACCAGTGCTCAATCCACTCAACACAGAGGCCTCACCTGTGCCTTCAGCTGCAGCACTTCCCTTTCCCTCTGTGCTTTCCATTGTCGCGTCTTCTCAGACTCTTCCTTTAGCTGTCGCATCAGCTGAACCCGCTGAACCTTAAGAGTCTGCAGGAGAGAAAAGGCAGGAGCATAGATTGTACAGGATTTCAGGAGAACATCAATAGATCTAAGTGGCAGGTACAGTTTAACTCTGAGAGGTACGACAGAAAATAGGAAGTGGAATATGAGCGTGAAGCGTAAAAGTCAATGGAGTGGAGGAGCAGAGGGAACTAATAATATTGCATTTTTTAACATCAGGAGGGTATTTCAAAGTGCTTCACAAGATTTTACTGTAAAGTGTAGTAACTGCATTTTCTAGGAGAACTTAGTAGCCAATTCACATACAGCAGTGCCTCACAAACAGCCATGAGGTGAAAGATCAATTTTAAATTGTTGGCCAGCCTTTCCTAGCTGGGTGTAAATATACATTAAAAAAATCACTAAATGTTGAGATTGGAGGGTCAAAAAGCTGTCAAGAAAACAAATGGAGCTCTGGGACTGGTATCAAGTACACATCAGTCATGGTGGAATTGTACAGGAACCTGGTGAGGTCGTGGCCAGACTGCAGTTGGAAGTACTATCAGGCTGGGCAACTGATTAAAAAAAAGGATGGAACAGATTCACCCGATGATACAATACATATCTGAAGAGAGGCGAGCTAAAGATGACAGGGAAGAGGAGCTTCATAAACACAACTTGTTGTACCTGGATGTCGTGGTTGAGTTTGTCAACTGTTCGGGTAGCATTCTCCTTCTGTTTGACTACCTTGGACTGTTCTACTACCTTCTTCTTCAACTGGAGTATTTCCGTTTCCAGTTCCTGCAACCGCATTCGCCGTCGCTCACTCACTCTGGCAACACGGAAGCAGAGTGTCACTGAGGCCTCAGCCCTCAGGAACAGCCTCACCAGGGAACAACAAACACACCATTGTTCCATATCCTTATCTGTGCAGGACAGGCTGAAGTCAACCGCTCTACAAATTTCACACTATCTTTCACTTTAGGACACAGAGAATGTGCCAGGAACATGCCATCAGCCTGGCTTCCCATTCCTCGGTGGGGGTAACAAGACACACCGGTTACCCACGGAGTCAACTGAAAATAGGTCTCTGTACAAGTGTAATACCATCAGGATTTAAAAACTACACCATCCAGCAATGTCTAAGCAAATCCAGTGCAATCCTAGCCAAGTAATCACTAGACTAAGTACTTTTCTGCCCCAGGGGAACCCGAAAGCAGCGACCTACTTGGCAGTGTTTGTATCCTTTTTTGCATTCTGCAGCAGTGAGACCAGCTCCTCCTTCTCCTTCTGTAGAGCAGTGACCTCAGCCTCTAGGTTCTGGATATTAACCTGATGAAGTAGACAGGAACGATTTTAGCATTTTCACTTACCAACAGGCTGAGCAACACGAACACAGACTAAGTGTCGGTCTGTCTCACACAAACTAGCTTTAGCTTCTCATAGGACCAATCTTTGTCATACACTCCCTCACCTGATACTGGGAGTACATAGGCTCATCGCTCTGGGACATTTTTCGGGCCAACTGCTCCTTCAGCACCAAAACCTTATCCAACTCCATCAGCTCCTTGGACAGCTGTGCTTGCCGCAGTGCATTCTGGGTGGTGAAAGGGTCTGATTCACGTTTGTCTCTCACACTGTCGTTGTCCTGTCACAAACAGAGAGAATTCACCAATCACTACCAGGCTGCAGCCTAGCGTTAGTGTGGCAGCCTTGGGCACAGACACACAGCGCCACCCCCCCACCCCCAACGTGCACAGCCCCCCCACCACCACCCTGACACGCACAGCCCCCCAAAACACAAACCCCACTTCAGGCACACACACATGTGAAACGGAGTCTGGTTTAGAGACTCTTGTGAACAGCTACACAGCATCTCTTACATCACTGTTGACCTCGCCATCTTCCTCGATCTCTGGAGCTTCCGCACTTTCCTTCTGTCAGGAACGACAATCAATAACAGAAAATGGTTTAGGCTACGAGACAGAGTCAAAAAGCCCAAGACCTCACCGAAGAGTTACCAACCAGCTCACATCAACCCATCCAGATTCTAAACACAAATGTGATGCCCCTTTGATTCTCCCCCTCTCCCCTCAGGCCAGCCCCACCCCTCTTGACGAGTGCTCCGCTCACCTCCAGGTTAATAATGGACTGCTGCAGTTGGCAGAGTATGTCAATCTGCTCGTTCATTTCTCCTTCCGTCAAGTGCTGCAAGTCGAGTTTACATCTGGTCAAAGAGAAGTCAATCAAAAGCAAATCAACAAAGAGCATTTCTTCCCTCTTGATTGGGTTTTGGATGTCCTCCCAACATGAAAGGCGCTTTACAAATGTAATTGTTGATCATAAAGAATGAGCAGCACCTACCCAGCATGGTGACGGAGTTCATCCAGCTTATTCCTCAGCTTCTCGTTGGTTTGTTCTGTCTAAGAAGAGTCACATTTGAAAATTCACTGACATTCCCTGAAGTAACAACATCCCTCTCATGAGTGACACCCACATCACACACAAATACAGAGATGCCAAGACTTACCACAATGACCCGCTCACACATCTGTGTGTGATGGCTGACAGCATCGTGAAGAGCTTTCCTCAGTTTCTGGTTCTCTTGCTCCATCCTGCTTACCTCCATTGCAGCCTCCTGGCTCTTACAATTTGGAGTCCTATTTAATAGAAAACATTTTTACAATGTACAGCTGCACACAACAGAGCAACCTACACCAATACAGTGGTCACTGGTTACTCGGGCAAATCTGTTCATACCTCCATCATAGCTGACCGGGATAAAGCAGATTTGTATTTACACTCGCATTTGAGATCCCCTGTCTCACCAATGATTCAGCATGGGTTACTTTAACATTACTGGTAACTGGATTGCTGTCCACATTCTTTCATTTGCTCTTAGAACAGCTCTCTCTGGCCATGGCTCCCAATGGTTGCTTTCCCAAACATGCTCTTCGTGTGTGCGTCACTCTCATCTTAAATTCTCCCAGTCTATGTCTCATGCCCATTTCTATACTGCCTTTCCTCCACCAATCCCCACAGACACCTGCCCACTTAGGAGCTGAGCAAGCATTAGAATTATACCAAACAAGTATTAATGACTGCACAAAAACAGTGCCTTCGGTATTCAATATTATCATTAAGAGGCAACGATTGAGGCACTTACCTGTTTCCCAGTTGTATGGTCCCGCCATGTGCCTGTACTAACAGCACCTGAAGCTCCTGTACCTATAATCAGGCAAGAAGAGGTATGAGCAGCATAAGCCATTGGCGATATATTGTAATGTATAATATCTAACAGGATTTCAGCTAGATATTACATCAAGCCACAAAAATTCTATTTGCCCAGGAGCCGTCTCCAAGGAACAGAAGTTGGATTCAAGCCATCCCTGTGATGGTCTCTAGTCCGGTCCCTGAGCCAAGTGAGCGTGAGGTATTCCAGGGCACTGCTGATGACACACCAGCCTGTCTGGCTCATCGGCAGGACTTGGAGGAGCAGATCAGTTACTGGGGGTAGGGCATTGGTTCCTGTTAACCCTGCAAGCCAAAATCCTAACAGATAACAAACAGGTAAGGTGGTCCTCGCTGGGAAAGCAACTCAGCTACAACTTTAATAAACTGTGGCTGCAACCTCTCGTTAAAACAAAAATTCTTTGTACAGCCTCGCTTAAGAAGGAATCTTACGAACTGCAAATGAGATCCCCTTAAACAATATTATTACAGTAGAGATGAGCATTACTCCAGCCAGAACAATAGCAGAGAGTAAGGGTGTAAGCAGCCCAGTGTCACCTTCTGTTTAAGGCATTGCAGCTCAGCAGCCTGAGGGTCATGGTTGACCACAGGTTTGTTTTTGATTTTCCTGGCTCGGTCTGCATAGCGCAAGGTGTTCAGCGTCTCCTCAAAGTTAGAATCAGCGGGACTGACACAAGCGATCATCAGTGTGTGGCTGTTCCCACCAAGCGAGTCTGAAAGGACAGGGAGAAGACGAGCTTCATGTATAGGCAGTCAGTAGGAATTACCAACACAGAATGATACAATCTGTTTATGTTAGCTCAGCGCTGCAGCTTGCTTCTCTAATCCTGCATGGAGAGTGTAAACAGATTAAGACACCACTAACCTTGTAGCAGGCGGGTGAGCTTTGAGTCCCGGTACGGTATGAAGCCTGTTCGGTTGTTCTCGTCACCAAGCGCACTGATAACATTGCCCAGTGACAACAAGCCACGGTTAATGTTGATTCCTGCCACAATGCAACCATTAATACATGTAATTGCATAAACACAGCATCACAACTTCACCCGTTTCAAGTCTACTTCGGGGGGAGGAAAGGCGACAGAGACAGATGGTGCACTTGCCTTCTTTCAGGCGGTTGCCTTGCGCCTTTGTCTTCTTCTGACGCTCAGACCCCGCTAGGTCCACAAGGTGTAGCTTGGATTGAAGGACCTCGTTTCTGTAAGGAAAGCAGATAAAACGGCTCTAAACTGAGTCCCCAAACATACAACACATTCCTGCTCACTTACAAAAACACCTAAATCTCCACACAAACCCCGCTTTGTACAAAAGCGAAATGACTTTAACATGGCTTTTTAATTGGACAAAAAAAAAACTAAGATATAAACACTGAAGCTTCAGCACAACTCATTCCTTCAGTCTTTCCACAGTGGTAAAACCTATCCTCCCTACCTATCATCCTTGTGCTATACAATCCCATTTCTACACAAGTCTTACTTGTCACTTTTCTTCCTCTGCTCCACAATGATGGTGAATATTGCGTGTGACCGGGAGGACTGTGAGTTCATGGCAGTAGCAGCAACAGTCCTGACAGAGTTCCCCTGCTCCAGGGAGCTCACCATCTCTACTGCATCAGTGATTACTTTCTCAATCAGACCCACAATCTGGAAGTGATAAGAGTTCAAAATGAGGACAACCTTTTAAGATAAACAGACCTTGTAGAAGAGCACTGTGACGAGTTCATTATCAGCCTCTAGTGTAAAGATAGGGATCTGCACTCCTTGCTCTGTTCAGCTGCTCCCAATTAAACCAGGTTAAGCAAAGGTTTCCTTCACAGACAAACTAATCCTCTAATAGCCATCTGTTGTGTCAAAGCATTTTTTTGCTAAATTACATTTCCACACATTAAAAAAGGCTCCCCTTCTCAAAGCACCAACTGCAGTCCAGATACCAAGTAGCAACTATGAACTCACTCCTGATCTGCAACACACCTTTATGTCTCCTTTGGGATCCTCACGGATGTTGATCGGGGATTTATCATGAGATGGAACTAATAGATCTATAATCTCCTCATTATAGATCTGCAGCAAGAAAAAAGAAATCTATAGTTAGTCCCATTAAATTAGCTTCAGAGATCTGTAAGGTCTCTAGGCTTCACACTGCAGAAATAGCTTTTGCCACCAAGTGGTTTAAGATACCAGACCACAAGCTTTTGCATCCCTCCACACCATAAAACAACCTTCAACAGTTATCATATGTAAAAACAGAGGGGATAAATCTGGCCTGCCATTCACTCACCTCCAGGTAGGAGACCTTCAATGTGACCACGCTATCAGCATGTTCTTTCATCACCCTGAACAACATTTCTATTACTCTAGGAATGACTCCAACATTCAGATCATTCTCCTGTGCAGATGTATACGTGCCTCCCATGGAATAGGTCTTCCCAGAACCTGTCTGTCCATATGCCAATACTGTGGCATTGTATCCTGTAACAGAGGAGGCAACAAGGTCATCAAACATCTAAAACAGTGACACCAGAGTGACGTCAAAACACTACCCTCAACATTCAGGACAACAGGCCAGCATCCATAGAGAAACTCCAGGCAGAAGTTAGACATCTTATAAAGCTAGAATAGGCAAACCAATTTCTCAGGACTTTCTTGCAGAAGGAGATAAGAAGGTGAGCAGCAAACAGGTCCACACAAAAGCATTAATCGGAGCTTCTTTGACAAGTATCAGTAGATACTGACCTTTGAAGACCCCATCGATTAAAGGAACTACAGCAGTATTGAACACCTCCTCTTGCTCGGTGCACGGATCGAAAACATAATCGTAAGTAAATGGCTTGTCTTTTCCCAAAATAACCTGAAAGAGAAAACCAGCAAAGAGCAGATTTGAGCAACTCCAGGTACATGATGTTCAGCTCAGCCCAAAAGGGGATATCAGTGACTACATTAACATAACATCCAGCTAATAACCTGACGCTGCCTTATCCCCATGTCCCTTAAACCCTTTTGCAATAAGAAATCTATCTATCTCAGTCTTGAATTTGTTCAAGGACTGAGCATCAACAGCCCTTTGGGGTAGTGAGTTCCATACATTCACCACCTTTTGAGTGAAGGAGTTCTTCCTCAACTCAGTGCGAAAGGGCTGACCTCTGATTTTAAGGTTGTGACCCCTGGTTTTAGTTTCTCCAAACCAGGGGAAACAATCTCCCACTATCTACTCTATCTGCCCTTTGATGATCTTATAGGTTTCTATAAGATCCCCTCTAATTCTTCTATATTCTAGAGAATATAGACCGAAATTGGTCAGCCTATCCTTGTAACTCATCCCCTTCATCCCTGGTACTAACCAAGTAAATCTATGCTCCCCCCCCTCCAAGGCAAGTACGTGCTTCCTTAAATAAGGAGACCAAAACTGGACACAGTATTCCAGGTGTGGTCTCACCAGGGCCCTATAGAGTTGAAGTAAGACTTCCCTACTCTTATACTCTAATCCTTTCATAATGAATGCTGACATTCCGTTCACCTTCCTAATTGCTGCTGTACCTGCAGACTAACTTTCTGTGATTGGTGTACAAGGACACCCAAGTCCCTCTGGACGCTAACACATTCCAATCTCTACCCTTCGAAAAAATAACCCACTCTACTGTTTTTGCTACCGAGGTGGATGACTTTGCGATTCCCTATATTATACTTCATCTGCCACCTACCTGCCCAATCACCTAACCTATCTATGTCTCGCTGCAATTTTTTAATGTCCTCCTCTGTGTTGACACTTCCTCCTAGTTTTGTGTCATCCGCGAATTTAGACATATTAACTTCGATGTCCTCATCTAGATCGTTGATGTAGATGGTAAATAGCTGAGGCCCAAGGACTGATCCTTGTGGCACTCCACTAGTCACATCCCGCCAATCTGAAAAGGACCCGTGTATCCCTACTCTTTGTTTCTACCCGTTAACCATTCCCCAATCTACGTTAATATGCTCACCCCAATTCCATGGGCCCTTATCTTTTGGACTAACCGTTTATGTGGCACCTTATCGAATGCCTTCTGGAAGTCCAAATAGACCACATCCACTGATTCACGCTTATAATAATAATCCTTGCATTTGATATAGCGCTTTTCACATCGGGAGGACGTCCCGAAGTGCTTCACTGTAAAGTGAATTGACTGTATATTTGTGGGCGAACGCGGCAGCCAATTGCGCACAGCAATGTCCCACAAACAGTCGTAGATTGAAAATGACCAATTTATTATTGTTTTTGGAGGGATTATTATTAGGCTCTGTGTGGAGTAAGGAAACTTGCCCAAGGTTTCGCCTGGAATTGAACTCAGGTCTCTTGCTTGCAAAGCGAGTACTCTAACCACTGAGCTACAGGACTCCACTATCTAGTTTACTGGAAATATCCTCAAAAAACTCTTATGAGATTTGTCAAACATGACTTCCCTTTTGTAAAGCCATGTTGACTTGGCCTAATTATATTGTGCCCTAAATACCGCACTACCACATCCTTAATCAATGATTCTAAAAATTTTCCTTTCACTGATGTGAGACTAATTGGCCTACAGTTCCCCATCTTTTCCTTTCCACCTTTTTTAAATAGTGGTGCGACATTTGTGATCTTCCAATCCATGGGGACTGTTCCAGAATCCAAGGAATTTTGGAAGATCAGACATAAGGCCTCCACTATCTCATAAAGCTCCCCTTTTAAAACCCTGGGATGCAAGCCATCCGGACCAGGGATTTGTCACTTTTTAGTGCTAACAGTTTCCCAGCACCAATTCCCTACTAATGAAAATTTCCCTTCGTTGCTCCCTGTCCTTATCCCCTCGGTGCATCCCTATTGTTGGTAGACTTGTTGTGTCTTCTAGGGTGAAGACAGATGCAAAGTACCCATTAGGGACTCTGCCGTGTCCTTATCCCCCATTACAACTTCTCCCGTCTGACTGAAGTGGACCTACATTTACCCTCACAGCCTATTCCTCTTAATATATTTGTAAAAACTTTTACAATCAGACTTAATGTTCGTCGCTCGCTTACCCTCATACTCCCTTTTCTCGCTCATAATGAGTTTTTTTAGTTTTTTTTTTGCTGGTTTCTAAAACTCTCCCAATCTTCAGATTTGCTGCTTTTCTTGGCAATTTTATAAGCCTTTTCTTTAATGTGATGCTTTCCCTACTGCTCTAGTTAGCCACGGATGAATTGCTTTCCCTGTGGTACTCTTATTCCGCAAGGGAATATGCGACCGCTGAGAATTTTGCACTACATCCTTAAATATTTGCCACTGTTGGTCTACATTTTTACCTCTTAATCTTATTCTCCAGTCTATTTTACCTAAATCTTTCCTCATACCTACAAAATTAGCCCTATTTAAATTCAGAATACTTGCCTCGGATTTAACTATATCCCTCTCTAACTTAATGCAGAATTCAATCATATTGTGATCACTCTGCCCTCGAGGAGTCTCAATACCTACACTGGCGACACGTCCGTTTCGTTACACAAAACAAGGTCTAGGATGGCCTGTCTCCTCGTTGGTTCCTCGGCAGCTGCACTAGAAAGATCTCTCTCATACACTCAATGAACTCTTCTTCTGACCTACTTTTGCCGATTTGGTTTTCCCAATCTATGTGGAGATTGAAATCACCCACTATTATCGCTTTACCTTTCCTACACGCTCCACTGATTTCTTGATTGATACCCTGTGCTGTATTTGTGATCGCTGTTTGGGGGTCTATAAACCACTCCCATTAATATTTTCTGCCCTTTATTATTTTTTATTTCCACCCATATTGTCTCGACCTCCTGGTCATCGGATTTCAGATCCTTCCTCTCCACTGCTTTTATTTCATCCCTAATTAACAGGACTTCCCTCCCCACCTCGTTTCCCACAGTGCCTATCTTTCCTGTAAACTGAGAACCCTGGAGTATTTAACTGCCACCTTCGATGTCCTTGTAATCATGTTTCAGTGATGGCCACTCGATCGTACCCATATGTGTCTCTCTGTATATTCTGCTGCTCACCTGTGGAGTTCCAGGTACAAAAGTCAAGCATTCCTGACATCCCTCGCGGATTTCCTTTGGCACCAGTGGACGGCATCGCAAGGCCACACGCACGGGAATCACCTTTTCCTCCTCGAGCATTCTATGAACAAGTGCATAATGGTTTCAGATTTTGAAACACTATTTATTTTTGCACCAAAAACACACCCCACCCACCTCCGCCAGCGCCCCCGGCTCGCTCCGTCCGGGCTGCTTCATGTCCCCCACCCCCACTCGCCCTGTTATCAGCGACCTTCCACCACTCTGCCCCCACCCTCTGGAACTCCATCCCGCAGTCCCTCCGCCTCACCCCCTCCCTCGCTCCCTCATCCCCTCCCTCGCTCCCTCATCCCCTCCCTCATCCCCTCCCTCGCTCCCTCACCCCCTCCCTCATCCCCTCCCTCATCCCCTCCCTCGCCCCTTTCAAGACCCATCTCGAGACCCTCCTCTTCGACCGTACTCTTGGTTTCTCCCCCCCCGAGCCCCCCCCCCGAAGTGAAAGACGCTTTACACACATGTTGTTGTTGAGGGCTAAGGTTCCCGGGGGTTCCCGGGGTCCCGGGGCCCGGGCCCTGCTCAGGGCAGCAGCCACAGGCAGGTCACAACAACAACAACAACCACCACCACAGACGCCTCACTCAGCGCCGCTCTGGGGGGTGGTGGGGGGGGGGGGACTGGAGGCCGCAGAGCTTCCCCGCCCACCCCGGGCTGTCGGAGCCCCTGGAGCCGCTTCAGCCACCCTCGGGCTGCGGCCTGACCCGGCGCGAGCTCCGACGCCTCCTCTCCGTGCCCCGGGCCTGTGCCCCGGGCCTGTCCCCCCCCCCGCCGCCGCCGCCGCCTACCTCGCTCTCTCTCTCTCTCTCGCTCTCCCCCTCAGGCTCGCGCGCGCGCTCTCACTCCCGGTGTCGGTCTCGGTGGCCGCCGCCGTCTCGCGGGACAAACGCTAACCGTTAAGATGTCTCAGTAACGGCCGCGCGGGCTCCACATTTAAACGCCGAGCGCACGGGGCGCAGCCAATCAGCGATCACGTCAAACCGGCGTCACCGCGCGTGCGTCCCGCTGCGGTTGGCATGGAAACGGCACCTGAGGGCAACCGCGGCCCCGCCCCCCCCCCCCCCCCCGGGGGTTCAACACGGTCTGAAATGGCCTCAAGATGACATGTTCGGCCACGAAATGATAATAATATAATAATAATAATAATCCTCGCATTTGATATAGCGCTTTTCACGTCGGGAGGACGTCCCAAAGCGCTTCACAGAACACACTGTAAAGTGAATTGACTGTATATTTGTGGGCGAACGCGGCAGCCAATTGCGCACAGCAATGTCCCACAAACAGTCGTAGATTGAAAATGACCAATTTATTATTATTTTTTGTTTTCGAGGGATTATTATTAGGCTCTGTGTGGAGTAAGGAAACTTGCCCAAGGTTTCGCCCTCTGCCTGGAATTGAACTCAGGTCTCTCACTTGCAAAGCGAGTGCTCTAACCACTGAGCCACAGGACTCCTAATGGCCACAAAATGTGGGTATAGACCCCCCCCCCCCCGTGCCGGTCTCTAGCCCAGGGCCTGACCCGATGGTGGGGGGTCTGCAGTATCCCGGAGCTCTCAGTGCTGATGGCGGCCCTCCCTCGCCCCAGCCACCCCCCCCTCGCCCCAGCCACCCCCCTCCCTCGCCCCAGCCAACTCCTCCCTCGCCCCAGCCAACTCCTCCCTCGCCCCAGCCAACCCCTCCCTCACCCCAGCCACCCCCCTCCCTCGCCCCAGCCACCCCCCCCTCCCCAGCCACCCTCGCCCCAGCCAACCCCTCCCTCGCCCCAGCCACCCCCCTCCCTCGCCCCAGCCACCGCCCTCCCTAGCCACCCTTGCCCCAGCCACCCCCCCCTCCCCCTCCACCCTCGCCCCAGCCACCCCCTCCCTCGCCCCAGTCACCCCCTCCCTCGCCCCAGCCACCCCCCTCCCTAGCCACCCTTGCCCCAGCTACCCTAGCCCCAGCCACCCCCCCTCCCCCTCCACCCTCGCCCCAGCCACCCCTCCCTCGCCCCGTCACCCCCTCCCTCGCCCCAGCCACCCCCTCCTCCCTCGCCCCAGCCACCCCTCCTCCCTCGCCCCAGCCACCCCCCTACTCCCAGCCATCCCCTGACCCAGAAAGAATAAATACACACACACACAGCCAGGCTAAGAGTTATTCCTTTACTCACATTTATCCAGCGCCTTGGGACATCCTCCCGACGTGAATGGTGCTATACAAATGTAATTTTGTTGTTGTATTCAAAATCTCATTTAAAAAATTACAGAAATATTTTGACAACTGGCTCATTGCAGTTACTGGAGAACCAAATAAAATCAGTCACAGTCATTTGTGGGACATCGCTGTGCAGCAACCCGGGCTGCCGCATTTGCCTAACACTCATTCTACTTTACAGTATATCTATTGTAAGTGCTTGGAGATATCTTCCTGATGTGAAAGATGCTATCTTTATTTGTAATCAATATATAGCAGAGATCGGGAGTGGACACTGATAACAAGGCTTTGTTGATGGACAACTAATAATAAAAATAGTAACGTTTCACTCACACACATACAGTTAATTCACTTTACGGTACATCCTGTGAAGCACTTTGTGAGACGTCTCAATGATATAAGGCGCTATATCAAGTGCAAGGATTATTTTTACAAATTGCTGGATGTTACTTGCTGACTGGAAGGTCGTACAGTAATATCACAATATACTTTGATCAAGAAAATCAAGTACTAAAGGAGAACAACAACAACAAAATTACATTTACAGAGCGCCTTTCACGTCGGGAGGACATCCCAAAGCGCTGGAGAAGGCATATAAAATACTAAAAGTATATAAAATATAGCCATGAAACAAATTCTAGCTAATTTCACTTGAGAAGGATTGGAATGAAGGAGTCAACACTTGCATATTATGGCCTTCACATATATATCTCAGAAGAGTTTCAAAATGATAATGGAGATCAGCGAGAAAGGAGGCAGCAATTGAGAGTGTTGATCCAATGCAGTCATCAAGAGAATTTTAAATGCAATGAGAGAAGGAGCAAGGTAATATATAGGGATTTGGGGAAACTGTTGCAGAGTTGTACTGCCTTCTCACATTAGAGTGTCCATCATCTCTGTTTGCCTAGTGAGTGTTGCTGCAAGAAAAGGAAACAAAAGCAATGACTGTTACAGATCCCAGCCCACTGGCTGCACATTTCTCATGGGGAACACATTGACACCCGTTTTGCAAAGACTAACATTCGTGTTACACAGTAGATGTTGGGAGTTTGTGCAAAACCTTCCAGGAGCGGGTTAGGCTGGAATCTCATCCAGGTGCTCAGAGTGGTGGGATTATAAATTGAATAATACAATACAAAATTACATCTGTACAGCGCCTTTCAAATTGGGAGGTCGTCCCTAGGCACTGGACAGTCAGGGATTAGGCCCCGAACGGGGGTGTTGAGATCAGGGAGGGTGGAAGGCAGAGGGTAACCAAAGGCATGGTTGAAGAGGATCTTGAGGCATACCCTGAAGGAAGTAAGGGAGGGAACGAGGAGAAGGGATTTTGGGATGGAGTTCCAGAAGGTGGGGGCAGAGAGGCTGAAGACCCGATCGCCGATGGTGGGGTAGGTAGGGCGTGGGACATGAAACAGGCTGGAGCCTACTGAGCGCAGGGAGGGGACCGGTTCATATGGGGTTAGCAGGTTGGAGAGGTAGGGCAGGGCAAGGCCATGCTGGGGCTTGAAGGTGAGAACAAGGATTTTGAACTCGATCCTCTACGGGATGGGGAGCCAGTGGAGCCGGGCGAGGTTCGGTGCAATGGGGTCACAAAGTCTATTGCGGAAAAGGACACGAGCTGCAGAGTTCTAGATGATCTACACCTAGAAGTGAGTTATAGTCTGGAATCTAATCCAATGGGGGATGCATATATATATACACACACACAGGTGGTTACATATCTGCTGTATTGACATATAATACTGTCTCCTCAGCGTAAAAGTGTTTTCTCACAAGGTTTTCTTACCTGTATGGCGCATTCCATATCTCCACCTGTGCCACAGAGAGAGACGTTTGAATTATTTAGCAAAAAAGTGCAGCAGTGTACAGAACATACAAAACATGTGTGGGAGATTCCAGCCAGTCTGCGTGTGAGGCACAGTGTGGAAGGGGGAGTAATCTGTAGGTTTGGAGCCCTATCCCATGTGACCGGGCAGCCACCACCCTGTGTGACCGGGTGCTTCTCCAGGGCCTCAGCATGCCTTCTGCCTGACACCAGGGATTGGGGTTGTACTGAGCTCCCTTTGGTCCCAGCCAACGGCTAAGCGCAGGGGGTAGGAGTCCAAACAACTTGAGTCCCCTCCCTGTTACACGCTGCTCCTCCACCAGCCAAAGCCAGGAATGGACAGAGCACTCAAATGTGTTGGGAACAATCCCTTGTTCCTGTCTCAATCTCAATGAGACAGGACTGAGCTCCAGCCTGGTACCAGCTTTCCTTACCTGTGGATGAAGAACATTCCCAGAATAAGGAGAAACGAGGTGACATCAGTGCAGACCAATACTTTTAAATAGATGTCAGGATCCTGGGAGGAAATATAGGACAAAGGAATGACTGCTGTCTGTACACAATGCTGAAACATCTCCGCCCTCAGCTCCCCAAAAACCAACCTCCAACACCCCCACCCACCTCCCCCCGTGCTGTGAATGCTGTAATGCTGTGAACTAAGCTCATTTACCCCCATTCTGTCTATGCAAAGTGTGCACTAGTCACTCACCATGCGCCACACTGGCTGAGACATCTCCTGGAAGATGTGGCAGGCATCAGTGGTGACTGACAGCACGTTGGCACACCACAGCACAGAGAAGAGCCAGGGTTCATTCACCACAAAGAGGTTTACAGTGATGTTTCTCTCTGTGTACTGCCTAGGGACACATTAACACTCGTTGTTAGAGACGCACAAGGTTTTTCAGCTGTGTAGTCACTGTTGACCATATGGTGAAATGACCAGTCATACATTTTTCAGCTTCTCGCGTAGAGGGATGTGTGTGCATCATTGGCTATGAGTCCCAGGGGCTGGCGCCGTGACTCACCGTATTTGTGTGTAGCTGATGTTGCTGTATTGAAGGTTAATGAGGGTGCGGTTCCCATCTTGTGTCTCTGGAGCTGGTGTGTCTTTTAGGACTTGTTGGAAGTCATAGGGTACGCTGTCCTTGCTGTCAGACAGCCATAGGATCTGCAGTCAAACACAGGCATCAGATCCACTCACTGGGCGGTTCTCAAGCACACTGCACGAAAACTTATGCTGAACATGTCTTATGTAAATTAAAAGGACTGATGATGTCTGACATGTAGAGTTAATGAGAACAAGGGGTAATTGTTTGCCGTAAATTCCTGTGAGGTTTTTGTGCCTATTTATTGGAGGCCTGGTGTCCTATGAAAACCACTAAAAAGGTGTCATTTTTCACACATTTATGTCATTAATATATACGAGGAACAGGAAGGTCCGAGGTCCCCGCAACCCCATTTTGAATGAGCTTCTCTAAACAAAGACCCTCTGTTTCCTTCCCTAAGGACAGTTCTGAATCCATGTCTTGCCTTGGTAACCAGTCACCACAGTTTTGGAAGTCTAGGTATACTACATCATATGCTTCCCACAGTCATTTTAGGGTGTCACCTCCTCAAAGAATTCTGAGGTTGGTCAGACAAGATCTACCCATTCTGAACCCATGCTATCTATCACTTATTAGATTGTTTTTAACAAGAGTTATCGTCCATTTTCATATCTCATGATCGGTTCTATAATTTTTCCAATTATAGAGGTCAGGCTAATGGATCGAGAGCTACAGTAAATAGCAGACTAGTTGCTGGGAAGTCAAAAAAACTTGAGAGAAATATATCCACACAGAACATGCACAAGGAACATTGGATTGAACCTCCAGATCATCAAAGTGGCTGGCATGTCAAAAGCCATTCTTCCACCACGCTGAAGACAGATGTTTGTTGAATAGCTGATTTGGAAATTCAGGCTTGTGCCATGCAGCTGGTAGAAGGCGTTCCCTGGTTTGTGAACAAATGCTCATATATTCAAGGCTTAATATCTACCTTGATTGATGTGCAGAGAGGCAAGAAGCTCTGAATTTTCTATGTTTTTTTGGTCAGCTGGGAGCCTGAAACATGGAAACCCATCACCATGCTTAAGAGGATCCAAACTTATGTATGTATGTACATGTCTGTACTCTCTTCCTGGATGGTCTTCTCTTTATCTCTATTCTCCAGGCTGTTTCCTCTAGCTCTGTTCCCAGTCAGTCTCCTCTATGTCCTTTCGTTCCCAGTGTTTACCTACCAGATGGTGAGGGATGGAAGAGTTGAGGATGGTGTCCAGGATAATGTTAAGCGTGATGTTAAGGAACGGGTGAGAGGCAGTTTCCGGAGACTGCAGGTCAAACATTACGGCCCTGTTCTCGGTTTTAGCCAATTCCAGCAACTGAGCCAAAGAGCAAATGCTCTGGTTGGCAGCTCTTCTCTGGGCTTCCAGAGTCAGGGACTGCACGGTGTTGAACGGGTCTTTCTAAAAGCAACCAGAAGCAGAGAGATGGTTAGCTCAGCAAGTACATTACTGCCAGTGCCCACAATGAACAGATGACAGTTGACTGAAATTTTGGATTGTGATTACTGCACCACCTATTCGCTCCTACGTGTACTGTGTGTTTGTGTCTCAGTGTTAACTGCTGCGTGTTCACCATTTGCTGGGTACCAGGATAAAAAAAATTGTTTTAATAATGTTTTTCTCTTCACCTGCAGAAACCACTCTCCCGCATTGAGCTGTTGCAACTCGGCCCATGTGAACATTGAGGCGTTGTCTCCTGCTCTCTCTGGAAACACGGCAACCACATTGGTGGTCCTGCGTAGGGTGGTGTCATGCATCAGAAAGGGGACTCCATCATAGCTAGCAGGAAACAAACGTATACAGGAAAACATTTGAGCAGGAACAGGGCTCAGATAGCACATTTACAAAGCCCTTAACTCTGCCACCTTTATAAAACTGCAGGATTTGAAAGTTGTTTTGCTTTATTCTCAAAATTGTGAATTGCAAATTTCAATTATTGCATATAGTTTGTGAATATTTCTATTTTAGATACGAATATAATAATAATCCTTTATTTGGTATAGCGCCTTCATGTCACGAGGCCATCTCAAAGCACTTCACAGGATTACGTAAACAGAACTCTATTTGAGGACTAACATGGAAACCCATTTACACACCGTAACGACCCACAAACATATGTTGACCAATATTTTTGGGAGGATTGTTGGCGAGAACACCAAGAGAAATTCTTTTGAAATACAATAGTGCCAATGGGAGCTTCAACATCCAACTGAGCAGGGCAGCACCTCCAACAGCACAACTTCCTAGCATTGCATTGCAGTGAGTGGGGCAGTGCTGTCACCTCAGCGGAGAGGAGGTCTTGAAGTGCTCAGCAACATCCACAGCAGCCGCTGTCATTGAGGAAGGATGGGAACCAGAGCAGATGAACAGCAATGCTAACATTCCTCTGGACCCACCTGCCAGGCCCAGGGTACAACAGGAAAGAGCGCTCACCTGATCTGCACATCAGACTCAAACACTTTGGCTCCACATGTCACCGTCTCCTGAAAAGACATCAGCGTGTTCTCTGGAGCCAACTGCAAGCAGACAGAGAGTGGTCTGTCATCGTTCAGCAGTTAGTGCAGTGATCATCAGCTACAGGACAGAGTAAAGTTCCCTCCACACTGTATGTCCACACTCCCAGGTCAGGGTTGGAGACACAGTAAAGCTCCCTCTACACTGTTCGTCCACACTCCCAGATCAGGGTTAGAGCCACAGTAAAGCTCCCTCTACACTGTGGGTTCACACTCCCAGGTCAGGGTTAGAGACACAGTAAAGCTCCCTCTACACTGTGGGTTCACACTCCCAGGTCAGGGTTAGAGACACAGTAAAGCTCCCTCTACACTGTCCGTTCACACTTCCAGGTCAGGGTTAGAGACACAGTAAAGCTCCTCTACACTGTGTGTCCACACTCCCAGGTCAGGGTTAGAGACAAGTAAAGCTCCTCTACACTGTGTGTCCACACTCCCAGGTCAGGGTTAGAGACACAGTAAGCTCCCTCTAAGCTGTGCGTCCACATTCCCGGGTCAGGGTTAGAGACACAATAAAGTTCCCTCTACACTGCTCATCTACACTCCCAGTAATGTGACAGCACGGGTTAGAGTCAGACATGGTATTTACCATGGGTGCTCCTCGGTGTCCCATCATGGCTGGTCTGGGTCCCAAAGCCTCCTTCTCAATGATGCAAGGAGAAGAGATTGCGAGAGGAATGAGGTAAAGGCTGATCACCACTCCCAGGTACAGAACACAGCTAAATATACGTAAAACTAGGAAAAAGAATCAAATAAAACTTTAGTTGCTGTTACAGCACATGTTTTACCGAGAACTACTGGGTATAATTCATTCCAGTCGCTGATTACTGAAACCAATCCAAATGTTAGATGATGTATTTAGTCCCATTTCAGGATTTTGCTGTGACACGGTTGGGTGAATCAGGTATTGGCCGCATTCGGGACTGAGCGGGGTCAGTGCTGAATGAGTTCATTGCTGGGCGCTGAAGGCTGTGGTCAATGTTGAGCACTGACCCCTGTGGCTGGGCGAGACACCCCATTATTTACCTTTCGTGGCTTGAAACACAAAACCAATGACGACCCAAGCCAGAGCTGTGACTGCGACGACCGCCCCGATGTGCAGGAACGGACCTGTAACCTGAGCAGACAGGAACGATGAACAAAAGCTGGGAGAATAGCATAGAAACAGAGAAGAGACAAGTCCCCTCCAAACTTTCCTTCTCAAAGCTCAGACTATCTTCATCTTCACATAAGACCCTAGGTGGTCAGAAACATAATAATAATTATTTAAGATAATAATCCCTCAAAAAAAACAATAATAATTTGATCACTCAATCCACGACTGTTTGTGGGACGCGGCTGTGCGTAATTAGCTGCCGGGTTTCACCCACAAATATACAGTCAATTCACTTTACAGTATATTCTGTGAAGCTCTTTGAAACGTCTAGAAGATGTGAAAAGGTGATATCAAATGCAATTAATATTATTATAAACAGGCGCCGGGCCAGGCACTGGACTCAATTAACAAAGAGCTTGGAGCTGAATTAGGAAGGGGGATCGTGAAAGGATCTGATTAAATAAGATCGATCTTTGTCATCCAAACCTTTTTATCTAGGCAACCAAACTATCCCTATTAAGGGATATAGGGATAAGGCAGGGTTAGGTTATTAACTGGAGTTAGGTTAGAAGATCAGCCATGATTGAATGGCGGGGCAGAGGCTCGAAGGGCTGAATGGCCTACTCCTGCTCCTACATGTTATGTTCAGAACTTGCCCACTGCAGGCCAGGCGGAATCCGAATTGCCTGGTTTTGTAACAGTCCTAACACGATGTTCAACCTCTTGCAGAGTTTATTATTGCAGCACACACCTCCTAGCGCTTTCTCCTCTCGGGACACTTTGCTTTCAGTGATAATTATATTTACATCCTCCCTGTGAGGCACGTCTCATTCCCTCCCCCTCGAGGCGGTATATTGTGCTTTGAAAATCTGCAGGAAATATTGGAAGGTGGTGAAGGCAGCATTTACTGCAGTTACACAAACAGACGCTAAGAGATGCCCAATAACGTCCCCGGAACATGCTCACAATCTAATTCAACATTATCACAGACTCCTTCACAGGCTGGGAAACTCACTTGGAATGAAATAAGAATCGTGCTCCAGCCGTGCTTCCACTTAACCCCAACACTGAGAATCACCATCAGGATCGACAATACCAGGATCAACACTATAGCCTGTAAGTATATATTTATAACTATAACTTAGACAGACACACAAAAGCACGGGATAAGCACAGGGTGGGGAGGGGGTGGGGAGGGGTGCAACCGGGGTCGCCTTGGAGCTGAGCTGGCCCAAGGTGACATGCTTTCCAACAGAATATCAGAATCATCTGTGGTGCCTGCAGTAGTCCAGGTCCTGAGACAGCTGGGTCTGGAGCAGTGATGACAGCCCAGCTCAGTCTGGTTCATCGGCAGGACTTGGGAGGGGCAAGGATTCTTCCTGCCTTGTGTCAACCTGGGCTCAATACTCCGTAGAACTAGGACAGCAGAGTAATATTCCGCCTCAGAGAGTGGTATACACATATGGAACTCTGATTTGGATACTCTTAAATATTGGAGATGGGTTTCAGTGTGTGTCAGACACCCCATCTGACAAAAACACGCGTAACAGAACATGGTGACAGACACTGGGACGTGGCCAGTAGGACGAGAACATAATCATAATCATAGAAATCACAACCCCCTCTGCCCCATCACCTGAGTACAGTAACTGAGGAAAGTGCATGTAGAGGCCAAGAATCACCTTGTGGATCCAGTGTAAATACAACTGCAGTCCCACAGTCAGGTGAACCAGAGCGATTATCTGAAAATTAAGCAGCACATCCTGAGGGTCAGTGAAAAACAACCTACATTTGTACAGCGCAGCATAATGCCTAAGTGCACTTCACAAGGACTATTGGGATCACTGAACTAGGAGGGAAAGAAAGAAGTTTGAGGCGAGGAGGGAGGGGAGGTTTGACCTGGTTATAGAGAGAGGTTTCCAAGAGGAGAAACCAGCAAAGCATCCCCATTCCCTTATAAAGCCCACTGTACCTGAGCGTCTGTTACACTGTTCCCAGTCACCCACCGCATTGGTGAGTTTTCATGTTTAACTTGTATGTAGTTCATTTGGGTTCCCACAGAGGGCCCTCAAACACACTGACATCGCCTGCGCAGAGCGCTCCAATTCAAAGAGAACAATTGAGGTTTACATCACATCAGGGGCTCGAGCAGTGGTGGTGGTGGTGGGTGGGGGGGAGGGGGGAGTAGTTAATGGAGAATGGAGATCAGAGTGCGTGCATGTTTTCATATGAAATGCCCAGCGGCAATCAGTAACTTACCATCATCACAGAGCAGTAAGTGAGGACTGCGGCTGTAACTGACAGTAGTACCTGCGACCAGTCGACCCACCGATTCAGCTTCATGAATAGAAACCTGCATAGCAGCGGAGAGGAGGTGCTGGGTTAGGCTGTCCTTCATATCAAGCACCAGCACCACTGAGAACAGGTGTAGCAAACTCGGGCGCTCTGGCTGAATTATTCTAACTACTAGAAGTGGAACCGAGACTGCCCTTTGTGCTAGTTCATAATAATTTAATGATAACTGCTGCATTCCATCTCAAGGACTTTATAGAAAACTGCTGTCAAGTGTAGTGACTGCATTTTTAGGCAAAGCCACAGCCATTTTGCATCTGCAGGTCCACGCACAGCCATGAATTTACCTGGAGATTTGGAATCCAGCCCTGAACACAGAGTATCTCCCAGAGGAAGCATGGGAGAATGTTTCCCAGAATCAACTTACCAGTTGAAATTGTTGTAGTCATTGTGCAGAGCCCACCAGCAGTAAAACCAGATGACAGCAAGGCCAAAGGCACAGGACAGGAGCCCAAACCATACATACTCCGCCTGCAATGACCAAAGGGAGGATCAAAATCTCTCCCCATAAAGGGGGAAGCAGCAGAGAGTGACAGAATGGCTGTGGGTAAAGAGTGGTAGAGCCAGAATTTGCCCACCCATTTCACTGTTCCCTTGTAAATAAAGGCAGCAGAAACCCCTCCGCCCCCAAGAGGGGACCCTCAGCTCTTGACATGCAACAAACAGGATATTCAATCCAAATAATATGCAAATGTGGAAGAATTAAATCACACAGTAGTGTTGTCAAGCCTGACGCTCGGAGTACTACAGAGTGATGACGGTAGCATTGTGACCTGGCCAGACAAGATGGCTCAGCTTACAGCAGGGTTACCCTGGTTCTCCCTCCCCCGCTCCCATCACTTCATCCTCCCCATACCTCAATCACACCCTCCAAAGGTCTCTATCACACCACACTTGAGTTGGCAACTAAAGTGTGCGGCACTGTCTTTGTATCATTACTGTACAGATGCTTATCACCTTCCCTTTTGAATATTTAAAAGGATAATAGAGATTTCAATGATAAATATATTTATCTGTCTAGAAACAAGTTACAAACTGCCCGAGATGGAAGGAAGGGCTGGTCTCAGCTGTAGTTTCCCCTTGAGGACTCAGAACTATTTTTAGCATTTTATTTAATGACAGAGCAGGTCTTTGTGTAGGATTTGTGCGCTTTTGTTGATGCTCAGGCAAAGTCATCACATGAATTGCACGAATGAGCTGAGCTGCACATTGGACTGGGACAGACAGGGCCAGTGTATCTGATGATCTGTTGTGGGCCCTGCAGGGAATGTGAGGTGAAGCTGGCCTGTGTAAATTTCAGTGGTTACACACCATCCCTTCTTTCTTGCCAATAAGACTAACAAACCACTTTAGTTCTCTTTGTCCAGAGCCCATTCATTCATGGACTTCATCCCATCGGATCTGTCAGCTGGGTCTCTGAGTTAATGGAGGCAGCTCAGAGTCCATTACACGGGGAGCCATACCTCCAGTAAGTGGGAACAACAATATCTAATGACTCCAAATATACTTTAAACCAGAATTTTTAAAAATGATTTAACTTCACATATTTTGCGGTTTCATGTTTCCTTAAAAACCTATTGGCTCTTTTCCTGAGACCTACACTGGTCTATACTGCGGGCAGATCACAGTGTATGTGCGAGGGCAGATCTCATTCCACAGATGGGAAGTATTGCGATAGCGACCCTGAACAGCCGAGTTGTTGTCAGGAGGAGCTCAATGCTGTCCAGGTCCAGTTCTGGGTGAGATCGTGTCATGGTAACAACACAAGACAATCTCAACAGGAGATGAACGTTCCTCGCTTTGCTTTAGCTCAAAGAGTAATTGATGTAAACAGAAACTACACTTGATCTTAGACAAAAGATGAGGATTACATTCTGCCTGAGGCATTCTGCTGTTTACTGCTTTATGGACAATGCAGGAAGTGGCAATCAAAATGTGGTTTCACAGTCAATACTCCTCTCACATCCAGGTGTTCCCCACAGGCGGCAGTGAGGACCCCAGGCTATTTTGGTGATGACTAACCCACAGCCCAAGGATTCTGACATAACAACCTGACTAGAATCCAACAGGTTACAATAAAATGTACGAGAAATTTGACATAAACTTGACATTTGTGGAGTCCTGTAGCTCAATGGCACTCCCCTCGCAAGCAAGAGATCTGGGTTCAATTCCCGGCAGGGCGAAACATTGGGAGTTTCCTTACTACACACGCCTGATAATCCTTTAAGAAAAAAATAAATAATAATTTGGTCCCTCAATCCACGACTTGTATTAGGCACATCCACTGTCCTCCACATGCTCTCGCATGCACCTTATTATCTTGCCCTGAAAATAAGTTTCTCTAAATCAGACAATACCTTTTTGATAACATTATGTGATTGGAGCTTTTGCCATCGGCAACCGTAAATTCCCGTAAAGCACACCAAGCAAATGAGCCTCATGGCCGGCTCACATGTGCTGTCTTCAATCAACGTCAGTATTCAGGTGTGGAGCCACACTGTCTGCAGAACAAACATAAAATAATTTGTGGTATTTCTTAACAGGATTCTCCTATAAAGAACTGACCCAGTCCCCTCTCACTGCCCTGCGCAGACTATACACACACACATACGTACATATAGAACCCAGCGAGTACATTTTCCTGTAAGAATTAGTAGCTGCCAGTTCACAACACCGACACATGCTTTTGTCACCTCCTTCCAATGCCCTCCTCGCCTGTCTCCACAGCTTCACTATCCACAAAAATCCATCTAATTAAAAACTCCACCGCCCCTATACTCACCCACACTACACTCCATTACCCCTATCACGCCAAACCTCTCAAGGCTCCACTGGCTCCCTATCACAGAACAGATCGATTTCAAGATACTCACACTTGTCTACAAATTCCTTCACACCCTGGAACCTCTCAACCTCTCTGATCTGCTTATTCCCCACTCCACCATGCTGCCACTGCTCAGCTGGCTCCAGCCTCCTGCTTGACCTTCTGCCCTCCGCCATCAGCAGTGCTTTCAGCTACTACTCCCCGAAACTTTGGAACTCTCCCTCAATCCCTCTGCCTTGACCCTTCCTTCCTCATTTTTAGATCATACCTGAAGACTTTTCTCTTCAACTGTCCGCAGTCACCTCCCTCCGGTTCAGTGTCAGGCTCCGTCACTGTTAAGCGCTCTGAGACGCTGCCCCGTCAGAAGAGCGCTGTCCAACTGCAAGTTGTTGAAGTTTAAGAGGAAAAGTTGCAAATGACCAGCTCCCTGATATAGTACCAGATTTACTGCAGCTATCTCTCTGAGCCGGAAACCAGCAAAACTTGCTCAATTTGATGACTGAAGGAGATGCCGACAGCTGCCGTTTGGGGAATGTCAGAGTTACAGAGTAAGACAGAACGTTAGGATAGGGAGATTCTCAGACCTGCTTCAGAATGTAGGCTTCTGTTCAGTCTGCTCCCACTTGTTCCCACTCCTGGCTCTGTGCAGGTTCGGAGCTGTCAGAACACTAGATGTGCGTGCTCCAGGTGCTGACTCAATTCCAGTTTCTGTGACTCACTTTATACGAGTGTCCTGATCTCCACCTTCTGCTGAACCTCTTTTCCAGTCTCATTGTAAAGTCTCTCTGAACCACTCTCCGCCTGCCTCACCCTCTGCACGGTTGCTTGCTGTCTTTTTTGAGCATTTGTTCCTCTCATGTTATAACTCGCTAACCTCGGTCTGGAGAGTAGATGACGTGCAAAGGTTTTTACATATTTCCGAGTTAAACTACTTAAACCAGACTTTGTCTGATCGCTTTCTCCTCCTGACGTAAATTATTCCTCCTTCTCCCTGAGACTATTCCTTACACTTTCTCTCTTCGCCCTTTTATAGTTTCTTTTCGAACATTTGTCCAATTGTTCTTCATAAATACTCGCTGACCCAAATGCATTCAAACAAATCAAGCTGCTCAATATTGTGTCTCTATCCCCACATCTTAGGGTTCAGCTTGACCTCTTCCCCTCCACAGACCCAGTTCTGTCCCCAGCAACACACAAACCGTTGTGTCCATTGGATTGTTTGTATACTTATCTCCTTCTGCACTTTCTCAAATTCAAAAAAGAGGCTCTCACAGTGTGTGGAGTCCTAGTAGCAGTGATTAGCTCGCCTCGCAAGCAAAAGGACCCGAACAGGGTGAAATATTGGGCAAGTTTCCTTACTCCACACGCCTCTGTTTACCTAGCAGTAAGTAGGAACCCGGCTGTTGAGGGTCGAACCGGGACGCCTAGGTCGTGCACTGGTTCGGTGAATCTGAGAGAGAGCCCAGAGAGGTTGAGGGGTCTAGATCTGCAGGAGTGAAGACGCTGACGGTACCACATTCATCCTCTAACAAACAGGGCATCACATGTTCAAACAAGGAAAATAATGGATTTGCTTCTGAGAGAAATCTCTGAGCATTTTACAATTCAGAAGATTCTCACATTACAAGTAAAAATGTACATTTTTACATCACCTTATCAAGTGGCCATATCTTAAAGAGCTTCTCAGGAATTACTGCCATGTGTAGGGACTGTTTTGTAGGCAAACAGCAGCTGTTTTGCACAAAATGTCTTGCACACAGTCATAAAAAGATTTAGTAATTAATGGGAAATTACTGCTAGCCAGGACGCCGGAAGAAACTCCCTTGGTATTCCCAACAGTGTTATAAACAGCAGATGGAATCCGGGTTTACACTAAATCTGTGAGGTACCTACCACAAGAAGCAAAGGGACTGAAGTGCTCTGGGATGCTGCCTTGCGTGACGGGTGCTATATAAATGCAAGTTGTTGGTGTTGCTGTCCTCACCAAGACCGCCAACTGCGTGTCCCACACGTTTCCTCACCTGTGTGAGAGGAGACACTAACACACTGAGTGCTCACCTGTGTGAGAGGAGACAGTAACATGCTGAGTGGGAGCTAGTCTGTGTGTTGGAAACTCCACACACAACTTCCTTTCCCACTCCTTTCAACTCGCTGTCATTTGAGGGAATCCAGATTGTCAAACTGAAAGAGTTGAAACTTGCTAGTCAGCACCTATGGACCACACCCCACTAACTGCCGGTGGCAAAGTTACATTAACCCCTTGCTCACTGAGCTAAGGAGGCTGAGGTGGGATTTAGAGTTCTGTTGAGATGTGACACAGTAAGCAGGTAGTGGCGGGGTGTTATAATTCTAAGAATTTTTTTTCAAATTGGAGCAAAAAGGGTTGGAGATGAGGAAGGAACCTTCTCACAGAGAATAACAACAGTCGGGGACCCAGGACCCCAGAGCTGAGAATTATGTTGAGGGATGTAAGAGAGAGATGGAGAGATACCTGGGGAGTAAAGATATGGAGGGATGTATGGAGGTGGGACCAGGGAAGGTGTGGGATCGGGGGAGGCTTCATTGCGGCTTCTTTATTT